TTAGGCGGATAAAGTTGCAGTGATACAATCGTATATCTGAATTTAATATTGGTATGAAGAGCGATAATCAACCGGCATTATAATATATAGCATTTACATATATTTACAATGGAAAAGTATTAATATCATGGCGTTAGATAGCTCGTCAATGTTGACATGGGATCTGTGAGCGGTGGTAGAAATGGGACAGAACAGAACGTCATGTAGTTCTGTGATACGATACGTAACGAAATTAGAGGCAGATGGAAATGGCCATGAAAATTGGCCCATCGTTTGTGGACGACAGATCATGAATATTTTTGCCCCCTCTGGTGGGTAATAAAGACGCAGAGAATAGATATATGAACGATGACGTCAACGTCATTAAACGCTGAGAACGCCTATGACGCATACATATATAACAGAACTTCGTGGTTGCGTCAGTTTCATCCAAACATACGATGCATAAACATCGGCACGGGTGACTAAGTGCCGTGGAGCATAAGGGTGTGGTTTGCGCCATGGAGAGACGACGCTAAAATGTTACATATCTCAGTCTGGATTTAGCATACAAGAGACATTGTTTGGAACAACACACGCCACGTAATGCTCCACATATGAATGCTTTTTGCGATTGTGGCGGAAAATATTGACGTTTTCCATTCTCGTTCCCTCCCATAGCTGAAGTACAAACGAATGCTAGTTAACATAAAACCAAAACGAAGAACAAGATGTTATAAAAGTTTAATACAATTAGAAGTGCAGGTCACATGGCCATTTAAATACATGGCCGAACCTTTGGAAAAACGCCCAAAGCAGCGCAGCGGTGGTTGCGTGTCGCTCCAACGACTTCATTTTTATGTCCATTGACCACGCATTGGACAATAGGAGTCTCTCAATAGCGTCGTTAGTAACTGATGCGGTGGCTTGTAGCGTGAAATCGGATGCTATTACCGTATCACTTGAGCACTTACCAGTAGACACCACAGTAGGATCGTTGCCCATTAATTTGTCGAAGGTCATGACGTCATGTTCAATAGTCGCACGACGACGTACTCTGCACATGTAATCTGCGCATCCAGCGTAGTTCCCCGTTATGAATAATGACTGAAAATTTCTGGAGTAAAAGCTGAAAAAGGGGTTTCCAGTCCTCGCAAGAGCCTCGATCTTCAATGTATGCTTAGGTATCACCGACGTAGCCATCGGGACGCTGCAATACCGCAGCCCTCCCATACCGTACGCCTTGATCAGGAGCTGATCAGTAGACTCTCTAATGAAAGCTGCCCTGTACAAGGCAGTTGATATATCAACATCAACAGACTGAGCTTCCGATATGTCAGAGTGTGTTGGAGTACTACTTGGGCATACCAAAGGTGCAAGCAAGAGATCGATGGTTTTCTGAGCGTGCATTAATGGGTAGACATAACTCTGACGAGTGCTGCTGAGTGCTTTTACATGTTCAAAGACGGATTTCGCGAAAGGTGACAGTGTGTCCAGACGGGTATTGTAGCCTCCTTCCAACACGCTGACAACCCTCCCGTTACAAACGGCGTTCGCTACGGCGACAAGGCGTTCAGTTGCCCAGTAAAAGTCCTTTTCCTTGTACTTTACAAATCCTGATGAAACCGAATCGCGATAGTGTCCGTCAAAACCTGCTGATAAAAATATAAGATCTGGCTTGAAGTGCAACAGATATGGGAGAATCCTGGTCTCGAAGAGGACTCTAAATTCTGCTGATGTCGTGCCCTCGGGTAGGCCAATATTAATTATCCGTGGTTCAGCCTCATTATACCTGACACAAGTTTTTCCCGTGCCAGGGTAAAATAATCCATCGTAAGCATGTATAGAAGAAAACAAAACCTCCTCCCTATCATTGGTGTCATTCCAGCCGAACCAGAGTGCGTGATTGTGACGGCCTGATTTGGGATCCGTGCCTGTAGAGTTAGGAGCGTGCCTACATCTAACGTTCCGAGGACCGATATTCAAGACGATTTGGTGGGTACCATTACCGTGGTGGATATCGAAATCGATGATAGCAATCCTTCTAATACCTTTTTTGGCATACATGTACTTGGCATATGCTGCTCCTACGGCCACATTGTTTATGAGGCAAAACCCCTGAGATCCCGCTCTGTTAATACACATGAAACCATGTTCATAGATAACTTACGCAAAATCCTCATCTTCAAACTCGGCAGATTGAGCACCTCCCCAGGTACCAAGATGGTGTCCTGGTGGCCTAACCGCACAGAAAGCATTTCGGCAATCCCCGCTGCAGACGGCATCGACAGCAGCAATCACTGAAAGGATGGTGCACACTTTTGTCACTCTTAACTAACCTGAACCTGCAGCATAAAGGGCAGAATTCCAGGAATGAGGAGTAGCAGGTGTATCTCCATCAGCCAATACGGGCCAATATATGTTTCCTATCCATCTGTTTTGGGCTAGTTGCACTTTTTTCAGCAATGAATCGATATAATCCCAGTCATGTACTCTCAAAATATCAGATAGGGTTGCGGGAGGGGGGCTGTGCAAAAGTTTGACGTTTTCCAGTGTGTCACTACGCAATATTCCATTTTCATTTGATATGATAACTTCAAGCCTGGTTGGATTTTCTGGATAGGACATAATGAGCCTGTGCCGCCGATTTGGAGCGTCCGTTGGCTCCGGGAGTGCAAGGTGATGGAGGCACGTCGGATGCGTGATAATCCAGGTCTCCGTATTGTGAGCTTTAGGAGGAGACTTCGCCCTGTTAACTGAGACGATTGACGATTGTGGACATACAATCAACTTACCTCGGAAGTGCTCTAAAACTGACTCCACACGACTGGAGCTGCTACACTTAGTGGACGATGTACCTGCGTAATCGGGTTGTGATACAGTTGTGGATTTAACGAGACGGTTCAAGGGCAAGCTTGGTAGTCCAAAACCCTTATATTGCGGTGAATGTTCTACAACTGTTTCTAACGAGGTCATGATATTGTTTACTGCGCTGTTGTTTTCCGTTTGCTGGACCCACTCCTCGGTAACAATTAGACCATCTGCATCTTCGTTTTCGCTGCAATCAACGTTCGTCTTTGAAGCAATTGCGTGTGGAGTAAGATTATCAACCTTGAGACCCGTGCTGGCCAAAAAGTTGACAACAGCCATGAACTCATCGGAATTGCCCATAAGGACAGCCATATTTATGAATCTGTGCATATAATGCGGACTCGAGAGTAAATGCTGTGTAAGCGTTTCATTGTACGAGAACATGGCAATAAGAGCCTCCCATCCCCACGCCTTTATCCCCCTGTATGTCAACTGTTCCATCAAAGATATCATCTCCTCAAAGAGAATGACACGTTCGTGAGATGGCATCACACGCGAATCTTCTATGCCAGAACGAGAGGTCGCCGCATGTGACAAGTGGCAAACCGGACATACGCCATCAGCGTGACGTTCTTCGCAAGTGGTTTCCCTTGGGCAAGATGCTCTCGTCGAGCTGATGCATGGGACACTTGAATACTGATCATATTGCGTATTGGTATTGAGCCCATTCATAAAAGTTTCAAAAAGCGAATCCTCGCCGCACCTAAAAGCGTTGTAGGTTTTAGAGGAGAACTGCTCCACACGTGATGTTGTATCAATACCTGCCATTCCTAGTTGGTGATGAAACAGCGCGCTAAAAGTAGCGCGTATCATTGTCAAAACGCACATTGGATCCTTTGTGTCCATTGTAAGGTGCACTGGTAAGTCGCCAACTTCGTTCACCACCAAAGGGTGGCACCCAGACCCCAGAAGCCACTTTATCAAGTCTACATCTTTAAGTTGACACACTTTGTGCAACAAATTTGAACGAGTATAATCACGAGTGTTCAAAAAGGTGTCCCACGGCAACTGAGGTTTAAGCCAGCCGATGGAAGAGACTATTGCTTCGCCTAACAGATGGAGTTTCGGATCCAGGCTCTCGCTAGAAAAATATTTAATATTCAATGCGCAATCACCATGCTTAAGAGGCAACTGGAAAAACTTCTGGTGTTTGTTTTTCCATGCTCCACGTCGTATACCACGAATAGCGCTGAATCTGCGAGCCGCAACATCCTCCTTCATAGAGCTGACATCAGCGCATAGTGTATTAGTGATGTTGTAGTGAGGCCTACGGTTATCGCGGCTGCTCATAGGCATATCCTTGCTTTGTTTATGGTCGCATGGAATGGTGTCTTCAAATGAATGTATTGACACATCATTCTGTTCTTTACGTGTCTCGGCACCATACACTGCGTCATCAGTTCTGATGTCACCCTTTACTGTACGCGTAGAATCTATAGCGGGATTAGATTGGCGTACCTCTTTAGTGCATTGGATTGCCTCATTAATTATAGTGACTGGACACTTAATGAAATCATTTTGAGACCTTTCTACCCCACTATCGCTACCACAATCATCTTTCTCTAACGCAGTCCTCTTTAAACGCGTATGCGGTCCGTTTCCCAAATCATCGGGATCGACGTTGGCATATATATCCTTCCTCTGTCTTTTGTACGTAGTTTCGCCGGTTTCCGTGCTTTTCGTAGTATGAGCGGCAGCGGGATTGAAGTCCGCAATAGCGCAACAGGCTATGTCATGCATTCGAGGAGTCAGACATGGAGATGTTGTATGCTGCAGCAAGGGGGTTTCCACGGGTGTGGAATCCATGCGGGGGGTGCGGATTTGATGCTTTTCAAACGGTTCAAAAAACCTCTTGACTGTGCCGTAATAGTCACACATCGTATTTTCGCATAGGTTGAATCCACACGCAGCATCCCTAAAAGTGTTGAAATAGTGCAGAAGTATACGGAAGCACCTGTATATGTTCTCACGATAGCTCTCAATGTGTATGTTAGAAAACAGTAAATGTATGGGTGGCGTTTTATCATATGTTGCGACCAAATCACATATAACTAGAGGCATACGTGACACATGGTTACCCGGTAATGATCCCATGCGCAATTGATTTAATTGTATTTTTCGAGGAATGGGCTCAATTTCTTTCATTTTAGAACTGCAATTACTATTTGCCGCACCCACATGGGTCGTCTCAACATCGGCATCCCGCTGATTTGGGTGATTACGTTCCTTGTACAAATCCTCGTTATTGAAATTAAAATCCTTTGATGTGACAAACAACTCTCCTAAGTGTTCGGACTCATACGTGCTTATAGATGTAGATCTGAGGTTGCTTTGGGTGTCAATTTTAACGTCAACCTTCGTGTATAATTTTGCATGACCCTGTAGCAACTCCGTGGTAAACGGATAGTTTAGGGGATGATTAGAATAGATTTTAGCATATTTAGACGAATAGTTTCGTACGGCATTGTTAAGATCATGAGGTTCCCCAGCGAGAAACTTGTAGTGCTCTTGATACAATGTTTCTACCTCTTTCATTCCACAACCCAAGATATGTTGTGCGTTATCAACGCCCAAAACAGATTGAAGATAGCTTTCGGGAGACCGTTCCCAGTGTCGGAGCAAATATGGTCCAATATGCCATGACGATGCAACCTTCTTACACTTGCGTGGGTGACATTCATCCTTTGTTGTCTTTTTACTTGTTTTTTTTACGATTCCATTAGAAACGAGTCTAAATTTACCAGGAAAGCGAGACAGCCTGGTTTCTGGTTTCGCAATATCCCCTTTATCGGAACCATTATCCCCCTCGACATCAGAAGTGTTACAGTCACATATAACATCAATATTAGCATCTGTTTCTCCTTCGACCAGGTTAGTAGACAACATAAAATCCAAATCCTGTGTGGCAAACAGTTTAGATGGGTGGACTAAGGGGTAATAGAGTAAAAGGTAGAGTGACTTAGGGTCCGCCATCTGCATTGCAATGTGAAGCGCGGTACGACCAAAGTGGTCACAATCATTGATAGAATCCCTTTTTTTTGACGAAAGGATACGTTTCAGTGCGTCGTAATCACTCATGAGTACACATTTGTGGATTCCAGCAGTTTTACGCCGGCCGGGGACTACACGTTTTGCATCCGCTCTGTAGACCGACACGTACTTATTTCCATTGCTCGCTGAGCATTTTGTTAATCCTGTTTCTTTACAATCCATTTTGAGTTGAATAGAAGACCGAAATTTATGAAAGAATCACGCGATTTGCATCCTCCCTTCAATATGTGTGGTGTGGCACGTGCCTCAGCCTGTAATCCATAGAAAAATATGTGGATGGGTAAGCAGCAATAAAATAATGTTCTGTCTATGGATAAGTAGAATATGAGTCTGACGAAAGTCACAATTCTGCGGATATCCGTGTAATGCTTCCGCGCGTTGCTAGCCCCAACGTTTCCCACATATTTCGAAAAAAACAAGCTTCAAATCGACTATATCAATACAAATAAAATATATAATATAAATTCAATACGTTATTGGCCCTCAGAAGGATCACAAAGCTTCAGACTCAACGCTGTGTTTTTGACGACCCCGAGCTCTTGCATCGGCGAGATTCCTCCGGTGCACCGAGGGCATTTCATTTACCTTTAAAACAAAAAAAAATTAACACACGGCATATAATGGTTTGGCACTCTTTTGGTCTTTCTGTGCGTCGCGTTTTGCTTACATAGTTGATTGGAGGCGCTTTTGACACACACATCTGATGTTTTTAACACTGTATTTTGTGCACACACTTCTAAAAGGTTCCATGTCACCCTTATGTGTCTACAGACCATATAGGATCTTCCTGGGAGGCGTCACCCAATTGTAGGTGTCCTGCCGTACTACGCGGAACATTCATTCATTAATCAATCGGGGATGATGTTGAGACATCAAATGAAATCCTTCCATACGTGCGTATCCAACGCATATGCCGATGCCTTTGGTGCATCGAATCTGTAACATGTATGTTCAATATCTGATGCTGAACCTCGGAAGATAACTACAAACATGGCTAGGCATTTACCCTGCAACGGTATAGGATTAGATAAAGTTAGGAACCAGTGCGCTTTTCGCATCAGTTTCAGCGCGCTATCGCTGCGAAGTGCGAATGAGCAGCTTGGTGGATGGTATCACTACCATTCGACGGGAAATAAAGTTAAAAAACGTGGCGACGACCTTCTTAGGGTTAGCAGAGCAGATGCGAAATTATCGTTGAATTATTCATTGGTGACATTTTCTATCAAGATATTTTACAAGGAACACTTTCATGATGAAAATTGGCAACTGTGTTCAAGTGCGGAAACTAGACCCATTGTGACATCATTTGATAACAAGGGGCACGGTTTTATGACATGTTTATTGAAAGACATGGAATTGCTGCCATTGTTTCTTCATGGCCGGGAATCGTTAGCCGGCCCTAATGGTGTAATGGTGGATGATAACACAGATGGGACATCTCAATCGCAAAATAGTGTCGTGTTGGCTGGTCAAGAATGCTGGGGGTCGAATCATTTAATGGAATCGCACATATTTAAAATATCTATAGGTGTTGCAGTAGTGGTTCGCGGTAAAGTACTCTATGTCGGACATGGCTGGAAAACCCTTCGTTCAATAGATTTATTCGGGAAGCATATAAGCCTGGAGCTTTTCGGTGATTTGTGCAATGAATATGATCATGGCGAAAACATAATTTCCGATGCATGTGTATTCTTCGACATCAGTGTAAAAAATGCTCAATGGATACCATCTACTGAACCTTGCCAAGTGCCTCAAGAAATCGTCGATCAGGACGCTTTTGAACTAAACCAAGTCCATACACATCCTAATTTGAAATTGGGGAGAGACCATGATTTGGTTCGATCAACGTTTGATGGTAGTTACAAGAGGTCGATCATGGATTTCAATGTTACGCCTCAAATCGAGGTATTTTCCATACCTTCAAAGGCAGCGGTATCACGAACACAATTCTGCACGTTAAGAAAAACAATAACAAGAGAAATATCAACACCTTTATCCGTAAGACGCGCTTCTGATAGTGGGTCGTTAGAACTTCGGGGTATAGTTTATGTGGGGAGCAACCCGACATATCAGGTCTCTGTTTTGGACATCAACAACCTTGCCAGTAGTATGACCCATGTAAAACCTGCCGATGTTGGTAGCAAATCTCAAACGCGCCAATATCCCATAATGTCCAAAGAAACAAAAAAGTATTTGACTGGGGACCAGGGAGAACTAACTACGGAAAGAAATGCGATTATTGATGAGTCGCAGCCGTCAATCTTGCACGGGCGTGACGCAACGGCAGAAACTGATGCTGCGGATATCCATGAAAAAAATGATGGATTTCTTGCCAATCTCATACAAACAGTGTTTGGTCGTGATAAACAAGCGGACTGCGATGCCACGGAAAGCCTCAATGCTGGGGAACCGTATGGTTGCATAAATTCCCAAGCGGTTCCAGCAGAGGAGGCTGTGGATACAGTGACATATGATTCGGGGGATCTGCTATCGCAACCAAATAAGTTATATGGGCTAGTAAACATTAATCACATGAAACGTGAGGAAGGTGTTACATCACATTTTCAGGTAGTTGAGACACTTCTTGGCACATTTTTTGGCAATCTAGCCCATCTGGTACATAACTGCCAATTAGACATATCTGTAAACCGCATTTGGGTCAAGCCAAGTGAACTGGATCTATGCACGTTCTTAGTATCCATTCCCGATGATCGAAATCAAGATTTCCAATACGTCAACGAAGTTATGACACCATTCTTCAACCAGTCGTTACATTCCATTGCTGAGATTGCAATTCTGTTGGAGGTCCGTGGCCGTAGATGCGGAAATTACGTCGACCGCCACCAGCTACACCGGATGCTAGAGAATCTGGAGCTAGGGTGTGGTATGTCGGTATACGAGATAAACATTGAAGACGACATAGAAACGGTTACTCAGATAATTTATGAAAGACATCGTAAACAATCAATGCCTTTGAGGAAGACACAGTCTGAAACACTAATTTATGCAAACACGGAACTGTCTAAGGTGATAGGCGGTTCATCGCACATGGCTGACATCAGTTCCTCAAGCGCTAGGAATTCGATGTCGGTTGAGACGTGGATACGCACAATAAAAGACATTTTGGTGGAGAATGGGGAAAAGGGGCTGATACAAATAACCTCGCCTCGCACGTCGTTGCCCATAGGCGCAGACCAAAAGTGGGTCGTCATGATGAAGCAGCTGCTAGACTCCGTCAGGGCCGAACATCAGGATGAAGCGTGTGCTGAAGGAATCAAATTCATTTGGCCTTCTTTTTGAAGAATATGCTGTCATCACGCTAAAGGTTTATGCATTTCCTGAGACCGTACCGTGGGTATAGGAAACCTTATGGTCTATTGCCTCTACTATCTAATCCACTACCAAATGCGTTTGGTCAGCAGCATATTCATGGAGCAAAATTGAATTTGAATTCATAATTATTCGCAACTAATGCCAATTAATAGCTTGTTTGGGCAATTATTTTTGTGCCCGATTCCCTCTCCAGTTGATATTCCTCCCGGCAGATGGTTGGATGGGCCCTCACTACGTCATAAATGGTCTTACAATTACTTTACAATTTATGCATATGATAAATAGAATGAAGTAGATTTATTATGCCGGCTACCACTAAAATACAGAAGACTTTGTTTCGTTCCCGTATGTAATACGTGACTTAGAATGCTTCATTTGTAGCTAATAACATGTCAGTTGCACTATTAGAACGTTCGTAATGAAGCTGTTGTGAGTTTTGGGAATTCTCATAATTTAGCGTCAAGTGGAGATGTGTCGTGTATGATACAGGTCAGGCGTCTAGTTATACGATTAATCACAGCAATAAAAATTTTATATTTAGCAAAATTCAAGTGCAGATGTGGTTATCGCCTTTGAGGCTCTCACAATTTTTTACAAGTTAGATGGCTGCGTGCTCCACTACTGTCGCAGGATTGTTGACTCAGAAGCTAAAATTTGTTTGAATAAATGTTTCACCTGTTCAGCGTCCGAGTTTTTCTTGAAAGCCATAACAAATTGCTTTTCAATTCTTGTTAAAAACCATTTGATTACCTCTGGGTTCGCAACATGGAGTTTGACTGACCTCGAAATAGTCTGAACCACATGAATGGTAAACAGTTTAAGGCATATGTCCTTAGAAGGGACAAAAGAAAGTTCTTTGAAGACATGGAGTATACCTGGGTCGCCTTTTGTAATCATGTACTTCATCTTTCGGTTTATCTCCGCCACTTGTGTGTACGTAGTTTCACCGCTAACGGCAGGCTCCGCCGTGGCATTGAGCAGTTCTATCATATCATACAGCAAGCCAAGGAAGTCGTTAATGGCGTCCTCTGAGGCCTTGCAACCATCTTCTAAACTCTCGACGGCGTACCTTATCAACGTGTTGGCGTCCGTTACAGAACCAGCCATCACGTGGGAGAGCACCTGTAGGGTAAGTTGTGGGGTATCAAAAGACAAAGGATTCTCAGCGTAGACTCCGGTGTGACCCTCCTCGACAGGTTCAGCATCCGTCTGCACTAAGGGTACTAACCTAGGTGTGGGACCATTATCCCCAAAGCGATGAGCTAGATGTGTCATGGCGGTAAGGTGGATGCATCTTTCACTTAAAAGCCTTTCCAAGTAGTTAGTTATACCTCCATGATTAGTAAATCCTGATGTATACAAATCGATGTTGCTGGCAATAAATTTAGACACAGATGTGATAGAATGTGAAGGCAGCGTAATCTCAAGGTCACTGCTTTTGAGAGTAGCAGTGTCTGATCCACATAGGCGCTCGAGAAGTTTATTAATACGACCAAAAACAGAAGTGAATGAAGCCAATGAATGCAACAGCTGAGTTAACGTATTTGTAATATTGTTAGCTCCAGGCGACAATTCCTTGACCTTTTTACTGAGCATCCAACGGAGGTAATGTTCAACTGAAAACGCCAACTCAATGCGCAGCGAATCAGCATCCTGCTTTTCGTAATCCGATTCAGAGGCAAAAGAAGATGCTTTTGATTCTATCTGGCGTATGTGCCCTTTGGATTCATTGATATGCTCCCCCAACAGGGGCTGTCGGCCTGACTCAGCGCTGACGCGCAACATCAGAAGCGATGGCAAAGACCCCAACCATCCATGTTTTTTCTGATGTACTTCGGAGGCCGATGTGAGACTTCTAAAGTAAATGTTGAAAACGTTTTGAAGAGATAATACATAGAAACGAAGGAACGACGTGAACAGTGGGCGCAACGATATTTGCATAACATTGCCTAGATCCTCTACAAATCGTAAAAGATCGATTATTTCATCCTTCAACAAATCGTCTACCATGCTATGTATACCGGAATAAGCATCACTATCCAATATCTTTACCGACGTTTTGTGTATTATGGTTACTAGAGCATCGTAAATAGCATAAAACTGTCTCTGCATATAGAGCAGAACGCTCAACAACACCCATCCGAAGCTGATATCAACCAAAAGCCTTACTGTTTCACAACCTTTTGAATACGTCTTTATTTTGTCAATTAAACAAGTTAAGACATAAATAAGTTCATTACAAGTGACAATCCTGCGTTCGTCCACGATTCGACGATTGAAGGCAGCGAAGGCCAACTGCACATAAATCGCGACGAGCTGCTCTGCTAGATTTTCCTTTATGCACTTGCAAACCTTTTTTGCGTAAGAGTATATATAGTACCGTAAATAAACGAGACTCCCTGCAGCGTCTAAGGTAGTGTGACTGTTTTCTTCGTTATCAAAATTGTTTTTGTTATCTATAATAGTTATGTCACATTCTCCTTCACAACAGAAAAGGCAAGCTACTTCGTGAAGGTTGCCATTGGATACACAATGATTAATCTGACTGTCGGAGCATGCTGCGATAGTTTCGGCCAGCTTGTAATAACCACCCGAGTCAATAGCTTCTATTAGGTAGCTAAGACCCCCTACGAGTTCTTCCGAAAGGGAATGTAAATCTACTTTAGAATCTGCTGCACTGATAGTCAGATGATTTACGACCTTTCGCATATAGAACGATTTGTTCAGCCAGTAGAGCTCCCACAGCTGATTTTCGTTCATGCGTGACACGGCCAAATTGCAACAGATACCCACGAGCAAATCGTGTGACAAATACTCAGTTTTTACAAGCATACAAATTCCTTTCACGACATTTGGAACGAGCTTCCTTATGGCACTGCTGAATGTACGGATAAGCCTTAGGTCAATTGGCTCGGGGCATGTACGTTCGCGAACAGCTGTCAATATCACGTACACCTTGGAAAGAAGTTCCGCAACTAGCGATAGCTGTTCCTTACGATCGCAGTCTGTTGCTTCGAGCTTCGTCGCTTGTTTGATACAAGTCGCGATGCACTCAAGCGCCTGGAAGATGTTTATCACACGATTGAGTTCCGTAATTCCCTGCAACTTCTCACGCAATCCGTATCTAGATGTTATACCTATCGATGAGGCTTTTATTTGCGATGATTTTAGAGCCTGCAACCGTTTTTGTACGACAGCCAGCTCGCCGTTAATTTCGTGCACTGTGTCTAATGCTGTGAAGAGACATTCATAGTTATCGTAGACGAGAACTTGTTTCCCAGCTGTAAATTGCCTTACTTCACGCTCTAATTTCCTCAAAAGTCCTATTAGTTCCATCATGGAGTATTTCTTGAGCGCGGTGGGCAGACAGCTGTCGACGTCGAAATCCACATTGCCGAATATGGCACCGCTGAGGATAGCATCATCCGTAATATCTTGGTTTTCTTTACTAGTGTCGGCTTGATCAGAGCCCACATTGCCTTCGTTTCGTACTTCTGTGCCATAGAACGACGAGAGCAAAGCGGAAACGGATGTTTCATCGTCCACTGGATCGCAATCCGATGCGGTCAATACCACCATATTCTCTTGATCTATTCATAGTTTTTTAAAACCGTGATGTGTACCGGAACATCTACTCCGCGGCACGAACACGAAGACCATGTAATATCCCAAGAGTGTTTTGGAGACCAGACCTAAGGTATGATTTAAGTTACGAGGAATAGATGCGATTTGTCTTATATTTTTTTCATTTTTCGTAGATGCTCCTTCAATACTATGTGCCGCAAGAGAAAGGATGTGCAATCTACCAAGATGCCTACTGATTCCATTGAAGAAGAGGGACCAAAACGCATTAAGTCTGAGACGCGTGAGAACAATATTCAGTTTATAGATGACTGTGTCTTGCTACCACCAGCAGTGAAGTCATGGCTTTCGCACATCGGCGTTAACACCGATAAATACGCGCGCACGCTCTACCAGATTGCGAATGGCCGAAAGAAACGCTATTATCGCGTCGTATCGTACACTGGTTCGGCGCAGAGAGGCAGAGAATGTACGGAGGATTCATTGAGCACAGCTCGTCTTCAAGAAATGTGCCAATTGGATACGGAATACATACACACTACGGAAGCGAAGGCGCACTCAACAGCTTACTCGTGTGATGAGCAACCAGCACAGCATTATGTTAATGGCGTAATTCGTGACGGAAGTTGCGAATTCGAACGTATTAGCCGACAGACGCCACGCGACCCCGTTGTAACATGGCTACGAGACGTCACGCTCCACGAGTGTTACGGAATAATCCCCGAGGGCGCTGTTGGCCTAGATGCCGCCAGCGCTGCTGTTGTCGACGCACTAAGGTTGTATGAACTCACAGAACAGTCGGGTACTAAATGGATTTTGGACATGTGTTGCGCGCCCGGTGGAAAGCTTCTCGGCATGGTGAGTTCTCTGAAACACATGAGGAAAAATAAAGGAAATTGGAAGCTCATAGGTTTGGACATGGTCAAACGACGTTTAGACGTATGCGCTTCTTTGCTGAAAAAAGAGTCAGCTGTAGATAATATTGAGGTACATCTGCTGAATTGTAGAGGCCAGGACTTCACCGAGTTTGAAGGAGAATTTATGTTTAATCGTTTCGACCGCATATTAGTCGATGCTGAGTGTACGCATGAAGGATCGCTTCGATCGGTGTTGCGCACGTTGAAGTATTGGGGCGCACATTCTCTAGAGAGCCGATTCACACCGGCGCACGCATCTTCTATAATATGCAACCAACGCGAGCTCCTTAGACATGCTTTGAAATTAATACGCCCCGGAGGATTGGTTGTCTACAGTACGTGTTCATTACACGATGAGCAAAATGAGCTTCTGGTGGCCAATGTCTTGAGGGAATTCGATAATGTGAGATTACGACAATTGCCAATATTATCTTGCCGTTGTTGTTCTCCAACATCTGCTAGAACCGGTATTTGGCCTGCGTCGTCTACTGAGTCTCTGTTTATGCAGCACTGTCATCCACGCTACCTTCCTGATAGAAATATACATGGGCAGAAACACCAGTGCGACAATACAGAGTCGCCTATTTGCGTCAGGTTCGACCCATTAGGACCTGAAACAGATGGTATTTTCATCGCAGCAATAACGAAAAATGGCAACTGACTTCTGTTCATTAGCAGCCCATGATTCTATTTGTCATTTAACGATTGTAATGCTAAGAGTGCTACCCTTACGTTACATGCCACACTAGCCTTTACATATATGCTTCCAGTTACTTATTCAACAGCAGAGCGTACGCAGTTGGTATGGCGGTAATATGTAACCATTTAGTCCACGAATCGCCTGAATACGTTTCACGACAGTTCGAAAACGTGCATATGAATTGTAATGATAACCGCTTGACGTGTTACACACATTACACCGGCGCATAACGACCCTTATAGTGTCTACGGAGGGAAGGTCGGAGAATTACTAGAGGCTATGCGGCTCGCTTCGAATCGTTCACTACTTTCCATGTGTTGACTCCACCAAAGGTCTGTTACATATGGTTTTAAAAAACATGTATTTCTCTTGGTAGAGTTGTTTCAGTGTAAAACTGAGCATAAAGTTAGAAGCGTTAATTCATATATATACATTAAATCATGTACTCAACTGTGGCTAGCGCACCATATAAGTGAGAGCCACGGGCCTTACTACTCGATGATTGACCCTGGATGACGTGAAACATGGTGGTTAGTTATGTTGCGTAACCGAGTTCTGTTGTGCAACCGCCTTCCAGCGACAGAACGTCAACCACTTTAGTCTGTCCTCAATGGAATCACCAAGAATTTGTAGGCGCGCTTTACATGTCCTGTACCAAAGTGTTGTGAAAGCGTGAAGTTTCAACAGATAAAGACCATCCATCACACGGCGGTAGGTTCGGAATTCGTCAACTACTGTAGCTGTGTCAACCTCGGGTAGCACAAGCGCCATGTTTCGCCAGTGCTTGAAATATGTCAATGCTAGACAATACGTAGCCATGGCATCTTGCACCAATATATCTGACGTTGTAGAAAATTCTATTTCTTCATTCATAGATGTCTGTAGGCTTGGTGGTGTACAATTAGGTCCCCCCGGAAGAGAGGCACGAACTCTATAGACAGCGCAACGTCTCCAACATCGGAAAACCCTGAACAACACCCCAGAGGTGCTTTTTTTTTGAGTTAATTTAATACGGATATTGTAATTAGCGTTTTCTAGCAATGCCCTGAGACCCACGGTAACACGAGTTTCCCTTAGAGTTGATAACGCAACCAAGGCTGCGTAGAGCCGTCTTTGCTCCGATACAATTTCGCCACAGCCAACCTCGGTTTTCCTCATGATCCGTTGCAGTTCAAAAAATTCTCGGCACGCTTCTTCCTCTCTCATGTCCCAATAACGATCGATCATTTTAGCGATTTTACTACAAGCAGCAGAGATGACCATGATCCTGTATGACCGACGTTTCAAGTTATACAGATCATTTCGCTTCAGTTCTGTGACTTGGTGCATAATAGTAAAGACTCGTTCCCGTATCATTGCGTGGTGTAGTTTCCGTATTTCATCGCAGACTACAGCAACAGAGTTGCGTCTTTCAGAGAATTGCCTCCAGGTAGAGAATATCAAATTGATGCATCTTTTAGTACGTGTATCATGGACACGCGATTCAAGTGACGCAATGGCAGTGCACCGATGAAAGTGTCTCAACATATTATCGAATACTACCTTCAAACGGCAGGTGTCGTAGCTTCTTTGTATTGCCTCAACACAGCCAGCCAGTCTTGCTTCATTACGAGCGTACCAATTCCAGTGGTTGAAACACCCTTTCAATAAAAGACGTATACGCGGTTTCAGCGACAAAACAGCCTGCTGGCAACGGGTGGTCTTATGCCATGCATCTAAAGCGTAATGCAAACGCCATCGACTTATCCCATCCTTAACGGTAAGTTCCAAGTGTTGACGTCTATTAAAACGTTCAAGAGCGGCATGCTCAATAGCCTCCCAACCTTTTCGCATATACAAATCTCTGTAAAATGCGCAGGCCTGCGCTGTGACTCGGATACGCCACTGGGTGTGCATCCGCCAGTTGTTGAATTGCTTTCGAGCCACTGCATAACTACGAAATGCCGAGATTTCAGTACATGCATCAACTTCGCGGCAAGAAACCACAACGACCTTATACAGGGATCTAATATAGCGCCAACGCTCCCTAACGGTGTGAGTAGACATCATGCATCTCAGATGCAGTCTCATGAAGACAATGCTTACAGATCGGCAAACCAAGGAGCTGAGGAACGATACGAACGTATCACATCGCTGATTTAGCTCCGCTGTTTTCTGCTCACGAGATATTCTAGCTACGCTAAGCCAGCGCGTGAAGCATGTTAGCCTGAGAGACATGTTGAACAGGCCTTCGATAGCGTTGCGTTGCTCTGTCAATTTTTCGCATTTCCGAATGTTTTCAGCACTGTGTTTCCTCCACGCTTTGAATGCAGATGAGTAGCGTTTAATGATAAGCATTGTGTTGATCAAGCGCCACAGGGGCATTCCGTAACACATTAGATCGAAAGCTGTACATCTGATTGAAGAAAATGTAAACTGCATATTCGGAGCCCTTATACCAAAAACCTTCGTTAAAGTCAACCTCTGCAATAGCGTTACGGTCCATTCCGGGATAACACGCCAGTAACGGGAACTAGCATTAGAATCCAGATGATTAAGATATGTGCCATCCGTAACGGATTCGGGTTGCCAAATAGCGCCAATTTGGTTTTGGTGCCTATGGGACCTCATTGTGAGACTTAAAGCTCCATATTCCTCTTCGTATTTCGCCAGAGGAGATATTTCGCATTCGCTAGAATGTCTCGCTTTAATGGCTTCATCATTAGCACAGAGACTCGGAAAGCCTCGCAACCTGATGATATACAGTTGATAAGCGTAGGTAGAGTTCAGATAAGCCAAATCGGCATGGGTGAGCAGCTGACAAATACGAACGATTATATCGTCAAAATCAGTCCCCCACTCTGCCATCAACTCGATGGCACGTGTCTTCAGACCGGATAGAAAATGGAGAAATATGATACACTCACTCCTTAGAGGTAAGCTTAGGACTAGGAGAATGTTGTCGAATAGCACAGTTTCCTTGAAACAATCGAAGAGGCCTTCACCATCTTGCTTTTGTCGAAAGAGCATATTACGAAATGTATTCAGCAGCGCAGTACGGCTGTTATCAGTCATGTCTAAATGCACATTCCCAATCTGCGCGATTAAATAGAGCTTACGCGCCAGAGATTTCATCAAGACATTGTCGAGGCGCTGCAACACTGCAAGTTTCGAGTGAGAATTCCTTATACTCTCTATCGCTCCTAAAAATGCATTGCGACATATTTACCCCTATACCCACCTTGGTTAAGCCTCAGGCAACGACATCGCTGCACAGCGGATGCGAAAGCTCTAAAATACATACGCTCGTGGCGCAGCTTCTGGCACGTTTCGAACTCTGACAGGACACCATTGAAGCGTTCTATTCTTCTGATGTAAGCACTTCTCATGAAATCATAAGAACGACAAAGCAGAACCTCCCTGTAGTTAAGGTCTGCGACCAGTTTCATGTCTGCCCTCTTCTTGCGATGGTCGGTATACTCTGCCCAGGCAAAAAAGACACGTTGGAGCAGTATTCGCCTGCAAAAATCCTCCACATAATGTTGCTTCATCAACTCTTCGGCAAAACGGGAAGAATTGTCCAGTAACGCCGCGAACGATGCGCGCTTGTGACAATTATGTATACATTTGGTAAGACGACCAGCTGCCGTTATGATAGCACGTTTATAACATAAGACAGCCTGAATTCTCCCAATATGCTGACGTTTAAACACCACATCGCGTTCATCCGTGTCACAGGTAGAAGACTGTGTAGGAATCTCAGCATGATCTTCAACGCAACGCCTTCTGCGAGATAGTCGTGCAGAAAAGATTTGAACAATAAACTTACAAAGCACAAAAGGATTTACACTTAAGCATAAAATGATGGTATTGAGAAGCTTGCTTTTCCTTAGTTGCTACGTGCCAACAGCCAAACGCCCTCGAGGCAGCATCACGAAGCACGGTTTCTTCAATTGACGCCTCCTTCTGTTATGTTGTTAACATGGTTAAATTAATGTCAATTTACCTCAACGGCGTTTCTGTATCTTGAAATTGTGCGTTCCCAACCATTACGCAACACAAAGGAAAAGCATAATGATTCCAATTGGCAAGAAGCTACGTGGCACCTGTAGATAAAATGCAGGGCACCAAATGCCACATTCTTGGCATTTATATCACAACTGTGCGCGATTTTTGCTGCACAGTCATCGAGCCTCCTCGACTGTGTCACATATTGACGCAAAGGAGTTATACCCTTATCGCGGATACACTTTTCTATGACATCTACAAGACGGTAGAGATATCGTTTGCAATTCTTCCTGCGTTGAAGTGATGACTTGAATGCCAACAATGCGCGCGCAGCAAGTGACGTTTGGTAAAATATAAGCGCGGTTGCATTATCAGATCGTTTTGCAGCCCCGTGTTTTGCGATGGCTCTCCACCGGCTCAAGATAACTTTGAGAGCGAATGTGTCCGCCTTACATTTAGCCTGCTGGATACGCCTGTTTCTGACTGCACGCGCGAGAGCCTTCAGAGCCATGCCATAGCGCTGCTTGGTGTACCACACATTGGCGATTTCTTCTCCCAATGAATTTCGCACGTTTCCGTGGTAAGATTTAGCCCATTTTCGAAATGTGTTGTATCGAAGTACATATTTCAACGTATTTACATAAGTGTGGTGTACCTTGTTGAAAGTGGAAGCGCGGCAAAGAGGGGATACGACCTGCAGGGTGATGCAACTGCTTGAGAAACAAGATACCTTATCAGAGGAGTAACGTTTACAAGAGTCACTCCGACGTTCGTCATAGGTGAAATCACCATAATGTCCGAGATATCCCGTAGTAGAAGTCGACTTGAACTGCTGTAACGGCATTAAACTCCTTTTAATCAAACTCCTTGCCCGTACCTTTTTGGTAGACGGACGAGTTGCGATCATTGTAATCCATGGTATACATCAGTTATCTCTCCCAGATGTCATTTTGTTGTGTGAACGTGATACAAGTCGCACTTGTACAAATGGACAATGAATCCGTTCTGATACACCATAACACTAGCACACGCTTGGCAGCCTATCATAAGCAATGCAAGAAACCGTATTCAATCTTAATAATAGTAGCATATCCATTAAGGAAGGCGGCATAGAGTGGAAGGATGACGTGAAATACCCACAGCGCCTCGGCAGAGAGTTATTTTGCGAGAACCCCTGAGGGATAGGTGAAACACGTGTAAATGCTTTTGTGTAGATGTTTGGTTAACCGTATAATTCCTCCGTGGAGGGATTGCAACTCCCCAGTAGAGTGTTACTAATATCCGGAAGGATGTGTAACCCGCGAATGCGACCTCGTCTTCGCAGATGGCAAATTGTTCATATGTACCGACCAACTAGGGCCCAAAGATTCCTTTTTTATAAAATAAACCGGTAACGTTATTTAATTGTGTTTTAGTATTGATACGACAGATATCTGATTTCCTGTCTAGCTTCCTAGGTGATCAACCTCATGTTTCAAGTCAACGAAATGGCAGCGGGCACTTGAACCTTTTAAAGTTAAAATTTTTATTATTAGCCAGCTATTAGAATTATCTTGTATCCGTTCTGAGGTTGCGTGGTTACTCTGACGCTTCAACTCCCCCTGGCCCGTATTAGGTACTCTCTGCCTGCGGCAAGCGGTTATGAGCATCTACGTGGCCGAAAGTACCATCAAAAATATGAATTTATACAGAACTTCCACACTCACTTCGTTGCCATGGCGATCTGGGCTGGGTTATCCTTGCTTCAAACGCCTCTTAAATAGTACAACTACCGCTGAAGATGAAGCAATTCCCTCCACGAATCGGAGGGAACTTTTACTCTGGCAATTGAAACTATCATCATGTCTAGCCGGTATTGTTATATCTACGTACGGTGCTTACGTTGTCGTCAGTTCGGGTAGTTGCAATCTTTAGATTCTGGTAAAGCGTGCTCAGGATTTCAGCTCGACAGATGCAAACGAAAGATTTTATCGCATTGGTATGGCATAGTTTACGGCAATACGTTGCCTCAACGCGTACGAGCCCTTCTTAATTCTCGTTACAGTGCGTGTCTGCGCGCCGATGTATTGCATTATTTGTCAACATACTTCATCAAGTTTGACCTGATGAAGGAGAACGGTTTCACGCGGAGAGATGCAATATTGTTTCTGGAAACCGTCGGTATCGACACGAATGACCAATTGGTGGATCGATTTGTCGCAGCAGGTGCTGGGGAATCAAGGGAACATCGTATGGTCAGCGGGTGCTCTTTACAGGAATTTGCGGAGTTGATAGAAGCCCTCGTTTTAGAAAATAGAATAAATGGTGATGATAAACTAGAGTGCCTCTTCAGAGACAAGTTCAAAGAATTAACCGGAGAAGAGGTTGGTTGCATATTATTGCTGACTTGTTTCCGCAGAAAACCAATATACGAGAATCGAAGAACGAATTTCGTCTTAATAACCCTATTTTATGCAGAAATACGAATAAATTGTCCAAGGAGTTGTGCAAATACGTCCGTGAAGACCTCAAGGCGGCTGAGGTTCACGATTTACAGAGTGAAATACAACGTCTGTACCGATTTAGAGAGAAGCTTGAAAATGTAGCTGCAACTCGCAGTTTGTCTGAGGCAGAAGTGAGACGTCTAAACGATATCAACAAAGAAATTGATCTGTTACATGATGAACTATCCAAGGAGAGACATGTAGTCAACACATTAAGTTTGATGTGACGTGATGATACGAATGTCATATAATGACAGGTGGCTGTTGAACAGAGAGCTATGGGTTTTTATATGTTGTGAACCCTTTTCTTTCTAAGTTTTGTGTTAGGTGTTGACGATATCGCATTTCTAGCCGTTATCTAACGCGTATCCAATATCTCCTCAGCTCACATGATCTGCGGCCAAGATCAATGTGACAATCAGTGATGGATTCGCTGTTACTGTTGCTTTATTCTAATTACGTCAAGCCATAAGGGGCGTAAGCTACGAGCCCAGTCACGCTAGCCGCGCGGAAGTTACTTTCGCCACGAACAATAATAGCACTTTACGTGGCAACATTAACATCGCATATAAATGAAGGGGAATCCATGCCCTTTATTATAGCAATTTCTTCTCAGTTGTATGCTTCACTTGCTTGTCTAGCCCTTAAGTAGTTAAAGACTTTTCTTTGTTTCAAGATAGTCCAATTCGTTTGGCACCACTGCGTAATTGTTCGCTTGCGATTTGCTTCCTGAAATCACCTTCTTGCCTCAGGGTTTTTGGAAGCGGGGTAATAATCTTATGGTTTGTTCGGTACCTAAAATCAAACTGTGATACCATTCACAATCCAATAGCATTGCCTGTCCTTTTGTTAGAGCCTGGTTACGGTCTCAATTAAGAGAGGTATAACTTCAAAAGATGATTACCTTAGCCTAATTGCTGATTTTATAATGCTGCGATTTTGTTTTGAAGAAGCATTAATATTGTTTGCAGTATTGTTCCACATTGACTGAAGGGATTTAAATTTTCTTGTTACCGATACGACCATTTGACTGACGTAGCCTAATGTATAGGCGAAATGTGATTGGCATTGAAATTTTCTTCAGCAGCAACTTTTTTCTTCTATTTTTTTTTAGCAGAATGGGGTCACTTTGTACATCATTATTTTCATATATTATGACTTATTAATTTTCAAAATGATCGTCAAAATGTTTGTGGCTCTCTATGTCTCATTATGGTCGACACTGTCATCCTGGGTCCGCAGCGATGGCAGGTGCACAGGACAGGACGTAATCAAACTTGGTTTTAAGGGAGAGCCGCTTAATGAGACATATCCCACAAGACTTGGCCTAATACGATCTGTTATCATGCAATGGGTTACATTAGCTCCCGGTATGATATCTTGCAATCGCAGGATGATGCTTGCTGCAAAACTTCAAAAACTGCTTCGAAGGGACGGGCTGCAAATCACACCTACGTGCCTGTACTGTTTCGTGGAAAAGGCACAATGTGTGCAGACACACTGTTATGATTCCTGCCGATCAGACGAGTACGGGGAGGGGTGTGTCAGCTGCGTGGACCAGCACTGCTTGCGCGGATTTGCAAGATGCGTAGGCACTGAGACTTTGAGTCCCGTTGACTGCAAAGATTATTTAATGAAAACTGTATAGTAATATAATCTACGCGCCTATAATTACAATTTTCTAAGGGAGTATTAGGTGACAAAGCACATTATGCGTCACCCTACTTCTAGCACGAATGGTCGTGTAATTGACCATGCCACCTGCTATTGCAAAAAGAATGTTTGTTGCGTTATTCATCTTAGATGCATCACAAAAACATGATATGCTATATAAAAGGGATTAGCCACTATCCAGGCCATGGTATTAAATGTCAAGCATGTGATGTAAGAAACAAATCTACAAAATGGTAGTCTATATGTTATTGACAACCTGTTCCAAGTGTACTAATGTTATGTAGCATTTCTATATATGGTTCCTGCCAGAAATTGTTAAGGTCAAAATATGTTATACTTTCTTCCCCTTGTATACGTTTATAAACCCTGCTCCCTACCACGATACCTTCGCCTGCCTTTTTAACAGTATTCACTACCACATATTGCCACCCATGTTTTACATGATCGAACACTTCTACATGGGTCACGATTACAGCACCCGTCATCCTATGTACCTCGCACTTCTTTGAATTAATGACCTTGACACATACACAACTCTGGGCCAGTGTGGGTAGAACATTGTACTGCGTATAGAGCCAATCACCCCGTCTAAGGTTAGCTAAAATAACTACGTGTGGCGAAGTCGTCTGAGTGCTCGAGATATCTATGCTGAGACACTGTGACACAGTAGGTTCCCATGGCGATACATTCAATGTCTGCCGATGACTCAGTATATTACGTGGTTTGAATATGCCGTTCTCACTAGGTGGCACCTCAACCGCATATAATACAATACTAGCCGGTACACTCTAGGTGTTGAAGTGTTGTAGTGGAAGAACACTTTGTCGTTGAGAAAATCTTTGCGATGATTCGCTACCACCTCCTGGATAATTATCACGACATTTGGTATCTATGTTGACTATAGGAGATATAAGTAGTAACTGTTTACGGCCTCGCAAACGCCAAATTCTAGTTTAATTTGACCCACCGTCCGAAGGAGGAAGGACTGACCATTCGGTATACTGGCCTTCCTCCTTTGCTAGTTTCGTAACTATGAATGGGTGCGCTTTTTCCGAATTGTGATCAAGGCGCAATGATAGAGGTAGAGGGCCATCTAAGAATTCGTCTTTCGTTTGTAGTCTCAGTAATGCATTTGTTACCGATTATTTTGTAACATCTGGTGTATAGGAAGTTAAGTTCCACCCCGCGAAAAGTGCTAATCGTAACGATGTGACTACCCTCACGCCGATATTCCTGAACATAGACGTCTGCTGTAGGTTATTGGAGATACTTTGACAAGCCCAAAGCCTGGTCGCCGTACCTCACAATAGCGATTCGGGCACCATTCGAGTGAAACATCCTATACATACCACCACCAGTGAATGTTCCTTCGAAAACATCTATACATGAAGGGAAAGACGTATGACTGAGATCTAATACTAGTCCACCTACTGGGTAGAGGCATATAATCACCAAAACTGCACATATGGCAACCTTTGGACTCCAACAACTAATTATCATTTCTGCAAATATTGAAATGTAACTACCCTGTTGTTTTAGAGTTAGCTTTTCATTAAGTATGGCAGTTGCACGAATCTCGAATATCCTGTATTCCACAGTTTTACTGTTAATGATTAAGTTTTCAGCTGCCACTGCTAACCAAATTTCGATTACAGCTGTCCTCGTTATCAAGGGGATGGCTAAATAGAGGCCGATATATATTAATGTTGTGCCATCAGAACTGAAACTTCCACAATGAAATTCAAGGCTCTCCTACCACAAAAAATTATTCACCTAGTCCTTACATGTACGAGATATTCAATGGAGATCACCTTTTTTCTGCGTTTCGCCAGAGTAGAATGGACAAAAGCCGTCAACTAGTTGTCGATGATATAAAATACGTCTAGTTACATCATGGTGAGCAGTCGTTACAACTGAAAACTGTTGCACACCCTAGCTCCTCGAGAATAATCCAACAGTTCTCTGCTTTCCGACACAAGCGGTAATTATACTGACTGTCACATGTTTGAACATGTATCGCTCATTTATACTCACTTTAATCGTTGAGATGTGTTCTCGGCGATATCTGAGTGTTAACAGTATCGCTCGCACAACCAGTATTGAACCCTCTATAAATATAATCACCCTTAATCTTTTGAGTTTGTTTTGGGCAATAGTGATCAATGTAGATGTCAGCAAATAGAGAAATACTTGGAAATGTAACACACCGTCACATTTCTAGGTAGTTACCAATGATGAGGATTGCTATTAGTCCGGTAGAAAGACACCGGCATTTAACCCATCTGCTCTCTAATGTTGTCTATGGTTGGCAATAAAGACAAACCTTACGCTCGCACATTACTTTGATATCCCAACAGAGATAACAAGCGGTAAAATAATAGTATAGTTAGCAATTTTGCTCGGTGTGATTTTCAATCAGGGGTTTTAGTTAAAAGCGGAGGACTGATTTTCCAGTGCTTGCTTGCGCACCCTGGCGTTATATTCTTCACGGTTGTTGACGAACAGTAGATATGGATCAGCTTGTGCAGGCGACAGTGGGTTGGGGTTGTCGAGGAGATCCTACAAGTTTTGATTACTTAGCTCACATGATGACATCACCATTGTGAGATTTGCGTGGGTGATGACCGTTTGTCACACGTGATGCTATGAACGTTTTTGCTACAATGCGCCACTAATCGGTGCATTGCTGCAGAGAAAAATGGCGCATAAGTAACCACAATGGCGTTCAACTATTACGTGAATCACCTGTGTTACTGGCAACAAAATGTAGACGCATACCTGTATACCCAATAGAATTTGTTTGATCGTGATGGATGGCTTCCAATCCTTTTCCTCGCTGAGTATGGAGAGACAGACGGTGCCCGACGGGTAGACATTGGGGTGGAATAATACGGGCCTGAATTTACACTTGGGCGGCTTGCTCGGGTAATCGTCTGTGAACTCCATGGTAAGTGTGTATTCACCTCCTTCCCATATGGACCCCTGTGTGTCGTTACAACGAACTGCGGTATATGTAATTATGGCTCACGATTCCAAGTATATGCAATACACAACCAAATAGCGTCAGTCTAACCCGTTTGCCCGGTATTTTGCAAATCCATGTCATAATGTCCAGCCCGCTTCCGTCAGGTAAAGGCGCGTACTTGGCAGAGAATCCTACCGGATGATCCCGCCTCCAGTCTGCCCTTTCTTGTGCCAGTCGTTTCCTTGCGATAGTAGCCATCGCTAAAGACAGTTTTGACTCTGTAAGCTACAGGATTCTGTGAACGCAGCGGAACGCTGTACGTGACGCTATCTAGTGACTTCCGCCTAAAGTGGAAGGACAGCTATAATCTAGGAAACTCAACATGAATAAACGGTGTGGCTGTGGCACTGAAATCCCAAATGTCGCCATAAGTTGCTGAGGTCGGGTATTTCTTACTTAAAGTCGCAAGGAATCAAAACATTCCTTCTAATACCGCGCGTAGATTCGCATAATATTCGACGCCGTACGACATAGAATTCTATCTACAGTGTACAGGCGGTACAGAACACTATTAGGGTAGGTACATACATCGGCAACCCACATGGGACAGACACACCTCCGGCTGCAATGGGCACTGGTACCATTGGAATGAACACACACATCACCGATGTGCATAAATATTTACAGTTACAATATTGCAACAACTGCCCGTGCGTTTATTCATTAGAAAAGCACGAAAGCTTTCCCGTCGATGGACCGCACGTGATGCAGCTATAATAATATATAAACACACATCTTGCAATTGTATTTGTACTAATTATATAAACGCATGTAAAGTACCATGGATGAACCTAGAGGTGTGATGCCCTGTAACTTGGCGCAACATAACGCCTCGAAGGTCATAGTGACACGTCTATAAAAATCACACTGTACCCAAATTAAAAACATATGCGGGAACACATTCCACTTTTGTTAGTGTCATACACGTGTTTCGCAAATTTTATTTTGCTAGCTACAAAAAATAGTAGTGCTACCTACGAAATAAGCTGCCCCTCCATACATGTGAAAACGGCTGCCCTAAGCCACACATTATCTATTACCTTCGCGAATCGACCAAATATATTATTTGGCTGAAATGTTTCATTTGGTTGACTAAAATGATGTCAAATTCTAATGAAGAGGTTCGCAAACCAAAACGTTTCGCCTTTGAGACCGTGGACCCAAAGTTGATGCCAGCACCGCATATCAATCCCTTCCTTCGCCTGCTAATTTATATAGGAATGAACACACACATCACCGATGTGCATAAATATTTACAGTTACAATATTGCAACAACTGCCCGTGCGTTTATTCATTAGAAAAGCACGAAAGCATTCCCGTCGATGGGTCGCACATGATGCAGCTATAATAATATATAAACACACATCTTGCAATTGTATTTGTACTAATTATATGAACGCGCGTAAAGCACTATGGATGAATCTAGACGTATACTGCCTTGTGACATGACGCAACACATCGCCTCGCCGGGCAGTATGATACGTATATTTAAATCATCTTGCACCCAAACTGACAAAAAACCCAGCAACATATTGTACTTCGGTTTGTGACTTGCACATGTTGCGCAAATCTGATTTTATCGCCCACAGAAAACAAATGTGCCCCCCGCAGAATAACGTAGGTGGGCATCCATGTGAAGGAGGTTATCCTCATAAGCATCTTCAATGGTGCTCCATTTTAGCTGTAAATTATAGTATTTTACTGAGATGCTGCAATTAAATTATCAAAATGACGTCAGATGCTACCGGAGAGATCCGCAAACCAAAACGTTTCGCCTTTGAGACCGTGGACCCAAAGTTGATGCCAGCACCGCATATCAATCCCTTCCTTCGCCTGCTAATTTATATTTACTACATTTTAAGTTCAGGTTGTATCTACTGGGGATGGAACGGCTTTCAAGAGATATTGTACAAGGCCGGCGCATTTGAGGAGTACTGTGAAAATGTGAGTGAGAGGACAGCAAAGGTACTTTATGGTGTGGCGTACACCGGTAAGTTTCTTTAGTACGTTTTCAACCAATTGTGTAGATTGCCCGGCCAGGGCGGGCGGTATCAACAACCTCTATACCATTGCATACTCTACGCACTTCATCTTCTCGTTTCTTGGTGGGTGGTTCTTGGATAAATTTGGACCACGAGTTTGCTTTTTAGTGGGCCAAATATTCTCAATTACTGCCTGGGCACTGGTTTTTTGTTTCCCTAAGAATGGAGCGCTGTTGAGGTTAGCCTTCGTTCTTGTTGGTTTGTGCTGTGAGGCATGCTACATTCCCATGCTTTCTGTGAGCAAATACTTCCCCAAAGGGTCGTCCACAGTTATAGCTATCATGGGCTCATGTCGTTCACTTTCGTTCTTCGTGCCAACCCTTTTGTCGTGGATCTATCACAGCCAGGGGGTAACTGAAGATATGCTATATCTAATCGGGCTAAGTTACCTTTTGATTTCAAATGTGTTTTGTTTGGTTTCTGGAGCTTTCATCATCCCGAAAGTCATACCTGTTTCTCCATCGGAACAGGAGGCAGTTAACAAACGTGCTCGTGAGCTTGAGATTAGGGATAAATACGAGTCTACACATGCAGAGTGCGAAAACAGAAGCAAATATAAGTTTATCGAGACTATCAAGCATGGCATCAGGAGCCCGTTAGCAATGGAATTTTTCGTTCTTGGCTTGTCCGTCTGCCTTTTCATGCCATCCATAGAGTTCATCAACAAATCGCAAGGTGATCTTCTAGTTGCATCTGGCGATGGAGGCGACGCTACTGGCATATTCAAGTACTTCAATGTTCTGACGTTCCTCCCTGGCCCGCTTTTGGGTGCGATGATGGACAAAGTTGGTCCCGCTATCGTTATGAACTTTTTGCACGCATGTGCCTTGCTTTACTATGCTTGCACTTCGTTTGACATCTATGCGATGAAAATAGCGGCTTGCTGCTTCTACTTGCTCGCAGGTTCACTGTGCATTTCCACCGTGTACTGCTATGTCAACACGAGGTTCCCAGCTCAGTACTTCGGTATACTGGTGACGGTAATTTTCGGCGCCGCAGGTTTGATGGCGTTGCTCAACATTCCTCTTTACAATTGGGGGCTTACCTTAAAGGCTGACGTAGTTCAACAGCGCTTCCGTCCGCTCTCATTTGTTTTTATGGTAGGTTACTGTTTGCGTAGTCTCATCTAAGTTTACAGGGATACATGGCAACTGCCTGTTTACTCAGCGCTACTCTGATATATCTGTCAGTCATACGTCCCAAGAGGTCCAAAGGGGTGCAACTTAGCGTGTAGCTTACATTGTCGCCAAGTTTCGTGGGCATAAGGTCACGTGACTTTTGCCCTATGACAACCGCTAAATTTCAAACCCATAAAAGTTTGACGTATTGTGCATAGTTGTGTTTGTGATGAGTGCGTTGCTGTCACCGTGCATAAGGACGCTGTGTAGCTTGCGCTCATCTAGTGTCAGTCCCATGAGGAATGTATCGTCGCACGTTTCGCTGCGTCTTATGAGATACGCCCTGCGTTTGCATTCTGCCTCCTTGAGTATGTTGTGCAGATTGTCCACTGGCCATTCGTTTTCGGGCAACCTGCATTTCTCATTAGGCATTGGTGGGTGTAACCAACAAGCTGCACAACTCGTATCCGAGTTGGAAATAAAACGGTGAAAGAGTACCCAGTGCAGTTGCAGTGGCTTCAGCAAGCAGTGCTCCTGCGCTTTTGTAATATGAGGGAAAGCTGATTTTGCAGAGCCCTGCCTTGTAGAGGTGTCTGGCGTAAAAGAGGTGTATCTCTAGTTCGTCCTCTGGCAAAAGCTGCGTCATTTGGGTACGCTATTATGCGACACACCTCGTCGTTGCGAGCATTAAGCTTCAACTCTTCCAGTGCTTTAGGGCAGAGGAAGGCCATCCCCGGCAACGGACACGTAGCCTTGCATGGCACTTTCTACGCGCATTGACGACTCTAAGTCCCGACCTACCAAGAAGTCTATGTGTCTGCATTTGCCGCGGTTGTTTGCGATAAGTTCCTCCACTTGTTGCTCCAGAGTCGTCATCAGTTACTTCTACTGCCAAATGACCGCGGTGACTGCAAAATGTGTAAGCGCGGACGTTGTCCTTCAATCATTATGAAGGGACGTTAGCAGCTATTCTAAAGCCTAATGCGTATTTTTAGTCGTCGAGGTTGTAGTATTTATGCCATAGCAGTAGTATCAGCGGTTGGTGGCAATATTGTAGCGTAAACTCCAGTAGCGAGTGAGGCGTGAACTACGGTGTCAGGTTTCTTTCTAGGGTTTTTAACGGCCGTTTAATATACACCAGCTGGTTTGCATGCCATCTCAACAAAATACTGTTACGTTAGGTAGATAGACAGCGCTGTGTCGTCAATAAGGAGATGGCAAAACGGAAGACAAAAAAGGTCCAATTGAGCCGAACTCAGTTGATGCAAAAGCGGCGCGGTAAATTGGAGAAGGAATTTCTTTGCTATTATTGCCAGCATGAGAAATCCGTCGCCATAAAAATGTAAGTCTTGAGTAACCGCCGCATCAATCTGTCCAGTGACAATCAATCTGGTGTCGGTCTATTAAGCTGTCGTATATGCGGCGTCAAGTTCTCTACGCGAGTTACAGTATTGGACGAAGCAGTAGACGTCTACTCCCTATGGATGGACTCATGTCGCGAGGGTCAACATGCCGAAGGAACACCTCCGAAGGAAGACGACGAACCTTTCCGGAGCCAACATAGGAGCATGGAAACCATACGACACACTTCACCAACGCCCGTTTCTGCTCCCCCTATCTCTCAGATCTCCGGTGTCAGAGCGGACGCAACTCCGGCAAATTCGGAAAGCCACTCGAACGCTAACGCAGAATACATACGACCGAGGTATCTCGATAACGAAACAACCTTTACCGAGTTGACAACTCTAACTGGCGCGAGTCGCAGCAAAAATAACGGCCGTTTAATATACACCAGCTGGTTTGCATGCCATCTCAACAAAATACTGTTACGTTAGGTAGATAGACAGCGCTGTGTCGTCAATAAGGATATGACAAAACGGAAGACAAAAAAAGTCCAATTGAGCCAAACTCAAGTAATGTAAAAGAGGCGAGGTAAATTGGACAAGAAAATTTTTTGCAATTATTCTTAGCGTGAAAAACTCGTGGACATACAGATCTAAGTCGTGCGTCACAGCCATTTCAACCAGTTAATTTAAAGCCAGTCTGACATCAGTATTTTTAGTTTTCGTATCTGTTGTCAAGTTTTATCTCACTTTTACCGTATTGGATGTAGTTGTAAGCATAGACGCCCTATGGATCTACTCATGTTATGAGGTTCAGCAAGACGAATCCACTCCTACTCAGACAGTCGACGCACCTTTACGGAGCCAGCATAGGAGCGTGGAAACCATAATACACGCTGCACCAACGCCCGTTTCTGCTCCCCCTATCTCTCAGATCTCCGGTGTCAGAGCGGACGCAACTCCGGCAAATTCGGAGAGCCATTCGAACGCTAACGCAGAATACATACGACCGAGGTATCTCGATAACGAAACAACCTTTACCGAGTTGACAACTCTAACTGGCGCGAGTCGCAGCAAAAGGATAATAGACGCTGCTGATGACACAATAAGTGGACCTGAATTAGTGGCGGGCACCCTCACGAGAGATAGCCTTTTCGAAGAGGACTAGAGATGCCGTTTCGTCTGCCGAATATTGGGATAGCGCGGTTCTGTTGACGCGTCTGAGACGCCGGCTTATCGCATCACTCGACGACTGTCCAACTGCACTTCCCCTTTTCTTTCTACCCATCACCTCACGATTCTCTTTCGATACATGATGATGGTGACCAATCCTGTTCCCCTGGGAAATGGCGTGTTACTTCAACCGTCTGTTTTAACTAGCAAACACATGGTAATAGAGATTCGGTGTGGAGATATGAAAATGAATGAGTATACCTGCCAAAAGTTGTTGTATAAAGTGAAAGGTACTTGCCGAGTTTCTGGAATACGGCCCAATGGCCTCATAACGTACCGTGATTGCAAGCAGCTGTTGTCTGACAGCGACTATATCGCAAATATCGACTCCCGTTTCAAGTGTATCCTCGTACGTCTCTACCCTGTTTCGGCAATTATCCTACATGACTCTGTGTTGGTGGTAGCTAACGGCGATATGAACCTGGATGCCTTCCTCAGGACGCTGTGCGACATCACCCGAGAGTATCATGTTCATAACCCGTCACAAACATGTGCGTCGTCGTCGTGCAAGAAAGGCGCCGAGGAGAGCGAGACATCGATCGATTTGACCCTTCCTTTTGAAGTAAAAATTCTTGAATGTTGCTACACGGCCGCCTTAGCCCACCTGGAGGAGGATATGACAGCAATCGAGGAGAAGTTCAAGTTAGTGGAACAGATGGTTATGGAAAAACGCACCTACCATGAAATCAACATGGTACTGCATAACCTTAAGCAGCCAGTAGTTAATTTGTCGGAGATTTTGAAAGGCTTTACTGAAATGATGGATGAGTTCTTAAACGACGAGGATGCCATGAAGCTACTGGAGTTCGACAGTCACATGCTATTTTACGGACCAGAAACGCAGCATTCAGATTTTGTATGTTTCTTTGACTGCAGTTAAATGTTTTCAGGCCGATAAGACCGTGAACCGTGATTTGGAAAATTTGCTGGAGTACTTTGACCAAGAGGTTGACCAGGTATGTTTATTTTTTTTGCTGACAACATCTCGCAGATGGCCCGGCGTTCCCGTACATTAGGTACATCATTGACTGAGCTCGAGAAACACATCACAGTTGCTCTGGCCATTATACGAAATGAGATGATGCGTTTTGAGCTGATTTGCAGCATCCTAAGCACGGCCTTTTCGGCTGGTGCTTGCATATCAGGTTAGTGCCGTTGTAATACCATCTCATCGTAACACAGGCTTGTTCGGAATGAACGTCGTGAACAGTTTTGAGAATAGCCATGCGGCGTTCATCACGATTTCTATAATTGCGCTCATCTGTCTGTGTTTCGCCATATTCGTAACTAAGATGCTCATATATCGCCATCGAGTCTGAAACCTGTTTAATGTGTTTTACCGTGCTTTAGATTATCTATATAGCTCTTTGTTATGCAATTTAGCAGGTACCTCTCTTTGGGGATGATTCCCTACACATACGCTCCAGGTATCCTAAATGGCCACCTTAGCGGGGGATTCAAGCGGAATATTGCAAGTTACACATCCTCGGCAGAATTTAGGGGACGTGTGTTGAATCACGCGCTGGTTTACCTACGAGGAGGGCAGGCTCTATGCGAGGCCGCCTGGCTTCAGGCCTCCTTGCGCTTGTTGTATACTGGGATTCCATCCCTCGATCATCTTGGTGTTTTTTGCGCATACCTTCAGTCGTGATGTCGGGAACTATGAACATCAAGTAGGTGTGCGCTTCCTGTGTGTGTACCCCTGTTCAGGAATTTCTTCGAGGTACGGCCTAATCCGTCTCGAATACCTCCAAAATCGCATTCAACGGTCATAAACGAGACCTCTACGCGGACATTGCTCTCTCCGTCGAAAGGTATATTCAAGAAACGTCGACTGAACGTTATTACAGACTCCCCTGCAATGCGCATTGGCACCGCTCCAAATACTGACGCCGAGAGCACAATTGAAACAAGCTTGTCTTGGAGCCAAGGTACGTTTCCTGACGGTCTTTGTTGTAACTTAAGAATCAGATGATCCAGACAACTGTGTCGCCTCTAGCAAGGAGCCAAGGGATGGCCCTGCTGAAGATCATTTCCCAGATATCGGTAAATCCCCGAAAAAACACAAGATCAGCCATTTAAGAACGGTGGAATCAGATGAACCTGCCGTTGGTTCTTTGTTCAACATGAATGTGAAACCAAGCGACAAGAGTGCGGACATAATGTCGGCTAAGTTCGATCCCAGCCTCTTTGATATTGGTCCGTATACTCCTAAATTTCCACCTCCTGGGCACCAGGATTCGTTGTTATTTGGTTTTTTGTCTGTTATCTTGCAGAAGGTGGACGACGCCTTCGGTTCTGGCACTGGGAGCCGTAAGTATGTGTTCACACTACTGTCCAATTTCTTCCGAGTGCTGATCTACCACAAGCCTAGCGATGTGATTCCTGCTCTCTACATAATGATAAACAGGTTAGATTTCATTTGTGTGATTTCTTATGTTACAGGGTTTCTCCGGAATACGAGGGCGATGAGATGGGCGTTGGCGACGCTATGTTGGTGAAGGCAATGGCAGATTCGTACGGTAAGAGTGAGAAGGCCGTGAAGGAAATGCTAACGAAACATGAGGATCTAGGGGTAGTGGCCAGTTTGAGCAGTTGTACATCTCAAACAATCGTTAGGCTACCTGACTTGACAATATCTAGTGTTTACAACCAGTTCAAGGCGATAGCTTCAGAGACTGGAAAGAACTCCATGACACGCAAGAAGGATGGGATCAAGCGAATGCTAATATCTGCTAAGCGTGGTGAGGCTAAGTACATCGTACGGTGTCTGCAGCAAAAGCTGCGAATTGGAGTGAACTCTACTACTCTGTTCCAGTCCATTGCAGATGCTGCCTATCTGACCAAGGCAGCGAAAGATGGCAGACCTGCTATTGGTGATGTAAGGACGTCTGGGATCCAACAGGTCAACACGATTGACGAAATGGAAAAGGCTGTTAAGACAGCCACTACCCACTTGCCCTGCATCGACACAGTAATTGGCCATCTTCTTGATGGTGACAACTGCGAAGAATTTTTGGAGCATTGTAAGATCCGCCCCGGTATCCCCGTACGTCCGATGTTGGCCAAGGCAGTCAGCAAAACGTCTGACATTCTCCATGCCGTTGGAGGCGAGGGCGTGACGTTCACTTGCGAATATAAGTACGACGGTGAACGGGTTCAGATACACCTGATGAAAGACCGTTGCATCAAATTGTTTAGCCGGAATATGGAAAACCTTTGTGGTAAGTATCCGGATGTGATGGAGAATTTTCTTGCCTGTGTGAAGGCTGACGTGACAGATTGCATTATAGATTGTGAGGTAGTGGCATACGACCCCGTTAATGGGAAGATATTGCCATTTCAGCAGCTTTCCAGCCGCAAGCGCAAAGATGTGACAGTAAAGGATATTTCAATACCGGTCTGCATGTACCCCTTCGACATTTTGTATCTCAACGGTGAACCGCTGGTCACCAAGTCGTTATCGGAACGTCGCCAAGCGCTAGAGGCCGCCGTGTTTGAGAGAAATAGTGTTCTTAACTTCGCACGACACAAGGATGTGACTTCTTTGGATGAGATTGACGATTTTTTGCGCCAGGCGGTATCCGATTCTTGCGAGGGGCTTATGATAAAGACTCTGGACCAGGATGCTACTTACGAACCTCAGAAGCGCACCAATAATTGGTTGAAGTTTAAGAAGGATTACATTGACGGCATGGGTGATTCCGTTGACCTTGTACCCATTGCCGCCTTTTGGGGGAAGGTTGGTTAATTTTTACGGTCTTGACTAATCGTACGCAGGGCAAGAGAACTAGTGTTTACGGTTCTTATCTGCTCGCGGTATATGACCCAGTGCGGGAGGCATACCAGAGCGTGTGCAAGACAGGCTCCGGATTCAACGACCAGACTCTGAAGGACCTTTACGATAACTTACAAGAACACATTGCGAGCCACAAGCTTCCGACATATGACGTGTCTGAGAAGCTCGAGCCGGATGTATGGTTCAACCCAGTTAAGGTGTGGGAGTGCAAGGCCGCCGATCTGTCGATCTCACCGATACACACGGCTGCCCAAGAGTTCACCCCGGGTGGAAAGGTGAGTGTACCAATTACATGTCAGTCACAATTTGTTAGGGTATAGGGCTGCGCTTCCCACGCTTTATACGTATGCGTGAGGACAAGGGCCCGACTGATGGGACTACAAGCCAGCAAATTTATGAAATGTACGAGAGTCAATTCAACAAGGCATTGGAGTAGCGAGATAATCCTTCAATGCCTCATCTGTTACGATTTGTTCGTCTGTCGTGCGTAGTGCTGCAAAAATATATCTAATGTCACTTCGCAACTGACTTTTGTATCGGAACTGCAGCACTACCTTGTGGCTGATATCTTGCTGTATTAAGGTTTTGTTTTCATTTAACACCCGCCTAATTGGCATTTCAACAAGTTCCCAATCATCTAGTTTAACTCTCTCTATGAGAATCGACTGTATTTCGTGTTTGACTGTGCCCACGAGTGTCTTCATTGGTGGGTGTATAGTGAGCACGGTGTTCGCCGGTAGCCTGATTTTGAGTTCTACCGTTTGTTTGGCTTCCAAGTGCGCGCATTGGTTCTTTAGCGCCTCTAATTGTTTTCGAGATGCCGATTCGAAATCTCCGCACTTGCCGACATTGTAAATCTTCATTATATGGCTGGTGGAGTGCTTTTGCTCCGATGTATCATCATTAGTTGTTGCATTTGCAGTTTCAGGCGTTTTCTTCACGTTTTCTAAATAAATTTGGGGGGTCCATTGCCGCAGCGATGTTGTCAGGGTTTCCTGCAAAAAATTATAACATTTATCAACGGCAAGACCATGAACGTCTGACGACATGAAAGCAACTAAGATCTTCCACAAGAGTCACATTAAAGGCAATAGAACACTACTCACCGACAGCTTCATTCTGAGTTTTTCTATTTGCTCCCTGGTCAAATCTGATCCCTGACACTCGAAACTCTCAGCGTCGGCATTTTTCTTAATGTCGCTGCTGTGTTTGTATGCCTTGAAAGGGTCAAAAAAGTGTCCCTCAAGCGACTTGATCTTTATGCCATATTCGTCCCTTAGCGCTTCGATAATGGATCTGTATGCTTCGCGAAGCTGCGGCACGTGGACTATCTGTAACACGGCGAAGCCGTTGACACTGCGAAAGCCAATAGCCTCAAGTACAGCCAGTAGATGCGGATTGGTTGCGATGTGTTGTGCGTATACCGGGTTCGCTTCACGTATACGTCTCGTTTTGTGCTCCCAGGGATTCAGCAGTATGTTCTCCACTATCTTCAACAGTTGTTTATATCCCTTGCACTTGGGCTCATCCCTTACACACTGCTAGCTTCTGTTATTCTGTCTGGACAACAAACCTTCCGCAGATCGTCAAGTGCCTTCAACAAAGTTGACGACGTGTCAGTTCCTACAAAGTCCACCCTATCTATTTCAAACAAATTGGCGGCATCCAGATCGTCTACACCTTGACGCCTAGAGACTTCCATTTCACGCTGTGTTATTTAGTGCTTATATGGAGCGATTGGTGGTACGTACAGCGCGTGAACACTACACGCAGTGCTTAACTACGGGCGTCGTGGGACAAATATATCAGCACGTTTTCTAGAATTTTATTCTATGTCTATCACCTATGTCGCTCAGTTATCGGTCCGAGGTATATCGATAAAACTGTCGAGTAATACCCACCGGACTTCCTAGACAACTGTGCAAGGGACTCGCTCCCAGCTTCAATTACAAGCAACTAATGTTGTGTAGAAGCAGTGGTATGTTCTAGGATTCCGGTGTGTCGGAATTGATACAACATCAAGCGAATATCAAAGAATCAAGCTGGATGTTGTACTGTATCGTTGTGCGTCATGGTCTTATAAGTTGCAATTGGAATCTCATGACACGGTAATATAATAGGCACCTGTTTATGCATCTTCTGTACTTTTCTAGTTCTACAGTGCCATAGCGCCTCGCATAATTGGGATTCACCTGGCGCTATTTCGCAAGATGTCGAACGCTGAAAGGGAGGAAGCTGGCCCGATAAGGAGGTCAGCGGTGAGTCATACGGTGTGCAGCACGAGGGCAGAAAGCGACCCACTGATCTCATTTGACTTCTCTTCACTCCGTGTAAAGACAAAACCTAGTTTCCTGAAACGATGGAATCACATCGTGGCGGGGATGCTCTGGACGTTTTACCACCACTACTTGACATACCGTTTGATTATGCGGATAAATGAGACGCGGGGGTTGGCTGTTTTCCTGAGGCAGCAGTTTTTCCCCCTGGGTGTAGTGACCCTGTATTGGGTCGGTTTGGCGTCCTCGGTCTACTCAATAGTTCTATATGACAAATGTGTACGATTCCATGTGGAAAACTTCGACGCGTTTCCAAAGATGTACGCGGACCATGCCATCCAGGCTCCACTGATGCACGGAGACCTGAAGAACTACCGGTTCTCTCTGCAGTTATTTGGCGCTTTCTTCTTGGCTCCCATGCGATTGTTTGTGGGCATCTCAACTTTCGTTATAGCCATCGTCTTATTTGGTATGCCTTTGGTGACTCCACGTTCAATCCTTTCAGGTATTCCTTTGACACTGCTAAACGGGCGCTGTAAGAAGCTGTCGAGGCAATATGCGGCATTCGTCTTCCATTATATTACGAGCTACGCCTTTTGGGGTGCAGGTATTGGTTCGTGTGTCTTATACAACATTATTAGGCATATCTGAAGTCAAATCGGTCTACGCAGATGGTGTTCCTCGTGATAGACCCATGAATGTGATCAGCAACCACATCGGTATCATGGTAGGCCGGTTATGTGTTCATTGCAACTTTTGCAGGACGTGCTGTACATGTTACACAGCGGATCGTATTCTTTCGTGTGCAAGAAATCCTTGGAGAACGCGTTTTGCATCAGCCACTTTATAAGGTTGCTGAATTGCATCTACGTGGATCGCCACTCAGCTAAGAGTCGCAAGGAGGTGTACTGTAGCATTGTTGAGCGAATGAAATCGATCGACCGAGGAAACGAGAGTGTTTCATTGGTGGTCTATCCGGAGGGCACCACCTCTAGGGGCAATATCTTGCTTCCATTCAAGCACGGTGCTTTTGGCGCGTTGGTCCCGCTCCAACCATTGCTTATTGTACTCGACTACAGTTACCTGAACATCACCTTCGATGTATTTCCGTGGAAGTGGTGGATGTTTCAGACCTTCTGTTCGCCCATCACGGTACCGCTCATCGCATACTGGCTCCCGACCATCTACCCACCCAGCAAGGAGGAAATTGCACTGAAAGGCGAGCAGACCTGTGTTCGTGAGTATGCCCTATATGCTAACCGCGTGCTGCGTGAGGCTATGGTCAAACTGAACCCTAATGTAGACCGGGAGCACTTGGAGACTCGAGATGTTGTAGTGTCACCCTCATGTCGTTGCAAACTCTTGGCTCGCTTGTATGGTCCAGTGCTCCAACGTAAGTACAAGATCACAGAAGAAGAGCTCCGCAGACTTGAAGAAGTGACGTTTCACTAAACTGTTGATATTTCTTGAGTGGTATATGTAGGTTCACTTTTCAATGGCATCGGAGATGCCAGTACATTACATTGTGCTGCCAAAGGATTCTATTGCTAACTGGAAGAAGAGGCGGCACCCATACGATCTCACGGTAGGGCATTACACAGAAGTATGAGTTACAAACACTAAACTAAATAAGCATCGTGCCTCAGATCATAGGTGGAGCGCAAATTTGTCTTCAATTAACTGCTAAATACGGTATCCACTCAAACGTAAAAAACAAGCAAAGGTAGCAATACTAGTTCAAATATTCTACACGGCGATATATATATTATGATGTTTTGTCATTTTTGTTTGCTTACGAGGTGTCTGCCATATAGTTTCTGGATCAGAGCATTCCCCATGTAGCATAACCGCATTTTGTTACTAGGAAACATCATCATATATACGCTCAACCACACCAAGAGTGTAGTAATACCACCATTGAGTCTGAATAAGGGAAAGTGGCCCACGACATGTTTACCCCCTATTGAGGCCAACGATCCTCTCCAGACTTCGTTGAAAGCATCGGATCCTAACCCGCACATACCATTGTTAAAAGCGTTAGCAAGATATGAACCTTCCTGCTTAGCGTTTTGTGCGGTTGGGAACGGTGGTACGTAGTTGGCATCTATATGATCCATTATCTCTAGCAACTTGCCCTTTGGGCTCTTGGTGCTTCTTTCCACCTTCTTACAAAAGTCTTTGAACTGACGGTCGCCAGCGTTTAACTTGTTGGGGGCTAATTGCGGAAAGCTCTTCCCAAGTGTTTTGCGGCAGCGTAGCAGGGCCTTATGATTCGGTTTGCCGATTACCCCCAAGACGTTGTCATAGTGATCGCTCAGTTTGTCGGGGCTTACCTTGCAACAATCACCTAAGGCAAACACACTGCGGTCGCGGCTGCCACGCAACGCTAAATATTGATCTACCAAGAGTGCGCGAGGGTTGTTCTGCTCCTTAAAATGTTCTCGAATTTTAGAAACGATTTCACACTGTTTTAACCCACTAGCCCAGACAACGAGTCCACAGGGTAACGTTTCTGTAGCTCCAGTTGCAGGGTCTCTCACAGTACAGTCATCTTTTCCCACGCCACAGACTTGTTTCCCTAACACAAGGTTAACGTTCCTTTGACCGAGAATATTGCCGGCGAATTCCGAATTAGCTGGTGAAAATGTTGCCAAAAGACGTTTTCCACCTTCTACTATCGTGACCTTTGCATATGGCACGAGGGAGGGAAATGCTTGTGACATGTTGTTGAAAAGTAGTGCGATCTCCCCTGTTGTTTCTACACCTGTAGGTCCGCCTCCAACAACAACCATATGCAGCAGCCGTCGTTTTTCATCTTCACTAGTGCAGGGAAGAGACGCTATTTCAAAGTTAGAGATGATTTTCTGGTATATGCGGTTCGCATGTTCCACCTCCTTCAAAAAGTAGGCATGTTGGTCTACACCAGGAATACCGAACGTATTTGTTTCTGCACCTACGGCAACAACCAGGTAGTCGTATGGGAGAGAAAGTGTCGTATTTGGATCAGTCGCCGAGACGCATGAAATGGTTTTTGCGTTGGGATCCACATCCAAACACCTAGCATGTACGAATTGAAAGTTTCCTCGTTTGCGTCTATTTACATATGTCGCAAAGGGTTCCGTACACGTAACGCTTGAAATTTTACCGGATAAGAGTTTCGGTAACAAAGGTGTAAACGTGAAGTAATTTCTCGGCGATACGACTTGCAGGTCATACCTAATCAAAAATTGAAAGCTCAACCGTGATAATCTTACTTTTGAAGATCTAGATTCTTCACAAAATAAAAGGACGACCATCCGGTCCCTAGAACCACTACGCGTTTTCTCTGGCCATGGCCGCTATTCGTTGAAATGCCTCTTGTGAAGAACGCACATCGCGTCTTTAATCCTAAGAGCATAGAATATGTGTATCTATTGCACCAATTAAGGCACAAACGACCCACCGAAGCTGCCATCTCCCAGTAAGGCCGTAGTGTAAGATGTCGGTGTAGTTTTCACGCCTACCACCAGATGTAACCGGAGCGTCAGAGCTGTTTAGTACCGCAATATGATACACATTTTGCAAATTTAAAAAATACTACGATATGTGTTAATTTTTAACGTGACACCGTGGAAATGGGTGCCCCTTTCATGTGGCGCCCTGCGGCATCGGTCGCGCCCTCTTCGGCACGCCGAAGCAGCTGTGATAGGAACTGCACAGCCCTTGTGGCAGCAAAGATAGCATCCGTCTCGTCGTTGAAGATGCAATCAGATTTTATGACCGGCGCCGTCGTATAGCCATTCTGTAGTACGGAGTTCACATTGGCCAGATTAAGCTTCTGGAAGTTCTCTTGGGGATCGAAACGATGACTATTTGCCTCCATATACTCTTGCCACTTCCGCCATAACATTTGCGATGGCGCCGAATTCGACCACACGTACGCTTCCCCCGCGCTTGTACTTTCCGCCAGGTATTGAGCGATCTGTACAGCCTTAGCTAATCTGGAAACAAGAACATCCAGTGCGATGCTTGAGCCATCTGTTGCACTTGTAGAAGGCCTGTATATGCCAGAAACAAGAGCGTGCCATATGGAGGGACCGCGTTTTTGTGTCTGGCTGACCCATACGTTTCTCAATGACGTGTCTTCGTTCGGCGTATGTTTCACATATTGTTCTACTAGCAGTCTCACTGTCCGATCATGCAGCGCGTATATGGCCAGATGAAGTGCCAATTCCCCCGTATTTAACGGAATGTTGTGCTTTGCTCCAAAACTGAGTAGTGTTTCACATACCTCAATGTGGCCTCCCAACGCTGCTAAGTGCAACGGTGTGGCTCCTTCGAGGTTAGTCTGATTAACGTTTCGGCTGACCCTGGCCAGATATTGCACTAAATTTCTCTTTCCTTGCGACGCCGCATAGTGCAAAATAGTTTGGCCTTTGAGGAAGTCATGGGTGCGCGCATCTAATAGGAGCGTTTTCACCGTGACTCCCGATGTCATCAGCCACTTGAAACTCCCCAGCTTGATGTTTATTTCACCTCTGTGCTTCGCGATTATCTCGTCACACTTCTCTGCACATTCTAGCATCAATCGAGATATAATGATCTCGTTTTTCAATGCCTGTGTGTCATTGTCCACAGGAACAGATGCCATAGCCATTAGGGGTGTAATACCAAGTTCATTACCGCCAACAGTAGATAGTATTAGGTTCACAACTGTAAGCTCCGCATCTACAGTATTGTCATTTTTAGCCAAGAAATCAAAAGCTTTGGCCACTTTAGTGGAAATGAAATCTGTGATCGCCTTGACTAGATCCACGTTGCCGTTTGATGCAGCGATACCCAGCATACTCAAACCAGTCCCTAAGTGCATTATACCACGCGACTCTATTGACATTAGAACTTCCAATACCGCATCGGTCAACATTCCACTCTGTGCTGCCATGAAGGCGACAGTCGCCACATTGTCTGTAGGAATATCCGTTAAGTTACCTGTAGTTGAAAAATTGATGATGGATGGTATTACGCATTTCCCAGTGACCAATTTAAAGACCTCTAGATATTTCCCAGGCACATTAATCACAAAACCTTTTGACAATCTTGGAACGTGTAGGTTCATCTGGAAGGCCAGCGATCTACACTTCTGCATGTGAGTGATGGATTCATTTGAATCAGCGCCAGCTATTAAAGTCCAATTCCATAAGGCGGTGTAAGCTGCTTCGATAGTCATCTGTTTGAGTTGGACGTCTTCCTTGCGATTTACTCGTGCCGTCATCACAAGCTGTCCCATCAAATCTGCCAACCTTGAATATAAATGTGCCTTTTCGTGGCAAATTAAAGGCATCATTTCTTCCGCCATAAGAACTGCAATTGTCAAATGGTTAAGAGCACCCCGTATATTGGAGCCAGCCTTATTCATTTTCATACCAGCAAGCAAGACGTGCGCATTGTACAACAGATAGTGGTTGATATGCAAGACTCCTGCCCATCTCAAAACAAAACTTTCAAGGATCTTTTTGGCCGTCAAATGCTGACCGCTGCTATGTAGACGGTGCACCCTTTTTATTATGTCCTCTGCTTTCTTTTGTAGCATATTGAGATCGTCCTGATTCACTGCACAACCATTTTCGCAAGCCCAGATATACTTATTTGAGGTATCGGAACCTTCGTTTCGCATCTCACTTGCCATTTCAACGCGTTCCACGTGACAGTATGACGTGATGCACATTCCACATCGCAAAGCAGAGATACCACGATTATCATTGGTGCTTGGGACCTCTGCAACTTTCGAAGACAGCAATAGACCTACAGACCAGAACTCGGCATACTGATTATGTAACGGTAGGTACTTGTCCATAGCGGTGTTCATGTATAACCTGGTACCGGGCTCCATGGTATATATGGATCGGATGCATATCTTCCCTTTGCGATCCAAATAAACACTGGTAGTTGGTGCGCTTGATTGTTGCAGGTGCAATAGACTTGGGGTAAATGCAACCCCGCCAAGTTTCACGCTTTCTGATTCTACGTATACAGACGGTGTCAAAGCCAAACTCTTCGTCCACAAGACGACAATTAGATGGACGAGTTCCCTGTGGGTCAAATAGATGCAGAACTTCACACCTAATTCATTCATTAAAAAATGTGCAAATGTCTTAATATCCTCTATCACCTTTTTGTGACTTGCTTCTAGCACTGAATAGTCCACTTTGAAATCGAGGATTTGCTGTAGGACATCATCATTGTCTCCATTAGGAGCCTTCTCACTGTTATTGATAGCCCTATTATTGGGATTGTTTCTAGTTAAGCTACAGCGTATGAGGGTCCGCACAACTAAAAGGACAAGCGCTTCATTCAACATTGTCAGAGCAAAAGATTTCAGCTTTACCAAGTACCCACACTCAACAGTGTGGACAGCACCATTCCTCAAAAAGCATTCCTCTGAGCAAAAGGTATATAAACATTCGTAGGGCTTACATGGGCACGCAACAAGTGTCGTGTTGTCGTGGTACAAACCTGTGGTCTGTATAATCGTGCATAGGCAATGGAAGCAGTTGCTATAATCTGTGCTGTCTATTTTTTGTGAGTCTTTCATGTCAATTTTCCATGGAGCCGCGGCAAATGGTTGTAACCTCATGAGCAGGCTTCCCTGTTTGAGTGCAATTTTCGCAACCATGGTGTTCGAATGGTAACCCACCGTACTTTCTGTGTTGTTGAAGTTTCTCAACTGTTCGGTGTAACCCATCTGTGATGTCCACGTTGTCCATTTTTCTTCTAGATTTCTAACGAAGAGCATTTCCTTAAAATGCACAGGTATTGGCATCACTTCGGATAGTAGATTGTGACGTACCTCGCGGATCAAGTTAATGGTGGTTTCATAGTCCTGTGTATCCTTGTCCAAGAGAAACAATCGGCAGTGAAATTCTCTGAGTGCTTGTCGCCACAAGCCTTTTTCCATGAAATAGCAACCTGTTGTTTTGTAGAGGCTCTCATCTTTATAATCATGTGTTGAGGCATCAGTTTGTTTGTTTTCCAGAGATTCAACAGGAAAAGTTCGCTCCTCCGAGTTTTGGGGCCGGGTGTACCCGGGTAGGAGAGGATCATTTTTTGCGTTGTATCCAACGCTTCCCTCACCTTTCATGGTTACTATCCAATCCGAGCTGCATTTTTAGTGTACACAACTTTAAAAAGTGATGTGTGGCAATTACGTGCCAAAACTGATTGTGGTAACGCTCGCGTTCTGTCAGTCGCTGCCATGGTCTTTAATAGGAAGAGCTACGTAAAACAGCTAACATACTCAGAGTTATCTTTGATTGTATCACTAGTGGTTCGCCATGACATCCAAGAACCTATATCTCCTGGTGAAATGTGTGATGACACATTCCGGATGCCTTCAATGTTTTATTAACGATATCAGGTATATCGCTGGTTCAGCTGTATCTTAACCGTCATAATCCCATAAAAAGAGATGCGGATGCATCTCGTCCGATGTATGTTGACTACCATGGAGAAATGTGTATTAACGAAGTGACAATAATAAGCGCCTCACAAACGTTCATATCTATTGACGAGACGTTTTCGACGGGTGAACAATAGTATGCAAGGCGTACGAATTATATTTTCACGTCCCATTTTTATATACTAGTAAAAAGTGGGCACTGAGTGTCTGAGCATCATTAGTCCTTAATTGATTAGAAAATTACGAGGGAAATGATACCAAGGTAGAGTTGCAAACAATGTATTTACATACATCATTGAATGGTATCGGTGCCCTTATTACCATTACTGAATGCTGTGAATAAGCGTACCTCTGCCCTAATTTGTTTGTCACAGATTGCCTGCGATCTAAAACGATATTACACGATCGGTATGGGCAGCATTAGTCATTGGAGGAAAGCGGTAGGTATAGTGAGCTTGCACTATCGCTACTCTCTCTTACGATTATCCAGGAGGTGGTAGCGAATCATCGCAAAGATTTTCTCAACGACAAAGTGTTCTTCCACTACAACACTTCAACACCTAGAGTGTACCGGCTAGTATTGTATTATATGCGGTTGAGGTGCCACCTAGTGAGAACGGCATATTCAAACCACGTAATATACTGAGTCATCGGCAGACATTGAATGTATCGCCATGGGAACCTACTGTGTCACAGTGTCTCAGCATAGATATCTCGAGCACTCAGACGACTTCGCCACACGTAGTTATTTTAGCTAACCTTAGACGGGGTGATTGGCTCTATACGCAGTACAATGTTCTACCCACACTGGCCCAGAGTTGTGTATGTGTCAAGGTCATTAATTCAAAGAAGTGCGAGGTACATAGGATGACGGGTGCTGTAATCGTGACCCATGTAGAAGTGTTCGATCATGTAAAACATGGGTGGCAATATGTGGTAGTGAATACTGTTAAAAAGGCAGGCGAAGGTATCGTGGTAGGGAGCAGGGTTTATAAACGTATACAAGGGGAAGAAAGTATAACATATTTTGACCTTAACAATTTCTGGCAGGAACCATATATAGAAATGCTACATAACATTAGTACACTTGGAACAGGTTGTCAATAACATATAGACTACCATTTTGTAGATTTGTTTCTTACATCACATGCTTGACATTTAATACCATGGCCTGGATAGTGGCTAATCCCTTTTATATAGCATGTTATCTGATCGTCTTTCCGTTTTTTGAATGGCAGAGAATCGTATCACGGAGGCCGCATAGTGTAGGAGGTCATATGGTTATTCTACGAGATAGCAATAGTGCCTTTTGACTGTTCTATCTTACGTCGTAGCCCACGAAAGAGTTGATATTAGCGTATAAAACTATTGCTATATACCGTTTGGACTTCAAATCGGACAACCGGCAAAGGCCGCTCGCACGGGTGGAGTATATTTGATTGTTGTTGCGGGTGCTGGCCATGTTGGCCTTGAATGGTATACTTCAAACATTCATGAAATACTGTCACCACAGAACGGTATAAAGCTGAAATGATGACAATCACCATTCAAATAGCTTATGAAACAATTAAATTCAACAAGTGTGTTATACTAATGAACAATTTAGCCTTTTATATATTGTGATAGTTCCTTGATTTTGTTTTCGATGATGACTCTGGTTTTCACAACAAGGTTTGCCTCGTAGCGCTTAAGGTTTGCGATATCTTCCACTTCGAGGATATCCTTGATCAAATCCTTCCACTTCGAAAGGTCCTGTGTGCCGTTTTCATTTAGGTCCAGTACTGCCCTTACAAGTACACGGGACAGTGCATTGTGATTCAGCAACCCATGTTCAACCGCCTTTTTCGCTGCTCCTACATAGGTGCGGAAAAACAGAATAGGCACCGATTTAAGGTAATAGTCGTTTGGCATTCCCTGTCCATCCATCCCTTCTTCAGGATTTACGCAGTGCATGAATACCGCTCTGATTTTTCCTGGGAAAAATTTGATCATCATTTCACCAGCCTCGAGGTCCTTGTCCCCGGTGTCACCAATCCATATGAACCTTGCGTTGCTGTTTTCGTTGCATACATATTTAAGTAGTTTTCTGAAATTGACAAATTTTTTTTCTCCTCTTGTTTCGTTGAAAACCCATTCTTTGATGGTGGAGTACAAAATTTTATTATCACAGTCGATTCCCCAATTTAACACTCCTCTTTTTTCTGCTACTTCTCGGAGTCTCATATTGAGTGCCGAATCCACTGTTATCGGAACCTGATACTTAATGAGATATAAGCTGGTGTATTGGTACCTGTGGTATGCGTGTTGTGAGTACGCCAAGAAGCAAAGGTTTGCGGTTTTTACCCATTTTGTACATTGCTAACTCCAGTATAAACTGAAATGACCCCGGGTAAAGCTCCCCTCGTCCATATTGTGTATCAACTCCTCCGAGGGGTACATTGAAGAGTCTGTATCCTCCACTAGACTTGACAGTATCATCAATATCAATGATAACCTGGGTTGACCCCCATTCGAGTGTTTTATCATTGACATCTAACATGCGTTGTGCTACTGCATTTTGTCGTTTTTCTAGATTAGACTGCAGATTCATGGTGACCATGCACAATTCGACTTACGGCTGCAATTCCAAATGCTGTATTTTGTCCGGGTTGTGTATTGACCGTGTTTGGTGTGGTCTGTGCTGATTTCGCACGGTCTACAGCAGATACTGCAGATAAGCATTCTGCCTGGAGGTGGCTTGACAATCCCACCGATCTCAGTCGCTGCATCACAGCTTCACCCGTAACCGTGCTTTCGTTATCCTCGTTCGCTGTGCCCATGTTTGCCGAGGCTGTTTCCCTCGTTTTGCCTTGCCAATCGTGTATAGACCAATGTGTCGGCAAGTATAATATTCGACCAATTCTTTTGTCCCTTTATCTGTGGATTCCCAGGCATTCAAGCTCTTGGGCAGTGTATCCGTGTTATCTCAGTCCCCGTGTGTTCCATACTGAGAGCATAGGATTGATTTAAACAATAGATTCAATCTACACTAAAAATTATCCTTTGTACGTCACCACGAAAATTACATCTAAAATTATAATGTCAAACAATGGTCAAATGCATCCGTACGTAACGCATTTATCTTTGTTTCGTTAAAAATCTTCATGTATAATATATCAATAGGTGCAGCGTTATTTATGCGACGAATGGCCCCCGCACCATTGGCTTGTAGCCATCAAACGAGCTCGCTGACTCGTGGTGACACAAGCAGCACATTTTTCAAAAAAGCCATAAAATTTACGTGCATTTAAAGTGAGCATTCTACGCCGTCAATATCACGTAAACCAGCATGTAAACCTGTGTTTTGCGAGATCCCATTTTCAGGCCCTAAACAACGCACAACGCTGGATTATTCGAAATTTCCAATTTATGGCCCTACGAAATTCATAAATTTATGCTATGTGCTGCAACACTACGGCACGTTGTATAGAACCGCTTAGACAGGGTGTGCGCGGCAACGTTCATAAATTCACCAGCAACTGCAGAGTCCTACACTGCTATTTGTCTCCATGAGCATTGCTTTACACATGATTAGCTGTATGAGTTTCGACAGGCAATTGCCGTTGACACTATTCCGCTTTGAGTACATACCTTGCATGGTGTTGTTATTTATAGGCTGGACCCTTAGCGTTACTAAGTAACGCACGAAATTATCACGACCTTTAGTGTTCGAAATATGACATATATAAAAGTACCTCCAATGTAGCAATACTAGTGTTAAGGTGCTCAATAACCACGTTAGACTCCGCTGCCTACACATCATCTTCAATCGCATAAAACAACGACCATTCCGTCGACTAATGTGTTTAATGGGTTATTTGTGGGCTAACTTTCGTTGCATTCCAGTGGCAACGGTTCTGTCAGCATGATTCCAGATACAAGACGCGCGCAACCGACGTCGCGTGGACATCTAAGGATACAAATCGGCATCTTTCTCTCTCACCATGCTCTACATTTTTAAATACATTTTACGAGAAAATAGGACTCTCATGGTGTTGTGACTTAGTGTGTAGGGATTCCATTATACCCAGCTATGCTGTTCCCATACCCTCCAGCTTCAGTCGGTTGCTATATTTAAATGATTGGAATAGCATAGATAGTTAGCAAACCATTGCAATCGAAACATAATCGCATGGCCTTGTTCTTATGCATCACCTATGTGGCTATACATGGAATCACCGCGTAACGTAACACTGAATCTAGTAAACACGTTCCGGGTGTCTTAGTTACGTAACTATGCACTTTGAAAGGCGTATTTTTTTTAAATTACGCATTTTCCTTAAACGCACAATAGTTGTTAGCAGCAAGTCCAGCAGTGGCATTGCATTCTATCTGCCATTTCACTTGCTGCTGCAGTCCACGGCAGGCTCAGCTGTGTTGTGCGCATCAAAAGTTCTTACCTCGTGTCCGATACCACAACAGAGCCATAATTATCGCTTTATTCACAATTTCTGAATTGCGCCTTCAATCCTTTTGGCGTACTAGCGCGGCGCGGTTAGTTCCCTCGTTTTAACGTGTTACGCGGTTGTATAACATCGGCTACGTAGTTATTAGGATATATTGAACAGATAATAATTGATGTTATGGAGATGTGTAATGATGTTGAGTCGCAGAAAGGCGTGTCTCCAAGCACAGCCGTTGTGGAAGAGAGTTCCAAGTTTTTTAATATGCAGAACATCAAGCTGTGGTGTGCTATAGCCATTTGGTACGGTTTGAATGTAACTCATATCATGATAAGCAAATCCTTACTGAGCGATTTACCACTTCCATGGAGTGTCTGCGCCTTTGAGTTTCTGGTCGGTTGGTTATTTGCTGGTTTATTTTGGGGCACTGGTTTCCGTAAAATGCCCAGGTTCCCGAGCATGTGCGCCTTTGTTAAGATATTTCTACCATTGGGAATAGCGACTGTTTTTCTTCATTGCGGGACTATCATTTCCATGGCATTAGGTACCGTGTCCTTCACGACAGTCATCAAATCTGCGGAGCCTGTGGCCACAGCCGCTTTGTCTATTCTGCTCCTTAAGGATTATCTGAACGTCTACGTCTACCTTTCCCTGATACCTATTGTTGCTGGTGTTGCGCTAGCATCTGCGAATGAACTGCATTTCAACACTTGGTCTTTCCTTTGTGCGCTGCTTTCTAACGTGTTCGAGGCATCACGTGCTATTTTCACCAAGAAACTGGACTTCGACGACGAGGAAATAGGTACTAACCTATCACCTACTAATGTATATATGTTGTTCACATTGGTAGCGTCGGTTATATGTCTACCGATTGCTCTAATTATTGAAGCTCCTACGTGGGCCGAGGCATGGGAAACTGCGACTAAGTCTATGACCGGAAACGAGAAGACCTACATAATCTTGAAGATTCTTGCTTGTGGTGTTTTCTACTACACGTACAATGACTTTTCGTTCTATTGCCTGGGACGGATGAATCAGGTGACGTACTCCGTGCTTAACACGATGAAGCGTATCGCTGTTATCGTCGTCTCTATTATCATTTTCAGGAACACTGTGGAAGTACTGGGTTACGTGGGTATAGCGATAGCTATTGCTGGAGGTTTATTATATTCGTTAGCGAAGCAGGGTGTCTGCACACGTCGATCTACCATAGTAGTTTGATTTTCCCCGTCAGTGGTGATACAACTATCGGATTACATATAGTCTGCATTGCAGTATGTTCATGTGTAACCTACACGGCGTCACGGTCGCGCAACACATTTGAGCTGGAGTTATTAATCTCACCTCCCGAGCGCGAATCTGCAGTCTAATCGCATGGTCGTTGCCATAAAGGCTGTCACACGTACCACAATTAATTTTTTGTGTTACGTTCCCAAACAACTGTCGTCTGTGTCTACACAATTAGTATAATCGTTCCTTTCGAAGACTTTATGTCTAAAAAATTGATTGCTGCTGTGGTTTGTCTATGTGGCGACATGCGTCGGCAGAGGTCGAACGACCTTTTATATCGCACAGTACTCTACAAGCTGGTTATATGCTGCTCGTAGAGGTGTCGTCAGCATTCCGTTGCGCCCTATCCTTTAACGACGCTGGTGGGGGCCGAGTAGTTCGGTCCTTCCTCCGTGAAATGGCAGTCTCTCATTGGAATATGCCTTTAAAGCTTCGCCTGGTTGAATAGTATAAGCTCCGCGTTGTCTGTGCTGTTTGTACGTTCTTCCGAGGAGCTACGGTGTCTTGCAATCAGATTGGCATTCTCTTACACATTCTTCCTTGTTGGACGGTTTTGATTATGTTTTAGATTTGTTGATTGTTATTTAAAATTTTAGCTTTTACTTGATGCATGTTGCTTGGTATATTTTGTAGAGGGCATTTTTGTTCATTCTCGCTGTGTCGTTGTATGTTATGAGAGGGCGTATTTAAGCGTCAATATAGCCATCTGAGTATTGTCTCGCCATGAGTTATGTCTATTAGGGCTTGTATTTAACCCTTTGCATGTATATTAATCGATGTATTCACTTTTCAAGTTAGGCGTCTGGCAGAATGAAGGACTGGTCATTTAGCATAAATTGGCGTCTGATCTTCAGCGTGATTATGTGGTATACGCTAAACTGCGTATACGTCGTACAACAGAAGGCATTCCTGAACATCTTGCCGGTTCATGTGACGTTCAGTGGTTTTCTGATGATCCTCGGATCTATTCTGAGTTTATTGATATGGGCTGTTGGCTGGAGAGACTTGCCTCGTTTCAAGGGTGCGAAGCGAGCGTTAAAAATATTTTTCCCGCTCGCTATGTGCCACCTTTTGGTGAACTACGGTGCTGTAATTTCCATGGGCATTGGAGCTGTGTCGTTTACTCAGGTTATCAAGGCTGGAGAACCTGTATTCACTGCCACCCTTTCTATCCTCGTTTTGCGCGAGTTCTTGAACGTATATGCGTATTTGTCACTGATTCCCATCGTTGTGGGCATTTCATTGGCATCCGTTAAGGAGCTCGATTTTAACATTTGGGCCTTTCTCTTTGCTATGTTATCCAACCTTGGCAGTTCGAGCCGTGCCATCTTGGCTAAAATAACTATGAAGAACAAGGATGAGATCGGTGAGAATTTGACAGCCGCTAACATTTATATGATTTTGACATTAATATCTGGTACGCTCTCCGTTCCATTAGTTTTGTGTATAGAGGCCTACAAATGGAAGCCTCTTTGGGTAGAGCACACAGCAAACCTGACAACATGGCAAAAGTGCCATTTGCTGCTCCGCGCTTTTATCTCTGCGGTTTCGTACTATTCTTACAATGACTTTGCGTTTTATTGCCTTGGTCAAATAAATCAAGTGGGTCACTCGGTCGCCAACACTTTGAAGCGTGTGTTCGTGATTGTGGTTTCTATTATAATATTTAGTAACCCTGTTACCCCCTTGGGTTACGTCGGCATGGTTATGGCTGTCCTTGGCGCGTTGTCGTATTCGTTAAGCAACCAAGGATTTTTCAACCGAAAGCAGAAGGAGGCCGCTGAGGTGAGGGGCTTAGAAATTGCGACTCAGCAAAGCCAGTTGCTGTGATTATACGCATTACATCGTTATCATGGTGTGTCAACATATTGACCACTTTTGGTGTCTGTAGTGTCGAATGCACATTAATTACACTATCGATAACGCGGAAAATCGCTTTGATCAAACTGATATTTAATAGTTTTATTTTTTATTGATTATGTTGGATAAATTATCCTTATCTGTGATTTATTCTACGCAAAACTAAGTCGCATGTGTAGCAACGTGCCGTTCTACGCGTTGCTGTCTGATGGTGGCTATATTTTGGGCTTACTAGCGCGCTAAGCGCCTGTCTTCCACTCATATTACAAACATAAATATCTAAATCATTTGTTTATGCGTTACACACATGTATTCTGTGGTAATGTGCTAGTAGAATCCTGCTTCCTCACCGTGATCCCGGTTATCTCGCTACACCTCCGCGGAAAGAAATAAAAAGTGAAGTCAAATTCCTCACCCCACCGCAGAACATCCCTGCGCAGCTCGATAAAACTCTCTGATTTTCTCCTGAGCAGCGCCATTTACCGAGGAAAATTCCGTACTACCCCATCAATCGGCTTGCGCTGCTGGAGGTTACAACGTCGCTTCAGTTTCATTACCCCAGTCAGTATATATTACTCACTGAATGATAACATAACTGATAAAAAGTTATAATACATTGCTCCTTCTACTCTCTTACTCATAGAAATCTCTCTTCTGTAGTAAAAAAAATTATTTTCTGTCTTGATTCGCTCTATTTTTTTCTGGAAGTACTTGGAAGCGTTGCTTCGAGCAGAAACGGTACTCCCGAGCTTATCGCGCGGGGCAGCGTTTATTTATTGAAAGCTACCGAAGCCGACACTAGGGGAGAGAGTCCGTCGTAATTAATTTGACTTTCGAGGAACCGCCATTATTGTTGATCCTGATAGCTGCTTGTAGCCGATTCTAATCGTGCGAGAGTAGCCATTCGAAACTTTTAAAGTGCTTTTTTGCTTATCGTTTTGGTAGTGTTTTTTTTCAATTGTATTAACCATGGAAGTGACACAACGTAACAAGGAGGTGCCAGAGCTGGTATTTACGAGCGCTCAAGATGCTGAGTATGATCACGCATTGCCAGCATCAGCCTTTCCGGAAAAGTGCGCTTCCACCTCGTTTAAGGATCGATTTTTAGCTTTAGATTGGTGGTTGATTTTTTACTTTGTTCTGTGGTACGGACAGAATGCTCTTTATGTAGTTTTCAACAAGTTGTTTTTGAACGCGGTTCCCTTGCCGTGGACGATTAGCGCCTTCCAGCTTCTTGTCGGTTGGATTTTTATGTTTTTGTATTGGGGTTGCAACATAAGGGAACGGCCACATTTTGACAGTTGGTTTAAGTTCTGCAAAACATTCTTGCCGCTTTCTTTTTTGCACTTTTTCGTTCACGTGGGATCTGTCATTTCTATGGGTCTTGGTGCCATTTCTTTCACCCACGTTGTCAAAGCCCTTGAGCCAGTCATTACGGCGGTGTTGTCTATCATTTTCCTGAGGGAGTTCTTGAATGCCTACGCCTACTTATGTTTAATTCCCATCGTCGCTGGTGTTTCTTTGGCATCATTGAAGGAGTTGGACTTTAATTGGGCAGCGTTTCTGTTTGCCATGCTTTCCAATGTCACTGGAGCACTACGTTCCATTTTGGCCAAAGTTACAATGAAGAATAAAGCTGAAATTGGAGAACACCTAACGCCCAACAATATCTACATGATATTGACATTAATAGCCTCTTTCGTGTCTCTTACCTTCGTTCTGGGCTTTGAGAGTCTGCACTGGGTTTCTATTTGGAATACTGCCACTAAGGAACTTGCTACTAAGGAGAAAATTTTGGTGATCGTTTACGGTGTGGCATCCGGAATTTTCTATTTCATGTCTAATGATAGCGCTTTTTACTGCCTCGGTCAGATCAACCAAGTGACGTACTCTGTGGCTAACACTGCCAAGCGTGTTTTGCTGATTATGATTTCTATCGTTGTTTTCGGCACTAAGGTTTCTCCGATGGGCTCTGTTGGAATGGTTACAGCGGTTTTGGGTACATTCTTGTATTCCGTGGTGAAGTAAACAGCTTTGATACAACATTGATACCGCATCTTTTGTTGGAGTGGTGGGAAGGTAGTTTCAGTTTAGTGACTGTCTACTGGGGTAATATCGCCTTAAAATCGCGATTTGAGTGAATTCGACATTTTGAACAACGCCGTCTTCGGCCGCATATCGGTTGAGTGCCCATGCCGGAGTGATGAGAGTTTGTGACGGAAACCACGACACTGAGAATCTCACGTTTCCAGCAACATTGGTGGCCTAGATGATCTCACAAAGTGGGAACCGCACAGGCTATGCTTGTGTTCAATGGACCACATTCTTGACCTAGACTGCGTCTATAATGTTGGTTACCAATTAAACTATGCATTACGTGTGTGTTTATGTTATCTATTGCGTTATTCCATGAGTTGTGCGAAGGTTTCAACAAGAAACCTCTTCCGTATGCTGAAACTCCCTTGTGGGTAGGCTTGGGTGGTGAACATCTCGACGAAGCTGTCTTCTGTACACTCCGACCATTTTTTTAAAGTGTACAATGGCACGTCGCAGGTTTCCAATTGCACCACTTCGTTGGCACCTTCAGGTTGTCCATGTAGGCTCAAGTAACATCCTGATTTGGGTAGAAACTTAAACACGACGAAGAGTTGTTCCGCTCGTTGCATATATTCTGCCCTTTTGCATGTTATTTGGTCTCTCTTCATGAGCGTGGATAAAGTGAAGGTGGCCGATTCCGCATTTACCTGTGCTTTCGCGACGGCGAGTTTGTTCCTATGGAGCTTAACACGATTTACCAATGCTGCGTTCAGAATGCGCGGTTCGACGTATGCTGTGTTAGCATGGTTAATACACAAAGCAAGGTACTGGCATTTTTCTCTAAATGCCGCTTCGAATTGAATTCGGGCGATTTCTATCTCTCCTTGTCGTTGATATACTTGAAGTAGGTATTTCCTTTGTTGTTGTCTTTCTAGAACTTTCTTCATAATATTTGCAGCTATATCATTTGGTGTCATACGCGTGCGGTCGATGTTCATCAATTGTGCGCAAGCTTCCCTTGCTCGGTTGCTTGCTAGATGGTCGGGACAAGGCAACTGCGTGTAATATTGGGCCATGTTTTCCAGCTCAAGAGTTATAGCGTCGAACCCACCTGGCTCCATATCGAGCTGTTTCAATTCTGAGAGCGCGTTTTGTACGACTCGGAGCGGATCATATCTTCCAAATGCCACGTAGCGCATGATCAAAGACATGAGTTTGATGCAGTCTTCTGAATACGTTGTTTGTCTATATGCAAGCCTTTGTGGCAAAAACACGCCACTGAATCTGCATATTGACATGCTTTTATCGAACATCAAAAACCTGTGTTCAATGTGCGTGGATGTGATTTTTTGTCGAAAATTCAGTTTTCGTATAAGATCTTCTTTGAACAACGGTGACATTTTTTGGTCATTTCCATTTGCCTGTAGCATAGCTTCTAGGATTTTCCCCAGCGGGTCATGCGCGGAGAGGTTAAGATACTTCCTTGTAGCAGCGCATACGTTTAAGAACTGTGCTACAACCCAGCTGGGTACATCTATACGTATTTTTTCAAGATCAAAATGTGTCTTGAATGTCTCCATCGTGAGTTCTATATTAAAGGTGTCCTCAATATCCAATAATGTCTTGATGTACTCGAGAAGCATTTGTGAGACGTTGCGGTACAAAGACATTGTTTCACGATTAACCTCTTGCGATGCAGAAGGCGTCATTGTCAAACTCGGATTAACAATGTATTCGAAATATTGTGACGCTGTTTTGAAATTGTGAGCTACGGCCGCATCATTGATACCGTCATAATTATACGAGGCTACGATAACGTTGTGCACGGTAAACTGAAAACATACCTGCAAGCGTTTGAGCATCCTCAAAATATGGCTGTATGACGGCGTATACAAAAGTTGGTATCAACGGGTATATTGCCACATTTTCTAGCGGTACATTTGGCAATGTCCATCCCGGCGGTATTTTGAACTTGATCAAGTTGTGCATCCTCTTGAACGCAATTTTTACGTATTTCGGCACAACCATAACCGATAGCACCTTGCTTAGGTGTATTATAAACTTGGAAAAGCTCTTTAACTCTTCGCTTTTGGGTGGTGCTGTATTTGGAAGCACTAGCCTATGCTGCTTCATGAAGTTAACAAAAGAGTTTTCGCACCCTTTTGAATAAAAAATAGAGGCATTTGCCGCGTTCATTTGTCTGGATGTCATATACAGACGCAGTATCCTTGCGAATGGCGAGACGGATGCATTTAGAGGTGCCTGCGGGTTAAAGCACAATTGGATCTCCTCTCTGAGCAACGTCATCAACAAAGCGACAAACTGGTTGTGGACCCTTGGTATGTCGAGTCGCTTGTATACACATGTCACCATTTCCTTTACGGTTGCAATGTCATTACCGAAAAGGCATAGTCGTACGAAATACCCAGGTTGCAGAAATACATTCTCTAGAACTTGTTCTATGTAAGATGCGAATTGAGTGTAGTCCCCGAGCTCATCTCCATTCCCATCAGCCCTTCTTATTTTAGAGTTGTCGACTTTGTTCACAAATCCTTGCATTGCTACTTCTAGTTTGAATTTCAGGGACTCCATATCGTGATGGTACTTATCCATCTCCAGTATGATGTCTACATGTTGTTTTAAACACTTTACTAGGTCGTCCTGTATAATTTTAGTTAGTTATATATTTATCTAACCTCAAATGCCTTCAATGAAGCCTCCCAGCACGCCCTTTCCTCGTTCTTTAGAAGTATTTGCAAGCCCTTCCAATCCACAACATCCTTGTCGCCTCTGAAGTGCAGCTCGTCTATAAAGGACCTTACTGCCGCTGCGTAAGAAGAGAATCCATTTTGAAGAGTCACGCTTTCGAGTTTATCAAGCATATCACCCATGAGTGACAAAGTTGCGATCTGCAAGGTTGATAGGTTATGAGCCATTTACTTACTGCGGTTGGTTCATATGTCACCTTATTACGCACTTCTCCAATCCCCAATCGTCCATCAGAAGAAGCACCCCAGGCGTAAGCATCGCCGTTACTGTACAATATGTGTTCGTATATACATTTTTACCCACAGGGTCATGCAGGCAGAGAATGATCGAGATGTCGCCATTGAGGTTACTGGTGAGTTAATCATGACTACCGATGGACGATCTACGAACTCCATTGCTTTTATATCGTTTGTCATGAGTGGTACTCCTAATTGCCCGAAAGAATTATCTCCCCAGGCAATGAGCTAGAGCGCGATTTACTGCAAGTGGTGTATGGCAACTTACGTGTCCTTGATCTGTCAATACCAGTGAGTGGTGTGCGAATGCTACCACGGCATGCACTTTGGCAATACCAATTTGCGAAGGCAGTGTATCTATCAATCTGGGTTGTACAATGGGTTCATCATTTCCATTGATATATTTCCCCCTCCCCCAGCCATATAGGTCGTGTTCCATAGAGACAGCTAACGAATGGGATGCACCGACGGCGATATCGATGAACTTAAGGTCGCTTTGGATTTGGGTGAACGAATAGAGTGTTTCCAAATCCCCGTTGCCTAGTTTTCCGTCAGCACCTGATCCTGTGGCATAGACTATCCCTTCGTGTTGTAGAAGTAGTGAGTGGGTGTGCCCTTGGTCAGATGTAAAGTATCAATACTTTACTTACCTAGAACAACCTTGTAAACACCCGATATGTAATCGATTTTTCGCGGTGTCATTATGAAAGTGACTGTACATTTGTCACCAAGTCCTAGTTTTCCTCCCGAAGCTGATCCGAACACCCATACTGTGCCTACTTCATCGTTTGCGAAATGTTCATGATTGTTCGTGGTAACGCAACAGCTGTTGTTCATTCCGGCGAAAACGTTTATGGCATACTCCACGGTGTACACTTGTTCCGGGAACCCTCTGGCTCTGAGGTCTCCTTCATGTGGCATTATATATTATTGTCATTTCTCTTACCTAACCCTAGTTGTCCAGAATCGTTACACCCCCATGCCATCAGTAATCCTTCAACGGTTACAACTAAGGTGTGGTTCGCTCCACATGCGATTTTTTTAATTTTCGTGCTGAAATAGTTAAGAAGCCTGGGTTCGTAATACGTCTATAATATCTTAAAGTCACTTTATTACGTTGAACTTACTTCCGTGTTTTCACCATCGTTTGCATAACCTGTGCCATTGCAAGCTCCCCATGTATAGACGGTTCCATTACAGGTAAGCATGGCACCATGGTTAAGTCCAACACTCAGCTGTTGTATACGTCTTTCATTGGCGGAAACAGTGACCTTGAAGTCCTCCGTTCCCTCATTTGCTGTATCGCGTTGAATTTGTCCTTGTCCCTTGACTATCTTGTCTATAAAGACTGCATTTCTTAATTCCGGAACACATTTTGGCGTGAGATAGTCAGTTACATTTCCGTGTCCCAGTCTGTAGCAGCTTCCTACTCCCCAAGTTTTTAAATCGCCGTAAACGTTTACGGATGCACAGCTGTATGGTCCTGCTGCTATGAATACGTTTTCTGTCCCTGCATCTGGGACTTCTCTAGGAACGTGTGCGATCTGAGGCAAGGTGTCTGATGACGAGGGGACACATCCTAGTATAGCCCCCCATTGATATACTATTCCGCTTTCGGAGAGTGCTAGCGTTATTCCCGTACCACATTCGACCTACATTTAGATAATTGTATGGTCCATCATGTCGTACCTGTACTATTTTGGAGCCAAGGAGTGCATCTACAACAGTGGGAGTTAATAGATCATCTCCTAGAATCTTGTGACCGAGTTTACCACCTTTAGACGAGCCCCAAGTGTAAACCTTTCCATCTTTGTCAATGCAGGCGGAGTGTGAGTCTCCGCATGATACCTGGATGACGTGGCATCCTTGTAGCGCCTGAATCAGTTTTGGTGCATAGTACGACCTTGTATCTCCTATTCCAAGTCTTCCATTGCCTGATTCTGATTTGAAATCATTACTGAGACCCTTTACCTCCGTATCCCCATGCCCATATCTGTCCTGTGTTGTCTAGTCCAAAGGAGTGACGGCATCCAGCAGCGCAGTTTATCATGAAGGATTCCACAGGGAATTTTACCCTGACAGGTATATACTGATTCTTACACTCACCTGTTCCAAGTACTCCAAATATTCCCATTCCCCAAGAAAAAAGGGATCCATCTACTGTGGTCACCAAAGTATGATTTGCTCCGCATGCTAACGAGACAACATTTTGTTTTAGATTTACTGTTAATCCAGCTGGATGTGGATCTACTGTACACCAGGATGCTTCCTGTTCTTCTATCGTGTTATCTGTCTTTATGTTGTTTTGGTTTGACCGGTTGTGGAGACCATATCCCAGCCTGCCTGCTGTGCCCAAACCAAATGTATATACTGTGCCACCTTTCATGCCATAGGGCAACACCAGCACAGCTGAATGATAGTCACCGCAGGCTACTTGGCTGACATTTTTGCGTTCAAAATAATTGATGGGTTTTGGTGTCTTGATAAGATTGACTTTCAGTCCATGTCCTAGACAGTTGAATATGCTTTTCCCCCAAGAATGGACATGCAACGTGGCATCCACCACTTCGGACGGCCCCGCTGCATGGCGTTGATTGGTTACGTTGCTTTGTCCAAAGGTTAGGGACTTGGTTACGCATAGCGCGTGGTTGAGTCCTAATGCAACTACTCTGGGAACATCATATCGTGTTATTGTTGTATTTTCGTGATTTTCATCGCTCTCCATCCTCATGAAACCACTTTTACGAGTATGAGGGAGATGTGTATGTATATTACACCTTACAGCAGCCCGCGACTGTAGATGCGGCAGTGCATATGCCAAATATCACCGTGTCGACGTTAATTATGTACGGTTATGTGCTACAAAAGTTCCAAATTTGTATATTAGCTTTATACCGAAATATTAGGGCGTGACCATGGCCTATGCGTCTACAGCACCGAGTACCTCCCGGTCGTCTTTTGCATAGTTGGTTGCCCATATTGCGGCGCGGCTGCTACTTGTACCACTTTTCTCAGTTCGCTCCTGTTTACATATGTCTACAGTACAAAATGAACTTACAGTGCTGCCTGCACGCTGACAACAGTCGGTCCCGATATTTCGACGTATAGTCCCTTTGTCCCTCCGGAAATGTTTAAGTTGCGTCTCGCTGTTTCCACAGGTATGTAACGTCCCTTTACTTGCAGGGTGACGCCCGTCTGCTCCATGATGTACGACAGAACCTCCTTGTTTGTGATCCTGAGTCTGACAAACTCGGGGTAGGAATTTATACCAAATTCATCATGGGCGTATCCCGTGTTGGCATCGACATACCCAGCACAAGTAAGTCCCTTGATCATCGGTTGCGGTTCGCGCTGAGAGAATTGCCAGACCGACGACTTATAACTAACCGAGATAACAGGTTTGTCAAACGGGTTTGTCGTTTCCTTTTGTGGCGGCTGCGCTATTGAACTTTGAAGTCCATTATACACCTAATTTATGTGAGACTCGCTGAAGTTTTACTTACCGTTTTATTTGTACTCGCGGCGCCAGCATTTTCCGCCAGTTCCGCATCTTCCTCTTCTTCCGTGTCATTATTGAACCCTACAGAGCTCGATATCCGTTTATACGAGTATGAACTCACCTAGAGCACGGCATGCGTATTGTCTTTCTTGCTGTTGGCGTGATTTTTCGGCATCAGTGAATTTGAATCCCCTTCCTCCAAATCCGCCCCCGAAGCGTACTTTATGTCTTCCATCAAGTGTTGCCAGGTGCATCTGCGCAAGTTCGTGTAATTCTGCTGGTACCTCTTGATTTGACGCTTTGAGTGCCTTGATGATATCGTGTGACTTAGCACCTTCTTCTGGTGTTATGAACGTGTAGCTTGTACCTATGTTTCCCGCTCTCCCCGTTCTGCCGACACGGTGTACGTAATCCTCGATATGATCGGGTGTTGCGTAATTGATGACCAGAACGACTGACTTGACATCGATCCCTCTGGCTGCGATAGAAGTTGCAATTAGTATGCCTTTTGTGCCATCCCTAAAATCTTGAAGTGTAAATTCACGATCTGTTTGGTCTTGCCCTCCGTGAAGTACAGCACATTCATATCCATGTTTGATAAGTTCAGAAAACATGTTATCGGCATCCAATTGTCTGTTTACAAAAATGATAATGCTTCCATGTTCGTGCCATTCTCCAAGAAGTTTGAGCAATGCATACATTTTTTGATCTTCATGTAATACCATTACATGTTGATCTACTTGCGAGGCACTCTTTCCGGACTCTCCTACTATAATTTGTAGCGGTTTCGTTAGTATTTTTTTAGCGAGAGCTTCAATTGAAGGTGGGAATGTCGCTGAGAAGAGTGCTGTTTGCCTATCAGGTCTAACATTGTCTACAATAGCTGTTATTTGTGGGCTGAAACCCAGATCAAACATGCGATCTGCTTCATCGATGACTACAAAAGTGACCCTTCTCAAATTCGTAACTTTTCCGTTGCTGATTGTGAGTACCTCAATAAGCCTTCCAGGTGTTCCACAAACAATTTCTGCTCCCCTCTTCAACGCGTTTAGCTGTTCACCTATGGGTGCCCCTCCATATACCGCCTTTGTGCGAAGTCCGACTAGTTTGCATAGTTTCGCGCTTTCTACTCCTATTTGACTTGCCAATTCCCTGGTGGGAGCTATAATGAGTACAATCATTCCTTCATTTTCTCTAAGTTTTGGCTGGTATAGGGCATGTCTGATTGCTGGTAGTAAGTACGCAATAGTTTTTCCTGATCCTGTTTCTGCGATTGCGAGTACATCTCGTCCACACATGAGCGCGGGTATGCATTGCATTTGAATCGGGAAGGGTTTTTCGTAGTTGCGATGTTGTAGTAGTGCTAGTATAGGGTCAGGTAGTCCACATTGTGAGAAGTTATATATTGGTCTTGGGCAATTTTTTCCTCTAACCCTGATATTTCCGTTAGCCTTTCTTAATGCATCTACTTCATGTTCTTTCATAGCTGTTATTGCCGAAATTTGTACATAGAAGTTTTTCTTAAACGGAGGATAGTTGATTGTCGAATGGTCAACTTTTGGCATTTCTATCCTGCTTCTTGTCGTTGTTTTGAACAATTCGGCGTAATCCACCGTTGTCGGTGGTTCGGGTTTTTCATCATCGCTTGAAATTACACTATCATCCGTCTGTTGTTTCTTTGTATCTTTTCGTGTCTTTCTTCTCAATAGTGATAGGAATTCTTTTTCCTGTTGTTCGTCTGCTGTGATATCGTCGTTTGTCATTGCCATAATTTCATCCAGAGTTACCGACTTGTTGGCATCCGACTCTGCTTCTAGCTCTTGATTGACAACAGGGTCCAGTTGTACTTCTTTTATATCCCTTTCGCTTTCTTTCATAATGGTGTCCATATAGAACTCCAGTGGATCTACATCTCCATTTTCCGAGACCTGCTTATCATGTTCATTTTTTTGATTTTCTGAAGTTGAAGGAAAGTAGTTTTCTAGTGCATTATTTTGTACTTTTTTAGATTTTGCTTCCTCCAATTTCAGCGATAGTAGCTTGATTGCGTTGGCATTTTGATCGTCTCCTGCCTTTAATTTTTTTTCTTCGGCCAATTTTTTGAACCTCGCCAAACGATCGAGTTTTGTAGCGTCCTTTACCGCAGATTGCGTTGTGTTTGTCGTAGCTTGAACAGTATTCGAATCCTCTTTGTGATCCGTGTTTTTCTGTCTTTTTTCTGGTTGTGTATCCGTTTGTTTCGTAGTTTGGGCATGGTTTCGTTTCTCTGATCCTTCATCACGTCTTGAATGCCTGTCATGATGTGTAGAGTGTCTTGTTTCTACCTCATGATGTTTTTCTCTGTGTTTGTGTCTATCTCGAGAATCTGACCTTCTTCCTCTCGAGTACCTGTTTCTCTTGGTGGTGTCGTTGGAATCCTCTGAGTCTGAGTGGTGTCTACTACGTCGTTTTCTGTGACTTCCATCTCTGCTATGCGATCTTGGTGAGTCTCTTCTTGCGTAGTGCTTTGACTTGTGATATTGTGGACTTTTGCTGCGCCTTCTTCGCGAGCGTCCGCGGTCATGCACTTGACGCGATCGCGGCGTTACGGAATCTCTGGATCCCATTCAGTAGTTTCTATTATGGGATGTTTTCTATTGAGGGTGTGTTGCTACGACCTTCTTCGTCCGTCCGTTTCGTAGAACGTCGTGGGTGCGGCATATACGAAGCTCCACATTCCAGGTTGCGCATACCTGTGTGACTCTATCATTATCTTCTATTAAATAGCGTTTGTTATAAAAATCAAAATAATATTTTTAATCTATTAAATATATGTCATTGGTTGAACATCGATGCTGTGTGTCCCTAATAAGCCTATATGTTGTATGGGATATTGCACATGTTACTGTTTGTGCTATAATTTTTTGGTATAATGTGTAACTTTGTATTGTGGCTTTAATAGAGAGTGTATGTCAATTGTTTTTTATCATATCACTTTATTGTTAACTAGCTATATATATTACTATCTAGCTTTTGGGTTTCACAAGTGTTAATGCCATTAGTGGCCTGTTTCATTTGCGTGAGCTACCGTTTATAGTTTTTTTGCTATCCACGTGCTTGAAATCGATCCCCTTATATTTGGTTACCTTTTTTTACACATTTAACTGGTGTGTTCTGTGTCCACTGGTGTCATCGGTGGCCGCAATTTTAAAATGAAAATGTTGTGCAATTGAGTTGCAGCCCCAGTACCATTTTTTCCTCGCCGTCGCGCGTTCGTTGCAGCTCACCTATGTTTGGCATACTGAGGACCCGCCAGTTAGTAACAAGCTTCTTCAACAAATACTGTCGCTATACACCCGTTGTAAATTGTGGCAGTATCTTTCCTTTTCATCATCGAAGGACTTTTTCCGTCGCGTTATCAAGATTCCATCTCCTTTGCTACAGTTCGTCTATTCATTTCCTAAGTTTAATTTTGTTGATTTTTGCAGGGTTTTCCATTCTTTATGCTTACAATGACGATTAAATTAGGTGATTGGTCGAACAACGTCACTACGACAATGTCTAATGACGAGACTTTTGCTTTCGGCACTCTGACCCTGCCAGGCAGTCAGGTGTTTGCCAAATCCGATCGGAGTTTTGCTTTTGTTAACATAAGGCCATTTTTACCTGGACATTCTCTCGTATCTCCCTTACGAGTGGTTAAGGTGTGTTTTGGTTAAAATTTGGTGTCTAGATTATATAGTTTTCACCGTTTCTTCGTTTTCTAGTACCATTATAATATTTTTGTAGCGATACAGGGATATGACGGCTGACGAATTATTGGATTTTAGTATTATGGTCCAGATTACTGCTGCCGCCCTTGAACTAAAGTACGAAGGCACAGCAAGTACGATAGTTATCCAGGTACGTGTACGGTACTACACATTTCGTTTGCTTTATATCATATATGTGTGTTTGATATTTTTGCTTTAATATTTTATTTTTCAATGTTCGGGGGTCTGTAGTGTTTCGTTGTTTTATCTTTGTAACCCTTCAAATTGTTGGCAGGATGGTGAGGCAGCGGGCCAGACGATACCACATGTCCACGCGCACATCATTCCTCGAGTTAAAGACGATCTAAAGAATCCGGATTCTATCTATGATGAGCTGGAGAAGCCAACTAATCGTCTCTGGTATGTACAATATTTTACCATTACATCTGTTTCAGGACTGAAGAGGAGATGGCGGTGGCTGCTAACGAAACACGCCCATTTATAGAGCGGGTAATGGATGAACGTGGTATTGGCTGTTTTTTGCCCTAAATTAGTGGAGGGCGGTTATGGCATTTGGTTCCAAAACTCTTAACCGGTTGCCATCATACAAAGATTTACACACGAAAAAGCTAATATTCTCCTTCTTGCATAGGATCTGTAGTGTTGAGAATAGATTATGTGTTTCTGCAGGCGCAGCTGCATCCTCTTTTCCTTCTCGATTTGCGCGCGAGATTCCCTTTTCCTCTTTGTAATTCTCGCCGTGACTAAATTTTCGATATCACATAATTTGTAATATATCGACGGCAAACCACGCCTTCACAACTGATGCTGTATTACACATCTGCAACTTTCCTGTGCTGCGCGTGACATAAACATACTACCAGTTCACACGGTTCTCTGCACATAACTGTAAATGCACAGATGCTCGTAGCATATCCGTTTGAAAATAATCATTAAAATAATATAAACGTATAGATAGATGAAGTATCCATTAACCTTACTTGAGGGGACTCTGACTCGCCGGCCTTCGCTACGCCGAGATTAGACTTGTTCTGTTCGACATCTACCTTCTATGGTTGCCAACTGCTCGGATTCACAATGATATGTGGTCACAGTCATCCGTTAATCTTTGACTTATAGTTTCTTTGGGCAGCTAAGAGAGATACAGAATCTGTGTTCTTCCCTGCTGCATAAGTCGAAACAATTGATAGGTGATATAATCTAAAGTGAGTTAATGGTGCCCATTATCTATATTGTGTTCTGTTTTATGAGTTTTTGATTATATAGTCGCTTTATCCTGGTTCGTAGTCTCGGTGGACAATATCAAGGTATGCGAATCAGCATTAAGTGGTTACTGTGGCCGCAAAGCTCTCGGTACCTGCTGATTTCATTTGTATGCATTCTAGCAGAATTTTAAAGGCATAAGAGCAGGGTGTTATAATCCTGAGAAGATGTTGTTATTACCTACTTTGGAGGATATTTCAAACGGTTGGATACGGTTCGTTCGCCAAAATGTTCAGTAAATAGTTCGCAAGACATTAGTTGGTTACAAGCTTAAAATGCGAGGCCCGAACTACGTCATGAGGGTGTTTATGTGGGAATGCGGTATTCGCATAATGGCGAAATCTGCCACTCGATCTGCCGTTTGCACATTCTCACGTAAGCACTCAACCAACCGACCCATGAAGGTTAATCCCTTGAAGTCTGTGAGCGACAGGGTAGATAGAATGATTAGAAAGGTCTTGAATGCTTCCGATGGTGTGAAACAAGATGAGCTTACGGGGATCGCCAAAGGTGTATTGCGTGAATCCTTACCTTTGAACGAAGAATTGCGTCTACTGAGCAAATTAGGGGACATAGTCATTTTGAACAAGACCTTCATATCGGATTATGTGGCTAAGTTAGAGGCGCGCATTAATATGGCGTCCAATTCTAAAAAAGAGGCTGACCGTAGTGCCGCCGATCGTAACGATAGTAGCTACATTAATATTCGCACATTACAGCAGATCAGTAGATTTCTAATATCTCAAAACGCAACATCTAGTGTTGTTTGTACGTTTATTGAGAATTGGATAAAAAATAACAGCTACTATCTGGTACCTGACCACATGGTATCCTTCAACGCCTTGCTGGCGTGTCTAAGTCACTCGGGTCATCATACTCAGCTTGTCCCGGAAGATTTCGATGTTGTTGGTGAATGTTGTAACGATATAAAGCCGGAGCATTTGGTTGATACCCTGTATTTGCTTGGCAAGGTCGGCATTAGGAATGACGCTCTGATAACCTCCGTTGGAAGAGTGCTTCATAACGAAATCGCAAAGGGGGTTCTTTCACCGTATCACAAGACCAAGCTGGTTCGAGCGTATGCTTTGCTTAAGCATGAGCATATAACATTTTTCACTCACATCGCAGAGGAAGTACGTATACTACTTGAGGGGAGGGACACTGGCAAGTACCTCGTGGTTGGTCCCTCCACCGGGAAGCGTTACATAGAAGGTATAGGATCAGACGAGGGGTACAGTGCTAGTGGCGTAATTTGTAAAGTTTTGACTTACTTTAACACTGCAGTTGAAGGTTCATGCGAAGCTGCGGATGTTGAGCATGTTCCGTTCACTGGGTCTAATCAACAACTTTACAGCGACGGCCAGATCATTTATATTTTGGATTCCATGCTTTATTTGAATCTACATCATTTAGAACCGTACTGTAGAAGCCTGTTAAGTAGCGCTGTAAAGCATTGCTACTCGCTATCATCCATTGATACCTTTGATGTCGAACAGGTTCGTGTTCTGTCCATATAAAATTTTATAACGATTCAGCTGCGAAGTGCTATCACAGTTTTGGCACAAAGTAAGAATACTGTGGATGACAGTGTTTTGGAGTGTATATCTCGACGTTTCATAAAGGCGTACGTGGATGGGAAGGCCACCAACGGTCAATTGGCGCTATTTTTGAAGGACCTTGTGAAACAAACGCGCAAGGTCGTTAAAACAAGGAACAGACGCGGTCGTGTATGTTACGCTGCAACTTTCCCTGGTCCGCGTTATTTGGAAAAACCGCTTTCAGAATTTGAAGGTGTCACTGGTCACGCACAGCCATCGATGTTGGAATCTTGTTGTACGGCTATATGTGAGAATGTCTACAGGTAATGTACATATATACACTATTCATTTTCTTTCAGTTTTGATCTTCTAGATCTCACATCATGTATTCGTTCGGTTGCTTATTTGGGTTTCCGTAATGAAAACTTCTACATGGCATTTGTTCCCTACTTCAAGGAACGTATCGGTTCTCTGACTCACGTTGGCATAGCTAATTTGACTCAGGTACGTGGGTTCCCAACAGCTGTTAATACATTGCAGGCTCTGACCAAGGTAAACGTGAGGGAGGAGCACTTGTTTTACCTGATGGGTCGCCAGCATCAGCTGTACCTTCAAGGCGAAGACAAAGCACATAAACTCTACGTCAAGCGTATCGGCTGATACGGCAACAACTATGTATGTTACTAAGCATAAACCGGCTGAATGTGGCAAACGATTAGATAGTTATGTCACGCTGTAGCGTGCACATATTGACTGCATTATTGGTTTTCCGCATCGTAGAACCACAACGTATATCTGTGCTGATACCTGTACGCCGCAACCCATATTTGTGACATGTGGCGGTGTACCATGTCCTGCATCGTCGGTACCGGCGGGTTCACCGTATCGATGTTCCGGCTAAGTGCCAATGCGAGGGCTGATTTCGTCTGTTGAGATTCCTCGTTTATCTCGCGTATGACATCTGATACCACCGACTTAATTGGCTGGGCCCCAAACCCGGGCTGAGTGTCGATGTAGATAAGATTTGTAGAACTTACCCTTGAGATGTCAAAGTTGTACATAAAGTTGAGCTTGTATCCAATGAATGTCCTCATGAGCAATGACAAGAAATCCAGCAAAAGAAGTGTGTGACTTGTAATTTCTCTCATATTAGTCATCTCCGGGAGATCCCCTAGGTCCGTAATGTTGAATACGCTATTATTTGTATTTCTGGCGTATTTGATGTCACAACGTAAGTTGTCCACTTTGTCTGCATTGCATTGTTCGAGAGTAACTTGCAGGAGGTCCAAATTGCTGACCAAGGTTACAGGGGATAGAGCTGCCTTGATTAAATTTATCCCCGCACCAATCATTTTCATTAGGCTCTGCCAGTTTATATAAATCGTCTGCTTCAAACTCACCCATATATCTACGTTCGCCGCATACATGTTGTCAAACCCTTTTGTTGTATTGTTGATTACAGATTCAGCATGGAGTATCCAACTGAAAAGTGCTCTCACTACTTTCTCCGAAGTTGTTCTGGACGAAGATGTGCCTCTTAACTTAGAATACCTACCTAGAAAGTGCAAATGGGATGACCACAAGGTGGTTAACCAGGCAATAGAGGTCATCGACAAGTTGTTCATTCTTTTCAGTGTAATAGTTCCTGAAGGTAATATATGAATTTTTAGAGCATCTTACCACTCGAAGGCCGAGATTGCGGCGGAAACAATATGATCAATATCGAAGGTGGACTCTTCTACGCAATTTTCCTGAATATTATGAGTTTCAATAAATAAGCCAGTTACCTTTTCCTGAACCACATAGTGGATAAGAATGTTGGTGAGAGTATTTAGCGATGTTGATCTAGTTACCGTAATATTTGTCGATACCGGCTCCATATTATGATAAGGATCAAATTTGCCATATTCCCCAGACATTGCCGACTGCCTTTTCATGGTGTTGATGACTTCCTTGATGAATAATCCGGGCTTGGCATAGAATGTGAGTGTGAAGCTTTTATCGTTAGAAAGAACAGATATTAACACCAGCCACAATTCGTTAGTGCAAATTTTCGATGCGTTAACATTTTTAAGGGCTTTTGCCAATGTGGCCATAAGTTGTGACGGGATGTTTTCTTTCAACCATTTGGCATACATAGCGCTCATTGGCGATGTTTGTTGATTCCTTATTACATCCGGCACATCTACCCCTGCCTCTTCCAATATCGATGCGAGACGTGATGGTGGTATATTTTGCGTTGTGCCGATGGTACTGGAATAATTTTGTTGATGAGTGTTAGTTTTGTCGTCCAGATATAGTGCATCACCCCTCTCCTTTGCCCCTATCAATATCAAAAACAACAATGTTGCGTGGTTACGCAGATTTAACAAATGCCGTTTACATCCAATTTCCGAATTTGCCGAGAATATCCGTATTAGGCACTTCACCGTAGCCACCGGTCCTAGATCCCCTATTCCCAGCCTTAATGTCTCCATTGTGCAGTATTTCATGGACGCCTGTTTTTTGTAGTAATACCCAATAATGTATTGTAACGCTATGGGATCTACACGTCCAGGTACATCGCAAAATAGCTGCCATCGCAAATAATCCATATGTATGTAGTAGTAAGGGGCTACTGACTTGGTACTCTTTGGTATTTCTGTAACCCATGAAAACATCGGCGGCAGTTCGACCATTTTGGGTGGTCCTGGGTAAGTGTTGAGATATGGCGCCAATACTATGCTAGATAGCAGTAGAATCAATACATCAGAGACCATCGATTGTGTTGCTTTGAGAAAGGTATCATGTAAGGCCGACTTTGCCGTTATATTAGCCGTGGTGTACGAAAATAACGCAAGTAGTAGCCTTCGTAGCCGTGATGGATACCCTGATCCTCCATAATCTATGGTACACAAAGGAATGATCATGAATTCGGATACGCCTTTCCTCTCGAATACTGTTACTTCAAAACTTTTTAATGAAAATATATGCATATTATGGTCTATGAAGCAAAACCCTTGGTGTAGTGCCTTAATACTACTTTCGGACCATTCGAGCATGGCACCATTCACAATGGTCTCTTCAATAGACTTCAGAGTTGATCCTGCTGTGATAACCGTGTTGATTGTGTTTTCTTCAACAGGGAATCTTAATCTCACAGTTCTGTTAATTTCCATTTTATCCTTTGCTTTTTGTCTAATTGGAGCTTCCGCCGATCTTCCAGACCCTGGCATCACATAACTTCCGTCTTCCCCCGATCCAGCTAGATGTTCATAAGATTTACTTTCAAAAGCTGAATACGTTTTACTTGAGCTTGAGTGCCATAAGTTAGTATCCTGACTGCCATATGTCATATAATTCTGCGGATCATCTGTGACTAGATTTATCCCATCTTCCGCATTCAATTTAAAGGTTGCTTTATAGCTCCATTCCAAATAGCATGGAACATAGTCCATGTGGAACAGTAGCTCCACTGCATTTACTGAATCCATTAGACACTTCATTAACATCCTTGATATTACGAAGAGTGTCAAGCATCGTGTAATTGCACATTTACCTTGGCGTACGCGCTCATATAGTCCCAATAGAGTGGCATCTTCTTGATCGATATGAATCACGCTGTCCATTTTTGACAATGGCGGTTCCACACGTGATGATGACCGTTTTGGTTTGAGTTCGTAAAATGCCGCAGTAGGAAGGGGGACATCTTTTGTATCAAGGTCATCGGATGTCTGTCCCTGTAGATGTTCAAGGTCCTTATCGATTGCTATTTGCATGTCAATATTTGATCCTGTTTCTGATATATGGGACTGTTGTTCCATATAATCGTCATTTTCTTCGGATTTGTCGCATCGTAGCACGTGCTCTAAAAGAATGGTGAAACGTTCCCAGTACCGGTACATATGCCCATGTTTTAGGTTAACCTTAAGTAATTTGTCGATTACGAAGTTTTTGATATAGATTTCTATAGCTTCGTAAGCCACATTGTCAATAGGTGTGAAAAACAAGCGTTTCATCCATTCTTCGAGTTCCTGATCAGATTCATCCGTGATTTTTAATCTGGGAAATTGCAGTAAACTCTCAAATATGGATTCCTTGTCGCCACGAGAGTGAAAAGCGCAGCGCTTTGTCGAGAGTCTCCCTCCCATCGTGTCTCAATTATCTTATGAAATTTGTAGAGTATACCTTGTGATACAGCATTGCCCTAGTGCCGAAGGTTATGGGCAAAGATTCCAACCAGCATATCGTAAGCGTAACTTTCTGCTTGCAGGCCCCAATATATTGCAAAATGTACCGAATGATGGCGCAAATGAATAATACGAGGCTAGATTATGATCGTCGTCAACGTCGCTGCTTTGTTCACCGGTGTTGAGGAACAAAGCTGGCGCTATCGAATACTTAGAATGACACACATGCTATAGATAATCCATGTGTATGGGCGCTCCTAGTGGGCGTTCACTGAGCCACACACAAAAGTATATACTGTGAGTTTTTTGGCGGTGTTGCAACGTGTGAGGGACACAATGGTAATATTAGCAGAAGACCATTCTAAGTCCAATATATGACGTATAGGTGTGCCATTTTATTCGTATCTTCTTTGCTTAGATGTGTGCTAATATAGACTCACTTGTGTCTTCCACCTCTGTATGCGCTCAAATATGTGGTTACGCCAGAAGCCCTGAGTTTTAAAGAATAAATATATACATTCTAACAAAGTTATCGGGTATAACAGGCACACCTAGTCATTCTAGCGTCTCTTATGCGTTGTAACCCTACAACACCGGTACAACCCTCCGGAACAGCACGTTACACACTTATACCTGTGGACTGTCCTGTGGCCACGTCCAACTTATTCAATTTTGAAAAAACATATATGAGCTTTGTATAGCTCATAGGCAGCCCCTGCATCTGGTTTGGTGATGCGATAGTTGAGCTCTCCTCTATCACGGTCGCAAAACACATAAGCGTCTCTGCTGCAATCGCTCTACATTTCATCATTCATTTTCATTCGTAGATTATACTTTGACCTCTACCAACAGTGTTACGTTACACACATTTCAGGGAGGATGCAACACGCTGACGTGGTTTCACCCACCTCGAAGGAGGCCGAGGAAAATACTCAAATGGGTGAACCTGCCTCCAAAGCTATGTACGTTATCAATCGAAGAGGTGAACGTGAGGCTGTACAATTTGACCGCATTCTAGAGCGTATTCAACAACTCTCATTTGGTCTTCACAGCCTAGTAGATGCGCCAAGAGTTACACAAACTGTTATCAATGGGATGTATTCCGGTATCCAAACTTCTCAGTTGGATGAACTAGCAGCACAGACATGTGCTTATATGGCAGCTACTCATCCCGACTATTCCAGGCTGGCGGCACGCATTGTTGTAGCCAATCTACACAAAAGCACCAAAGACGATTATGGAGAAGTTATAACGGCACTATTCAATTTCAAATACATATATAACAGCAATGCGTCACTTATCAGCGAGGAAGTTTACCGTTTCATTATGGATAACATAGATCGCATTAATGCCGAAATCGATTACACAAGAGATTTCCAGTACGATTATTTTGGTCTGAAAACATTGGAGAGGTCATACCTTCTACGCATTAACGATAAAGTTTCTGAAAGACCACAACACATGTTAATGCGGGTGTCAGCAGGGATACATTGTGGTGACATTGAACGAACAATACAGACTTATCACCTCATGAGTCAAAAATATTTCACTCATGCGACGCCAACACTCTTCTTCTCAGGGACACCAAGACCACAAATGTCAAGTTGCTTCTTACTGGATATGAAAGATGACTCCCTGGCTGGAATATTTGATACCTTGACACAATGCGCATTCATCAGCAAATGTGCTGGAGGTATAGGTTTGGCATGCCACAAAATCAGGGCAAGTGGTGCTTACATTCGCGGTACAAACGGTAAAAGCAACGGTATTGTACCTATGTTGCGTATTTTCAATGCTACTGCAAGATATGTAGATCAAGGTGGTGGGAAACGCAAGGGGTCGTTTGCCATATACTTGGAACCATGGCACGCTGATATCATGGATTTCTTGGACCTACGTAAAAATCACGGAGCTGAAGAAGCAAGGGCTAGAGATTTGTTCTATGCATTATGGATACCTGATCTGTTCATGAAGAGAGTTGAGGCAAACGCTGACTGGACACTTATGTGCCCAGATGAATGCCGAGGTCTATATGATGTTTGGGGTGACGAATTCGAGGCACTTTACACAAAATATGAAGCAGCGGGGCTAGGACGTAAAACCATACCAGCCCAGACTCTATGGTTTGCCATATTACAAAGCCAAATCGAAACAGGCAACCCATTCATGCTATACAAAGATGCCTGCAACGCTAAATCAAACCAACAGAATCTTGGAACCATAAAATCGTCAAACCTGTGTTGTGAAATTGTTCAGTACACTTCTCCAGAGGAAGTGGCAGTCTGCAATTTGGCATCTATAGCGCTGCCTATGTATGTGAACAAGGAGACACGAACATACGATTTCAAGAAACTATATGATGTGGCACGTGTCATCACATTCAACTTAAACAGGATCATTGACCGGAATTACTATCCGGTTCCAGAGGCCAAAGTCTCCAACCAACGCCATAGGCCAATTGGTGTTGGAGTACAAGGTCTGGCTGACACTTTCATGTTAATGAGGTACCCTTTCGAGTCGGAAGAAGCCAAGGAATTAAACCGTCGTATCTTCGAAACCATCTACTATGGATGTCTGGATGAGTCTATCTCATTGGCTGAGAAACATGGACCCTACGAGACTTATCAAGGTTCGCCTGCTTCGAAGGGTAAACTACAGTTTGACCTCTGGGGTGCTACGGTGGATAACAAACTGTGGGACTGGGACGATCTCAAGCGTCGCATGGCCAAACACGGCTTGCGCAACTCACTATTCTTGGCCCCGATGCCCACGGCATCGACGTCACAGATTCTGGGAAACAACGAGTCTTTCGAACCTTACACGAGCAATATCTACTATCGGCGTGTGCTTAGTGGCGAGTTTTTCGTTGTGAACCCTCACTTGCTGCGCGACCTTGTGGACCTGGGACTCTGGGATGAGAGCATGAAGGAAAAACTTATTGCTTACAATGGATCCTTACGACACATTGAGGGTATCCCTCAGCACATCAAGGATCTTTACAAGACGGTATGGGAGATCAAACAAAAGACCATTATCGACATGGCTGCTGACCGAGGAGTGTTCATTGACCAGTCGCAATCGCTAAACATTTACCTGGAGCAACCTACGTTCGGTAAACTTACTAGCATGCACTTTTACGGATGGAAGAAGGGTCTTAAGACCGGTGCTTATTATTTGCGTACGCAACCGGCAACTGATGCCATCAAGTTTACAGTGGACACCAACCTCAGCCAGATGGCCAAGGCAGCAAGTCAGTTACCAAAATCTAAAGTTAACGACGTGTTGTCTACCGCTGATAGCTCATCAGTCGCTGCGGATGAGGTATCTGGATTTGCCGTATGCAGATTGCGTACCGACCCTAATTCCAATGAGCCGTGTACAATGTGCTCTGGTTAATGTCTCTCCACGAATTTATTCTTAGCGGCCCCGCAATTTGGGCATGTAAAGCTCTGCTAATTATGTGTTACAAGCTGTATCACTCACGGAAGAGAAGAACCGTTCTTCGCGATTTTTGGCAGGGAAGATGGTGAAGCCGCAACCGCTGCATTGGTACCGATTGAGTGTCGGTGTTTTGGACTTTGCCTTCGCGGGTGCGAGGTAACCTGTACAATATTATGGATTTAGTATGCAAACTACAGATGTATGATGCAACGATAGTTAGGTATATATAAGCGGTCCCTAGTAACCGGTATGTCTATACCGCTAGTCCCAGAAGGTTGGTCCGAGGGCGATGAGACCGGCCCCGCTGGTGTTAACGGGATTCGCCGTCATGCAAAATAGATGTTGTAAGCAACACCCTGCAGAGAGACAATCGTCATAACGTGGAAATATGTACACACAGATCACGAAAAGTGATGTTGCCAGGTCAATACATCCTAATTCACCACCTTGCCTCAACTGCTGTCTAAATTCCATTGCAAACACGCATATTAGTTACATGAACACATGGAAGGTTGCTGTGCATACTTCTGTACTTACTCTTTATGGTAACCGCCGCGGCTGCCGTCACTAGGGGCACAGTGATAGCGGTAGCAATGCCACCAGGTACCTTTTCGTTGATAGTTTCAGCTAAGGAACTCATTGAACCCTTGATTCGACTAAGTAGACAACCCTTGTCGGACTTGAAAAGCGATACTGATTGCTCGCGTCTAGGCGCCATCGGTGAGTTGGCAATCCGCGCTCGGCTACTGCCGAGCTGGAAAGACACAACAGAACCTAACACACACGTAAATATAAACCAGAATAAGCTGTACATTTCAATATAATAAACAGATGTATCAACGCCATATACGAAACCTCCTGTCGGGTTATATTAAAAGAGTGACTGGTCAAAATGGTTCATTCATAAGGTCACCACAGCTCTGCTGCACATTCAAGTCTAGAGATGAGATTCCATCCGATACACGGCTCTCCTCCATGGCTTGAAGGCGACAGATAACCGCCAAACGCTTAGCCTCGTTAAAACCATATTGTCGCACAGGAAAGTAACGACCAGCCCTCCTACCATCAGAAGTTGTCCATCTTGCACCCCAACGTCGGTTCTTACGGTCGAAAGTTACGCCTGATACAGAACAAGTGTCCTCGTCCTGATCGTTATCCTGGGAATACGGCTCTAGGTCCTCACCAACAAATTGCATGTGCTGATGCTCATAGGAAAAGGGCTGACTGTGCGAATAACTGTAAGGTAACTCGCTTTGATAGTTGTAACACAATGGCTCGTTCTGATCACCATAACCACTCAAACTAGCATTGGTACTTAGACTGGGACTTCTAGCTTCAAGAGTTTGCTGATTCAAAAAACTGGAGCTCTTAAATGGCATAAGAGACTGCTGGAGGTTGTGCTGGTCATACTGCAGCGGACAGTCATTCTGCTGATTGCAATATTCAACAGAGTGCTGCTGTTGCTGCTGCTGCTGGTAGTAACCAAGATAAGGTTGCTGGAAGGGTTGCGAACACCATTGGGGTTGTGACACTCCAGATTCCAAGGCACTCTCGATCATCTTCAAATCAAAAAGCTTATTCGCGTGGCCTCGGTTACGGAGGAGTCGTTCATCGTTACAGGTCTTCCAGAGGATGGCGTGTTGCTTAGCTTGTTCGTAACCATAATCCTTCACAGTAAAATACCGGAATTTACGCTTCCCTCCTTCGTAATAAGATGAAACCCAACGTGCTTGCGTCTTGTCGAAGCGGATACCTATGATACCCACGCCGGAACGCATAGCATGCTGACGTTCACGGTTGCAAAAGGATCGACCTGAAAGGCTGACACCCTTTTGCCTTGCCTCAATTGCCAAAGCACGAGCTTGCTCAAAACCATAAATGTTCACCGAAAAACTCTTACAGGCACGCTTTCCATCAGCAGTTGTCCAACGTGCAATCCAGCGGTTATCAGAAGGCTGAAACTTGACACCAGAGATCACGTTACCCTTGCTCCTGGTAAAGGAGTTGTTGATGTATGACGCTAGGTCAAGACCACTGAAGGGAGGTGAATAATTGTAGTTTGGGGAGTAGTTCTGTTGCAAATTGTTGCAGTCCAACTGACTCCCATGCTGGGGAGGGTTCTGGTTTTCATCACCACTGTCGCAAAGCGTTGTGCAAGACGAATTCGAATTCTGACTGTTAACACTCATACCATCCGTAAAGGGGGTCTTGCAACGACGATCGTCAGTGAGACGATCGGGATTGAGTCCCTCACTATCCAAATGTAAATCAACCAAATGACCATCCATCTTGCTCTATTTTCGAGCTTTCACAAAAATGATATACTAGGCTATTTGCCGACTTTGCAGCTTTTAACTTTGAGAATATCGTAGTCACGGATGCACTTTGTACAGTACCTCCGCTGAAATTGAGCAAATTTTATTGCCGCTTTCGTACAATCCAATTTCCAAGTTTCTGGAATAATTTCTAAACGCGCATTGGCGTTTCACAATTTTATATCTTTTGTATAAAATTCTTTGGTTAGAAGTCTAGATAAAGACTTCAGGATCCACGGTAACCGTAATTTGATATTTCCTCGAATAGGTTTCTTTGAACCAAATTTTCAATAAATACTTCCACTTGGAGATATCAAATATTTTGATACGTAATCACCGTTTAACACTTGCTTTGAGTGTATAAACCCGTTTTAGGGACTGCTTCGTTTTTACGAATATATGTATATCCCTTTTTCAGGATAACAAAAACCACTTCAATAAATTTCTTGAAAGAGGTTTTACTTCTTTGTAGCACTTTGGCCTTGGTATCCAACTATACAGACACTAATCCAATGATATCCTTCGTTCAAAAACGATCACGGAAATCATGCGAACCTTGTACGCCGTACGGATTGGAAATAATATTCTTCGCCGTTTACACCTTTGGGTAAAACGGCCCTAATAAGGCAATATACAAGCTTGACTTTGGCTTGCAATGACAGGATATGGGCACTTTGGCCGTATATGTTACGAGTATCCCTTCTTTGAGGGGTAACCGTACGATCTCGGAATGAGAATAAACCTGTAGATGTGTAAATACAGTTCACTACCATGGGTTTATAATCACATAATTACATTATTAATATGCAAAAATAAACACAAAGTCACCGGATAACAGGACCATCAGGCATACACAACCAACCGAATTCCAATATTGGATACACTACACATTCCAGAAATAACTCATTAAAAATATTTTTTCATCGATAACATACATATAAATGTGAAAATATTGTCAATTACGTAGGCATTAACAAGAACGAGATGTACATCGCAAACTCTCCAGCACCTCAATATACACACATAAATATCAAAACACGTGTGTGAATGAAAAGAATAAAATAAAAAAATTTTAACATACCTTTTTTGGTTTAAGAGAACTTGAAAATGTGTATCAATAATATGATACACATGCCCGTGTTCAACAAAGGGAAAAGCAGGTGTGAAAATATACACACAACTACTAGAACTGTAACAACTTTGGTTACGACGCTTGGAGCTTCAACTGTTTGCGCAATGTCTAATCTGCAACGTTTCAGATAACAATAGCAACAACTAATATGTCCTCTGTTATAGTTACCATGCTTCCCAGATTGTGTAGTTTACCAGACTCATAGATGTCCCTTGTCTCATAGTGGAATGCATCTAAAGCACTGTGAGGCTCATTGCGGGGATGGTGGATGAATAGTATGAACAGACTCATCGTGGAACTGGATACCGCAATGAGTCACATTACTCTGATTTAGAATACTAGACACGGCACTTTACAGTTAAACCACGAGCCAGAATGGTTCATGGCGCATGACAATGAGGAAATAAGAGAGATTTGATGCACATGTTATTTTTTCGTGACACTTATGGCACACATCCAGTGCCATGAACACACACACATGAATTGACGACCCTGCCTTTTACATCACTTCGCCTCAAATTGATGCGAGTAATACATATAAATCAACCATAGAACTCGGGATCAATTGTAATTGTGGCCACAGCAGCACCAAAAGGAGACGAGTTACCCCGCAACACGGTGGGCAGCCTCCCGTTGAAAAAGATCAAACAAATACATTTAGATGTATATCTCAAAATGGTGCCCACCAGTATCCCTAACCTTTAACTTTCTTTACACCAAGTGAATAACAATGTTTATTCAACAGATTCATTTTTTTATTTGGACTGCGATATGCTTTTCTCCAGTGGACCATTTATCCGCAGCAACGCAGGGTTACACTTCCATAAAAATAACAGCAACTTCTCCAAACGTATATCATATCCTACAGCCGTATGATCAACTGGTGACTTGCCCATAAGGTAACGAAGCAACATCTCACCCTTGCCTGATAATTCCAAATTTAGCATATTCGTAAGCTGAGCTAACTCCTTTTTATCCAAAGTATCCACGTAACTATGGACGAACTTGTAAAGTATTGATCTTAATTCCAAGTGTTGTATATTCATACACCGGTACAGTAATGTAGCATTCTCTACCCTTCGTGGTGAAATTGATAAACCGCACATTTGCTTCACCAATGAGGTTTCTCTGCCGATGAATGGCAGATAATGATGCTGAAATGGTCTTGAGCATCTTGTATTCATGTCAAATGTAGGCTTGGGTAGCGTACGCTGATACCTATAACGACCTCCAGCTTGCAGCATCCGTTCCTTAAAATTAACTTCAGAATCCATCTCGTTGAACATCTTATGTAGCTCTTTTAATGAAATGAGGTACCTATGAAGAGTTCTCCTTCGTCTACGCCTACCAAGGAGCTTAAAAAAACTTTCAACATCGAATTTAGATACACGGGAGCATAGCTCTCCAGAGGGTGCAATGGCGCCCAAATGGCATACAGAACGTGAACACACCGCCATTATTAAGAATTTATAATATAGTTTGACAATATTCTACATTTAATGTCGCTGAATCCACAGGAATCCGGCACCCGGACGTCATAGAAATTGCCCACTACAGCAGCTGCTATTGGTGCGACACACACTCTATCAATAGACATTATTATAAGGCACTACATATGTGTGTGCGGATATGCCATCCTTCTATGACTTACAATAGAAACTATTAAGAAACTACAATGGTCTTACTTCTCCTCAGAGACAGACAATCCATATGCAACATCGGCTGACCATATAGAGGTACATATAAATGTTAAAAATATGGTTTCATACGATGACGTTGCGCATTAAAGATGCTCTCCCCCTTATATGCGCAACAGAAGTCACGGATGTTCGAGGGATCCTGGCGGACACGCCTAGATGGATTCCAAGCTATGAATAGCCCCTTTTTGAAAATCAACGACCGAATTGTTGATATAATCTTTAATAATATTTTAAATGCTTATCGTTTGAAGAAGTAGTATTACATATACCCACGCTGGGTTAACTTTTTGGCGCATACAAATATACAAAGGCAACTTCATGAGCTCGTAGATCGCATCCACAAAACAAAATTATATATAATGCAACTTTGGCTCAACTGGATACACATGCATCCCATATATATCTAGGGTCCAGGCGTATTTCGACAGTCCGGTGCAAACACTTGTACTATTGCGCACATTTACCATCCTTCGAACTTTCAAAAAACTGGAAAGTAACCACGTGTTTGAAAGTGATTAAAACTATGGTGCCGTAAAATTTATTCATAAATGTGTGACGCACTTGTGCTCTTTTCCATGTACACATGTGGTCCGGACATTAGACTCATCGGTACACTGCAATTAGGTTGGAAGACACAGTTATAATATCGGTGTATAATACTTTGTAAGACCATAATTCTATTCAGCATGAAATTTTATCGATATAGAATGGTTACAGGTCTTGAAACCATTTTAGGCTAGGCGTAGTCTTGCGTGGACCAATAAATTTGGACCTAACACAGAACTGTATAACATATACAATCTAAATTGTTATAGTAATGCTAGACATAAAAGTAGTTGCACAATTTGGAAATTAAATTTAGGCTCATAGGACGCACGCCTACGTGATAATAGAGGGGGGCACGGCAATATTACACATGGGTAATATCATGATGTCAAACGATCAAAATATATCTTAATGTATGTAATTTATGATAATCTGACCCACGAGTTCATCTCCTTCCGAGAGGCGCAACGGGCGAGATCACCTCCAAGGAAACAACGCGTAAAAAGAGCTATCAAGTATCAATGTGAGTCGTAAATGCACAATAATAACTGCTTGTATACGGCGGAGACATCCATTGTGTGATATATGTGACCAAATACATATGGATAAGATATATTGGAAACTGAGCTTAATGGGCTAACCGAAATATCGTATGTACACTTAGATATATATCTACGATATGCGACTAAGGGTATTCAAAGCGAAGGTGGCATGTGATAGCATCAGTATAAAATCGATTGCCTGTCTTTTGTTACGATGACGCTAATTTAGTCCATACATTAGCATCAATAACATTTGGTGGAACAGCTACACCAAAGCCCTATTCTATGTGAAATAACGTGCTTTATATATATCATCATCCATAACAAAACAGATTACGAAGATTTGAGGAAACTACTGGGTATAGTTACAATAGACGAGCATGCTACCGAATGCGCCGACTGCAATGTAACCTTCACCAGGACGTCATTATTCCCCAAAGCGCTTTATAGCTTTGCATGGTACGTAGCAAATGTATAGACCGTTATTCACCCTATAGTCAATTATGCAACAAGACATGTTGTAGCGATTGCAAACGCAATCTGCAAATTATGCACGAGACAACCAAAGAACCAATTCTAGGAGCTATAACATGTAAATCGTGTAATGATTATGTCAGGGTAAGATTAAATGTTGGCGGAGCACACCCGAAAATATCACTCAGAATTTGCGCTCTTCGGTTGCTCAGGAACCGGCAGACGGAGACTTTACTTCACTCACAGAAGCCTTTCAAAAAATACTAAAAATATATGAACATATAAACAACAATCTTTTGCAACTACAGGGATATATCAGACTATGCGCCATACACCAGCAATTGGGTGTAAGTGATATTACAACCAGTATTGCATCGACTAATGCCCCGACCAATGACATATATTGGATACTTGCACAGGAACCTTTGCCAGGGGGGACCACAACGAAGATTAATTGTCTCTTGGAAGACGTTATAACGCAAAGGAAGCTAATAGCCGAGGTAAAGAACACGGCCCTAGATCATAGCCTCGAGGTAAGTACATATAAGTAACGTTCGTACAAATGTGGCGTCGCCTTCCAATAAATATATCATTACACGAACAAAATGCATGTACTTGGTGGTACCTTAATACAGAATTGATAGTGAAACTGTACATCTACATAAAAGTGTTCATTCGTACGCAGCATCTACACCAAGGGCACATATGTATTGGTATAAAGAGGTCATTAATCGCTCTTTCTAAGGGTATATTATATCAAAGTATACCTAAAATTAACGAGGTTATTTACAATCTCACGAGTCTTGGACAGTACAAATCCTCATAATGCGATAGATATCAATATGACAGCATCCTGTCAATGCGATACATTAGTAGTCACGCCAAACGATCAAGCATACACTTCCTTCTCCTCGTTGCCCATAGCATCGACGAGCCTCTGCTCAAGTGCGTCTTCATAGGCCCTGTAACGATTCTTTATAAGCCGAGGAATCCACGCTATAATGATCAACACAAGAACGAAGATTATGATCGTTGGGATCCATCTCAAATAAGCCCTTAAAGGGGAACTGTCGCCTTGTGGTGTGTAGCGAAGTACTTTGTCGTAAAAGGCTGTGCTGCATACACCTCCGGGGCAATTCACCACCAATCCACTTCCCTGGCTTTTCTCGGGAAATAAGTTGGTAGTTGGAGGAATAGGAGTTATTATGCTGCCAGGAGGCGTAATATAGGCCATCTTGTCGCTTGATTAGGTCACTTTCACTTCAACATTTTAGACAGCGCGTGGTGTGTAAGGGATATAAACGGAACAAAAATCCTCTCCATACAAAAGAAATACAGTTACGGTTGCTTAATAATGTAAATGTGTATGCTTAGTTCGGAAATTCGCCACGGAATAATGGCTTGCTCAGCACCTCGCTGCAGAACCTGTCTAATCATATGATCGTTACTTCTTTCGAACTATGTTATGACGTTAAACGAATCAAAGGGATTCTCTATAGTACATTTCTCGAACTGTATCTCCTGTACTATATCTGAGTTACCCTGAGCGGGAGGGTTTTGCTGCTTCGCTCTCGGAGATTGCCGTTTTCAGACAGAGTCGCCAAGGTGTTACAATCGCCAACGAAGTGACCAAAGAGGCATATACAACGTCGCCAAATGCAATTATAAGGAACGTCAAAAACATATCTGCCGTGGTAAATGCGCGTTTGCTGATTATTAGGATGTAGCGGTATACCGTATCAAACGTTATAGTATGTCTAGACTCATTATAAATGGCGATGTGTTGGAAGATCAGTTACCCATGTTTGGAAATGGGTATTCGCCATTACACTACGAAGCGGATGCGATCATTTGCTACTGGAAGCTTCCTCCAATCAAGGCTCAGAACGATCAGGGAACGAGCTATATCGCAACAAATCGATACTATCAATGCCATAGATCCCGATGATCTTTATGGCAAAATGGCTTCATCCACCAGCATGCAAGACACATGTCGGAAGCCATTCGAACCTCCGTCTAGAAGCGACATACATGAAGAGGCGATGAAAGATGGACAAAGCCTAATAGATGTCGCTACAGATTACTTAGGCACACTAGAGACCATGGAAATACCTGCATATGGTACTATTTCGGCAGAACATAATGATATTCTGGAGATGACAGCCGACGCCATTTTGGTGCCTGTACCACCGAATCTCACACCTTATGGAGGATTAGGTTTGTGAATATACGTAGTCGCCCTGTGAAACTAATCTATAGGTCTAAACGTCCTTGAAAGGGGGGGCAAAAAACTTATCACGGCGCTTGTGAAACGAGCCAAAGTCGTCATCGCAGAACGTCTCAAGGCTCTAGAAGCTATGCAAAGTCACTTCAATTCATCGGAAGAATATAAAGATGCTGTAAAACATGCTAAGTCGCTGGAAATAGGTTGGGCTCACTCTATTACTATTATATCACAGCATCAGGCGATGTTATTCTCACGCCCACCTTTGGTGCAACAAAGACCACAGTCATTGGGTTTGTCGTGGCGCCCTTCTTCTTAGGTAGGTAACGTCTTTAAAATATCTGATCTGACCTAGAGATTAATTCAAGGGAAGCAGCACTCAAAATTAGACATATGTTCAAGTCCTCACTAGAATATTTGAATCGTATGTCTATCAGAACAGTCTTGTGCCCTTATCTGGCCGATTCGGTGAATGGCTATGAACCGAAGAAGGCTATTCATGCCATGATAGAGGAGGCATATGACGTGTTGACAGAACTGGATTCAATCAAACCGTTATATGCTATCCAAAATGTGCGTTTGGTACACAAAAGGCTCTCTGAGGCGCGCAAAATTGCAAGTGCCATTGTCGATGTTGCACATGAAAGGCGACCCGAGTTGCAGGTATGCTTTTTAACTCTGTAGAATTAACAAACGAATAGGTACAACCAGCCTCCGTCTACTACAGTCGTGCGTCACAACGTCTGATAGAATTCGACGAATCGGTGCTAAAATTTTGCAGCCAGCAGCGAAAGATTACGTACAAACGACATAGTGTGGTACGTAAGAGCAATAGGATGCATTGGTTACGCAACGTCAAGCCATACGTATGGAGAACCGGTCGTTTGTATTCTCCACCGCCTTTACTGGTCTACAAGGCCACTGGATTGCCAACCCTCAAACAGTTGCCACCAAGACCATATTACAAAGACAGACTTTCGCATGTACTCTTCCCGCTAATGCGCAAACCCATAAAGGGTTTGAGGACAAGTGGAAGCGGTCATCTGCTTGGAAAAACCAAACCAGACCCTATCTATATGCAACGCAAGGAACTTTGAGCGCACACAAAATGTTGTGCATATTTATCATTTTGATTAAAGTGTGATTTTACCGTCCGCTTTGGGAAAACGGAAAAGAGACTCAAAGCGAGAGCAGCTCATGTTAATATCTCTTGTTTAATTTTGCGTTCATTTTTCTACGGCGTAAAATAAAGTTGTGCTGCGGTTTTGCGGCGTGATGATTTACTTTACAGTGTAGCGAACTATGTGCGATAGCGGCCAGCTACTTTTCCGCATCAGGCCACTGGTTCTTGAATTTCTTCTCGATGGATCGCACAAATTTGATACGCCTCCTACCGAATTTCCGGCTAAGACGCGATAACCAAGTAGGTGATAAGGTAAAAATCACTGCCAGTTGCAATAAATCCCGGAGCCGACTTTTGCGAATGTCTGCACCACCCAAAGACACCAACATGACAGTATGATCAACCAGTTTGTGAGCCAATCTGCCAATGTATTTGACGTTAATGAACCCTCCAAAATGAGTGCATAACGCGGAGATGGCACTGACGAGCTTCATTGTGCAGATACGCATAACAACATACGAATTTTGCATTACACAAAGCGGAGTATTCAATTCCGTGCTCGTGAATAATCCGTGCCTCAAACGGTTAGAAATGTAACCTAATAGTCGTTGCTCAATAAAAGAAAACATGAACGTCGCGAAACGGTTCCGCGATAGATTTAACGAATCCCGTACATCGCAAGTAAGATTCTTCCACGGAGTTAAAGTAGCATTTAGACAGCCTCGTACGAAGTCGAAGTCAAACGTGCAGTTTATCCATGATAATAAAGCATTTCCATCGCTAGGAATCTGATTGGCTGCGGGTACGGAAGATTTGCAGTCATCATCAAGTTTATTTGGAATACATAATCGTGAAGTCCAAACGCCAGAGTCTGATTTGCCAAAGTTGCTAGTCACACCAGTAGTGTTCCTTGATAAGGGAATATTTAGCCGCATCGTAAACAACTTATCGTTAATTGCCAAGCCGAAAGCCGATGTGTCTCTAAGAATGCGCATCATCTCTCTATTGTCATCCTCACTTTTAGAAATAAAAATAAAATCATCAATCCAACGTAACAATAGGTTGCCATTAGAAGAATCGGTTAGACGACGCACATTTACGTTAAAATCGCCCTGAGCCAAGTAGAGGCTGCATAACAGAGGAGAGATACAACAACCCTGAGGAATGCCAATATCGTTGCGAATAACCTGATTAGGGCTCGATTTTGGAAGAGAAGTCCCAACATGTGATAGTAACACCTTTACCGCCCTGATAACATCGGCTCCTGATGCCTTATGCAACACATTATTGTTCGCGTAACGTGAGCATATGCATACCTGACCAAAACTGCGCGTCATCAACGATGACTTCTGAAGTGAGAAAACAGACGACGAATCGTTCGACAATAACGTTAGGCACCTGCTGTAGGAGTTAGATGACGATGCCACACGAATCAACTCTCGCCGGTGAATCTTATGGAAGAGCAGAAGACCGCGCATATCGATTCCACTCAGAGCTTTAAGCAAGTAAGCATGATTTATTCGCTCATAACACCGCGATAAATCGGCCAACGTCACATATAGCGTCAGGCAATCTCCTTTTGTGTTGCACGTACGTATTACGTGCTTGAAACGGACCCACCATCGTTTTATCGAACGGAACGCACTTGGATATCCCAATATCCCATTACCTAATAAACGTGGATTCATACGTATCTGGGCTCTAAGAGCTTGAAATGGTATGCGCATCACATCATTCAGAGAAGTGTATACACCATTGGAGGATCTCTTAAAGTTTCCATAATTGCAATTTAGGATAGGTCTCATGCCAGAATGTTTTGGTATCCAACGTACTCTGAGAATACCAGATTGAGTCTTTAAATGGCAGTGAGAAATATCCTTAACGGGGGTAGATGTTGTAACGTTTGGGTAGTTTGTGCCCCGACCTTTAGCATCTATGTGGTTGAAGGAATGCACATCTGAAATGTACGCGTCATTTGCTTTCATCACCATCCTGTGCCATTTGGCCTTGCTGAAGTAAAGCAGACGGTACATCGCATAATTGGCCTCCGTTACATAGAAGTGGCGTTGAAGAAGAGGAATCACCATGTGCTCCAACAGGAAAAACGCAAGACGACTAATGTAAGTCAAAATGGTATGCGTTTGTCCATTTGCCAGTCTACCGTTATTCCCAGGATTCCACGGGCATTTTACGGCCTTAAAGCCATGCATGACCTGGGACATGTCCAGTTTCTCGCCTTTATTCAAAACTATTAGAGTCCTGCAAATGTCCTTAAAACGCAAATAATTGGAACTGCAGCCCAGAAGGTCTTGTGGCACAACACCATCAACTATGTTGTGGATAAATTGAACAATCAGCTCGGGGTCAATGCTGATCTCATGTTCCGCATTATAAACTGATATACGTCCAAAACGCGACCAATACTCTCGGCATATGTCATATTGCGCTACATTTTGTAAAAATATCTTGAAATAACGAAAAATACCACCTAACATTAGACTTTTTCGTCTAACCTTCTTGCCAGTAGTTTTACCGAAATCTTCAATAAATGACTTAACGGCCTTCTGCCGTTCTCGGAATCGCCGATCAACAAAACCGTGGTCGAATAAAACGAACATAAGCACTTTCCAGATGCGCGCATCATCACTAGGCTTACCATTCGTCGGTTTGTTACCAAGTGTATAAGATGGAATGACGTTGGAAGACACCATTATGCCCGGTGTTCTAGAAAGAATACTTTCCAAAGCGCCATATGCACGTGTTTTCGCGTCATTTGCACAGTTTTGTGCAGTGCTGTGGATATCTTTGCCGGGGGCAGAGCCGTTGCACGACGATATAATTGCGCCCAAGAGGTCTGATGGCCTAAAACCGAATTTCCGGCTAAATGTGTCCCTATATAGAATGGAGTGTCTTGAAAGTGTAATATCCGACCAGGATCTGCGAGTTTTGGTGTTCCAGAAATTTTTATTGTACATAATTGTACCGGTGCATTGGATAAATACAAATGGCCTTAACCTGTGCCCACCGATGCGTGACTGCGGAGCATCCATACGACCAATGAGCGACTTCATGAAGTTGAAAAGTACTTTTGACTCTTCTGCGCCCATTGGTTCTTGCAACATCCATGCGTACTCAGCATTTCCACACATTTTGAATATGCAAGATGGCACAAACATCCGATGACTGCGCAAAATGTCGATCATGACATCTGTGCCAACGAACTGACATATGTTTAAGAAAAGTGGCGATTGCAAGAAAAGCTCTGGGTTACGCACAGATATGGAAAGAGGAGCCCCTCTTGTGTTGAAATTTGGTTTGTAGTTGCCCAGTAAAGAGGGCTTTAAATGTCTTGACAATTCTTTTATCTGTTGAGCGGTTGAATTGTCACCCTTAAATCTTTCTGAAACATCAGGTCTGTGAGTCAGTGTTCCAGATTTCTCCCGTTGGATCAATATGCATCGTGTAACGGCCACCGCCATAAGGTAACGTTCGTTGACATGGTCGCCCTCGGAAAAGGGCTCAAGACCGCTTGCACTCGACAACTGTTGCACAGTAGCACCGCTAGTTTCAGATATCTGGTCACAAGCCATTACCACCTGGTGGTGGCAGTGGAGCAATCGCTGGCACCCACGTTGTATTCGGCGGACGTTGTCCATGTCTGTCCAATAGATTCAGAACCCTTTCACGTAGCCTTAAATCTAATCTATCTTCCGTAGTGAGTGTTCTGAGGGAATTATATAAATCGAGAAGCAATTTGTAGGCGCTAGATCCATCGTCAACGCTGGAACCTAGTGATTCTAGCCACGATAACAAACACTCCCACGTCTTGCAAAACACACGCACATCAGATAATAGTCGTTCCGAGACCCTTTTAAGCACCGAGATGACTCGTGTTTGGATGCAGTCATCGCATTCAGGGAAATGATTCCTGAATAGCCGCAGACAGAGGGTCAAGGAACTGTCAGTGTCGCAACCGGACGAAACACGCCCAAAAAGCGTTATACGTGTATCTTCCGTGAGTATGTTAATTAAAAAATCTAATATTCTCATAAAATTTTCAACTTTAGATGTGTCAGAACAACATCCAAGCAACGCGACCACGAACTCATCGGAAAGTGATATCGAATGTTCAATTTCGGCACACGACCTTTTCAACATGTCAATAGCCGTTTCCAATAGCAACAATATGCTCGTGTGTGCGTCTACATGTCCATCTCGGGTGTTCAAGGCGAGCACATGTGCAACCTTGATATGCATAGATACAAGACAGGGTAAGGAATACACTCGAGGCATCACACTCTGATCGTCAGTGAGCAGCCTGAAACAACATAACGCCTCATCCAACGATGTGCTGTCGAGAGTACACGGCGTTGTCTTATCGCTATAAATGCAGATGCACGAAATCCACGAAAACATATCACTCTTCCAGCAACACAGAAGATTAGCAACTTCGATTCCAGGGTCATGCTCTTGGAACAGTGCCTTTTTGTTAACTATGAGCGTGTGCATTCGCAGTGATAGTGATATTAGACTCATTTTGGAAACATTGTGAGCATCTTGGACATCCAAAATCCACATATCACGCAAAAAACGAAGAAGGGGAGTAACGTATGTGATACGTTCCAATATTTGCGATAACATTCCTATCGTTGTGGTAATGCGCGGCGCCCGGTCGCTAGACTTCTTTATGATCTCCCCCAACAGCACAAGTAACTTGTCTGTCTCCGACGGGCGGTGACTCAGAGACTCAACAACAGCCGCAAATGCTACTGGAGTTTCAACCTTACCACACGCAATTTTCAGAATGTCCACGAAATCATCGAAAGAATAGTTATTAATCTCGATCTGTTCATCAGCACGTAAATCAGGGTAATGGGCGGGCCCATATAACGCTCCACGTCCCAACCCTGATGCCACGACGTTCAGACTCTCATCATCAAATATACGACTTAACTTGCCAATCCTGCCACTTGCCAAAAATCGTGCGTTTTCGCAAACAAAAGTTGCAACGTCCTTACTATGGGTTACGTTGCTACGCAGGGTAGCCGCAAAATTCTCCCATCGGGATGAGCTATCTTCTGCCAACCATTCCACGATTTGGGGGATGTCATTGGCTTTTATGAGGTCAATACATTGTGTCATTGTAAAGTATTATTAAATTACATCACTACTTGTGTCACCTGGTCTAGGTTGTCCGATATTGCAATTAAACATTAAGATAATAATAGCCATATATTCAGTTGGGTACGTATACATCCAGTCCATCACAATTGGCACATGCATTGCATAAGGCCAATATCTTAGCGCATATCATAAGTTGACGTTGACGGCCCAGATCACTTAATTTAGTCCACGAAGACGTCATTTCTGCCATGATACCAACGTAGGCACATCTTTTTTCGCAAATTTCGTTATGATATTGAACTAAATCAGACTTATCATTTATATTAGCATCGTAAGGTACCCCTAGAGGTGAAAATATCAAATCGATGGAAGTGGCAAACAAGTCCTCGTAATGTTGATCATCTACTACTTTCAATGCGAGAAGCTCTTCCTCAGGCACGGATGGGTCGAAAAGACTGCCAAAATCAACCAAGGGCGTAAATACATCAAAAACGGAACACACGTGTTGTATCTTAAAATCATATGAATGCCGGAATTGTGGATGAAGCGAACCACAAGCCGTATTTACAAAACGACACAACTTTTCTACGGTTAGCTCCAACAAAGGTGGAATGTTTCCTGAAACCCGCTGCAAATATTGCGAGAACCGCACTTTGAAGGTGCCTTCTCCCAGGGGGGAAGATGGAAGGACGACCGTAGTTGTGGCGTTCTTACGTCTAATGTATTTCGTATACACACACTCCGCATACACCAAGTAAGCAGGACAGTGACCACTGATTTTTGAGAGCAAACAGGTATCCGGTATGCCAGAAAACGAATGAGAAACGTGGCGCTCTGGTACAGATTGTGCAACCTCGTAGAATACCCTATTGCTTAACACACCCAGTGGAACATCAGCTAACTCATTTATATCACAACCATTACGTTCCGAAATAGCATACACAAATTTTGGATAATCAATTGTCAGCGAATTTTTGCACGCGTTCTCCCTCCTAGATTTGGGTTCCAGGGGGAGGTAAGCAACCTCCTCAAACGAAATTGTAAGATTTTTCTCTGCAAGGTCCTTTCTCAGAATATTTATGGCAAGATGATCTTCGAATACAAGTGCGGATACGTCGGAAGGAGCCAAAGATGAATTAACCGGCATGGCCGCCGCAGGCCACGTACACATTAACAATAAACGAATAAAAGAGAACATGGTTGAATATGAAAGGTTGATAAATAGTACCTTTCTGCGTGTGATAACCATAGCCACGCCACGTTGTACGATTGGAATCATTGGCGCATCTCACCTATTTCGCACTTGCATCTAACATAAGTTTCTGTAGGCGCCGTACATTCCAGCCGGGAGTTCGTCCTTTAGGCTGATGGGCAGCGACCAACTTATTCGAGCTACCCTTACGAGTGTTGGTGCGCAGGATGCTTAAACGCCCATTTCCTAAATTGCATGACTCATTAATGAACGGCAGAACGTACCACGTAAGGGACTGTATTTCTCCATTTTAATGACCTTACATATGAAATCAGACAGAGCCGGGACATTCCATTCCTTGGTTACATCATCCTGAAATCTTCTCAGCGAACCCTCATTCAGCGGGAAAGGGCGATATCCTTGTTTGTGCCACACACTGTGGCGCAAATGTACCTCACCTACTTCAAGACCAGTAGTCTAATAATATATGTGCCGACAATAGAAACAATACACTTACGACATGCAAGTACGACTCTCGCAGAGGATCCAAAATTATCTTGTGCGATGCGATGTAAAACGGTGCCTCGTAAAGTTCATCGATCATAACACCTGCATATATTTGTGAAGTTTTTCCATTTGACGAAACAGCATAGTACGTGAAATTCACAAGCAAACACTAAAGCATCGGTTGTGGTAGCACAGTGCTATCGCAAGAGCACGGAACGATGTTTACAGAGCGATGCCCACTATCATCCCACCTTAGAACTTACACTTTACATATTGCAAACCTATAAGGTTCAATGCGTGATCAAGTGGAGCGGTGGATTGGTATCTCTGCCTCGACACCTTGGCATAATGTTGCGACTTGGTGTGTTGCAACACCCAAGATGCGCGATTTAACAGCTGAGTTCTTGTGTCGTCGACAAATATGCCGAAAACCTTAGCCACCATCAATACCTCGTACAATTCGTGTGAATATGTTTTGGGCTCGTATAACATCCTGATAATTTTTTTAGAAGAAGCAATACAATGCTGACACGTACCTCTCTAGTAGTATAGCCCAAATGCCTTTGTTCCTCTCCCCCGTTATGAGTAAAGCATAAGCCAAATAAACTAAAATGTTAGTTGGCGTGGAATAAACCAAATACGGTAAATCCACAGCATCCCATACACCAACATGGTTGTGCAGTCCTACAAGAGACATCGAGAGAACAACGTCCAATATCTGTTAATAGATGAGATCACAAATAAAACATCAAAATGCATGAAAACACTTGTATAGCACCCTATGATGTGAAAAGTGTAGGCTCAATGACAACGGCTGCAACAAACAAGAATGCAACACGGAACTCAATATGATTGGGCCGTATTATATGGCGATCGTACGTACCTCGTCGTATTTTGTAGCACCCTCACGCTTCAAATCTGAAAATCTCAGTTTTATAACATCGTTAAGACGCGACGGGAAACGGCCGTGCGTGCTATGATAGATTAAAATATTCGACATATCCTGCATAGACAACGTTGAACGTTTTTTTGACAAAGCCCACTCAAAAGTTCTTAGTTGTCTCGTACTGCGCGTACCGTCCTGAAGGAAGTTACAATATAGATCCACTAATACTTTTGTGGCGATCTCACCGTATCTTCGACCAACCGTATTGTGGAATTCCTGCGCCACTTCACTCTTTGAAGGCATACGCAAGTAAGCAGAAGCCAGGACGGTGGGACGCATTGAATTTGCACGACTTATCGAGTTATGGTACAAGGTCTTGGTAAGTTTAGGAAATTCCGACTCAAACATATTAGTTACGGCTAACAATCTATGCATACTCCTTTCTGTTATATTAGTCACTTCATCCACCAAACGTTCGGCGATAAGCCTTCTTGATGCAGAAACACTTTCCGGTAGTTGAACTGTGGAATTGGAAACCGTTAATAGAGTGAAAAGCTCCGCTGCCTCATTGGTGTCTAGTAACCCGGAGTGCGAAACCAATTGTTGCAAGAGCTGATGATTAGTTAAAATGCTCCACGTGGTAGACGGATATGAAAGTTGCATCTGTATAACGGGACGCATTAATTTTAGTATCTCAACGGCAGGCAAACATGCAAGGGAGTTGGACCGTTTTCCCACGCAGGCACCAATGCCGCTAAGCAAAAGACGTATCGATTCAGAATGGCAATCCATGTAACTCATCAACAAAAATCCTGTCTCGATGAGCTGTAGTATAATTAGCTATTTGCAATCTGAGAACCTACCTCATTTGTGGCCATAGAACCTACGCCCTTAAGGAGCTTTTTGGCGACCTCACCCAAATGGTTGGCACGGATAGAAAGATCCAGCAAACACATCTGGCGTAACATCGCAACCAATTCAGAAGGGGTTGATAACCCAATAATTTCCACAAGTCGATTATCTAATTCACGCTGGAGCTTCTTGATGTCTATTTCTTTCTTAATTCGACCACGAGCGGCGCGAATCGGGTGCAGTCGCCTGGTAAAAATAACCTCATCAGTACGACATTCCCTAGCATCACGAATGAAATCGCTGTATAATCCACGCTTGGACAACGAAGTGTTGATATGTCCATCGGGGAAGAAGGATACCTTTGGGTATCTAGGGGCAGATAATATAAATTCTTCGTCAGAACTGCTGATTCGTGACGAGACGGCATCTAAAGCATCAAAATCCAATGTGATATGGTTTGATAAGGTGGCCAGTGTATGACGAATTCCAAGGCACTGTTGTTCGCCTTTTGCTGAAGTGTCGGTGAAACGTAATCGTGTCAATTCTTTTTCTTTTATATAATCTCGTATACGACATCCAGAAATAGTTGTTTCAAAGCTGCTTGGCGACGTAAAGCACCTCCATTGGTGATATCTTTTCATACAGAAGATTTGCGGCAATCGGAAACACTCGCCAATGCCGCAAAGGAGGTAGCGGTCAACACCCAGCGATCCAGGACGACCTAATGCCATTTTATGCGATAAAAACTTTTTATTAATATACGTCCGCCGGATGTGTGGCTATAGACAACAGTATGAGGCAACGTATCCTGGAGTCCTACAGGAGCAGTGCTAAAAATCACAGCAACTTCGTATGGAACAACAACCCTGCTTCAGGCTAAATCTAAGAATATAAACTAAAAATTTGGACGCGGTTTGTGGGTTTAAGACCTACAATAATAGCGCCAAAGGGTATAGAAGTGACGAACGCTCGCGCCACTTTCCTGCTTTATATTTGGTGTATGCGAGGAATTAAGGATCATTTTCATTCCATCATCTCAATAGTTTATTGATAAGTGTAATACAAGAACGATATGGTGGTAAGTAGTGGTTGGAATCATGATATTTATATCACGTGTTGCGTGCGATGAGTCAAACAAATAATGATGCGCTATGTCTCGTGGCTATGTGTGTATCCAATGGCAACCATCTGTTTGACAAGCGTGTTGCTCCGTGAAAAGTGGACAATATGTACACGTGGCGTTTTTATAAGCTGCGTTTCGTTGCATTTACCTATCCGTGCCGGGAAACGGTGGGCTCAGTAACAATGCTATGACCTCATCACTTCTATTCAGCTGCCTTTAGCCATACTGAGGGCGGGAAAGAGTCAACCCGCGGTAAGTCCGGTTACCACGTAAAATGCAAACGAGATGCTTGACTTGATGATGCCGCAGCTCATTGAACTCAAGAGCGGGGAGACGTACAGCGGAATATTGTCATCCTGTGATGTATTTATGAATGTGCACATGGTTAATGCCATATGCACGTCAAAGGTAGTGGATAGTTAGTAACCAATCCAATCTTGCAACAGAAAGGCGATGAATTCTGGAAACTTAGTGAATGCTTCATTCGCGGGAACAATGTCAAATCATTCCGATTACCAGAAGAAGTTGCCACGGTGGCACTAGAAGAATCGAAAGCCGCGGGTTTGTTTGTGGAACTTCCTAAAGCCATACGTCTGCAGCGAAACCTTCCACTTACAACTCAAGAGGAAGGGGTAGGTTCTACCATCACCCATCAGTAACGTCAAATAGATCGAGGATCAAATAGAGGCAGGAGAGGAAATACTTACCGCGGCCACTTCAAACGGTAATCGCATGGCCCGGGGGAGGTATGCGTCCTACGCAGCTCGGCGGCCCAAAGGTGTGTGCATATGGCCAGATACGAATCCAGTAGAATGGGAAACGCGTACCTATCTCTTTATGGTGGTATATAACATGTGTATGTGTATTTGCGTTGTGCAGCCGACTGTGAGGCACCGATCACATCGGATTGCGGCTCGAGGAATAAATGGAGTTTAACCGACGGTAGCATTTTGTTAATAAATTTTTAATATTTGGGAAATGACCGTACTGACACCTATGGAAAGGGCCCAGCCCCAAAACATTCGACCGATGGTTGAGGAAGCCGAAGGCAGTACGCCAAGAAAAGTGCAAATAACAGGAAACAGAGTGCATCGAGTACGCAGGCAGAATTTGTACAAAGAAGATCGACTATCAGACGCATCAGAACGAGAAGTGCAGTCCGGCGCATCCAAAGGATCTGACGCGTCGCCTTCCGGTGCAGTCCATGAAGAGGCAGATGTCACCCGGGTTGCAAATACCCTCACCGATGAAGCAACGTCAAAAATTGATGCAGGAATTGTAAACATGGAAGGAAATAACGGAATGTCGCAGATAGAACAAGAAAAATCTACTCTACCATATGATGAAGGGCAACAGCATATGCATTCTGACGAAGCCGCCGTGCGTTCTGACGAAGAACGAATTGCAGCATTCCGAATTTTTGTTTCAAAATTGTCATACGAAGCTACGCGTGAAGATTTAGAAGAATATTTTAGTCAGGTGTGTTAACTTAAGGGATTGATGTGTAACATAAATGTAACAGTTTGGTAACATCACCGATGTTCACATACCACGCCAACCTGGAAACCCCGCTCTCAACAAGGGTTATGGTTTTGTTTCTTTTGAAGATGAAAGTACGCTAATGCGAGTGAGTATTACTATCATTTTTGCTAAAAACGCATAGGTCCTCGACACGCGCTCGCATGTGGTACTCGGCAGGGAGGTTATGTTAGATCGAGCTACTGGGCAAAAATACCATACCAGTACGTCTGATTTCTCTATATGTCAAAAGTTGATCAGGCTCAAAAGTATCGGAGGACGGGAACGCACGTAACAGGGATAAGTACCCGCGATACAAGCGTCAGTACGACGGAAATGAATCGAGGTTGGACAGGTATTACAGGAGAGAAAGGGATGACCGTTACAGGTGCGATTACTATCCAGTAGATCGACGCACTTACGCCAATCCTGTCAGTTATGTTCGATCATACTCTGGATTCGACCCACATAAACCTGTTAGCTACGTGTTTACCGGGGCCTCAAAACCGGACCATTACGGTAGGTTCTACACTTATATGTCATTACTGTGCGTTCAGGAGCCATGGAGTATGACAACCGTTACGCTCCTAGGACTGTGATACCGGTTAAGACGAGAACTCGCACCGTACCCAAACTGTTCATCGGAAGATTAGATCCGGACACCACGGTAACTACATTGAGGAATTACTTCTTGCGGTTCGGCGAAATTGCCGACGCATACATACCGCGTGACTCTTACACTCAGAAGAGCAAGGGCTTTGGTTTCCTCACCTTCGTGCATAAAGATGCCTTACACGCTGTAATGCAACCGCACGCTAGACATTATGTTGATGGGAGAGAAGTTGTGGTGGATTATGCCGATATGGCCACCCGCCGAAATTAACTGTGCAATAACTAATGCAAACGACGAATAACGTATTTGACCCATGCATTACCATGTACACATTATTTTAGCTATTCTGGTTGCCGCGCTGGCGCATTCTCATGTGTTATTCTCCGCGCGTTCCAAAAATCGGACAGCGCGACGCTTTACGCTAATACCAGACCGCTATACAGAACACCGTAAACCCTCTCCAGCTTATGTAGCCTCTAACCCAAAAGAATTATTAAACATTCGTCGATCTGACAAAAGGTTTGCAGGAAAAGAACAGATTCCAAGCGATTTTACACTCACACCTCGTGATAGGGTATGCCGTAACCTTCCATGGGTCTAACGATGCGTCGCAGGTAGTAATTGCCAAGGACCCCTCGGAACCCAGGCCGTACCTCTGGAATGTGAACTGGCCTGAAACGGAGCGCAAGGTGCGTTGCCGTAAAATAATGATAAAATTTGCGCAGATTGAGTTGCGGGCCATAAAGTATCACGTAGGTCAAATATGGTCACCTGACGGGCATGTGGAAACGGTTACCGCACTGCAAGTCTTACCGTGCGTAATTTGTGAATTTATGGATTTTGGATATGCTCTTGTGGCATATGGTAAGTTCCTTTGTGAAGCATTAAGTACAATACAATTATGGCTTCTGCGCTTTATTCATTTATGTTGTATTACACTTGGTACGGCTGGTAGATAGCAGAATTTTGAGCTGATAATGTTCGTGCGTCGTGTAATTTGACTGCTTCGGCTGATGTGAATGTACAGGGAGACCTACCTGGGAACGACGATGGAACCGCCGTAGCGAACTTGGCAAACTCTTGAAGAACTCTGCGAATTTTGCGTGTATGAAGCCTGTGAAATTGCAGCCACCTCAAGATTATGCATTAGGACAAATATTGGACGTATCCGCCTTCGCCGGTTGTACCCATGTGAAAGTTACTGGAGTAACCAAGGGCAAAGGTTTTGCCGGTGTTATAAAGCGATATGGATTTGCCAGGTGGGTGTTTGGTAACACGTAATGATGGGTGCTATTTGGTGAAGGTAATTTGTTGCATGGTTTTTCGTCCCTTAAGCTGGTAGTGATTTCCATCGAGAATGTCTTTTGGGTGCATATGCGTTAACTGTGAATGTGCCACAGCAGTACAAGCTTAATATCGAATCTGGTGTTCAATATTGGTACAGGGGGCCCATGAGCCATGGATCCAAACATCACAGGAAACCCGGGTCTATCGGAGCGTCAACAACGCCGGGACGTGTTAAACCGGGCAAAAGAATGCCAGGGCGCATGGGTGGGAAGCGTTGCACTTTTAGAAAACTTAGAGTTCTTGGAATCAATCCGGAAACGTCTTTGATGTACGTCAAAGCCCTTGTGGCGGGCGCCAGGGGGAGCTACGTATCAGTCATGTCTGATATGCAAACACCAAGGCCAGATAACATTCTTAAATGAGTTAATAGTGTTCTACTGGTGCATTTGGTAGTGATATCATATTATGAGTGACAGACATATTCAAGTATCTAGCTCAGAGACGAAGCTCCATATTACATTTATTGTCTAACGCAGCCGTGCTATGCCAATTGGACAGTTCAGATAAAATGCGGTAGATTATAACGAAGTGTACAGGCCTGCTCCCGTTAGATGTTTCTAAACAGTGCTACCTTCCGATAGACATTTCACCGATCGATGGATTGTGGAGGCCCAGCCTAAGGCCGTTGATACGCTTGAAATATTTAATTTGTATTTCTATCACCTAGTTTGAGTAGAGTCAAAGTCTAAGATATTCTATGGCTATAGGTATCGACTATTGCTCTACGAAACGTGAAGTTATGACATCCCTAACTGTATATGTCACTGCGACGCAATTACATGTATAATGTGTGATCGTGGCTGGACTGCCACGGTGGTCGGAGCCATGTTGCCATCGTAAAAGCATACTCAAGACCTCAAGAGACATTATTTTGCATCTAGGAGTCGTTTGGTGCCGGTTCCGAAGAATTTTCGGGTTTGAGTTCTCCAACGAGTAGCGATTTAAGCAAAAATTCGCAATTAACCCAAGGATGAACTTCTAAGAATTCGGATGTTACATTCTTACCGGCATAGTCCAACAAGTGCTGTCTCCCTGCAATACGGTTTGGAAGATGTTAATATACCAACCTACCTCCTGGGTGAATATCCAAATAACGGGTAACATCATATACTTTGCCTTTGTATATAATCCAGCAATCACTCTCAGAAGCATGCTTAGCCACCTATCGACGTGAGTCACAGCGCATAAGTTTGAATGTAAGGGAATTTAACGTAATGTTATAAGGGATATTTTCCTAGTGGAATTGGGTACGAGGAAACCCATTAAAGCCCATACATGCCTTAACGTACCTCGGTGACGTCGATCGGTCCCTCTGCCCGCTCTACAAAGGGGTCTTTGTTCGACTCCATCAATTCAGCGAATCTAAATTGTGCCGCACCTGGGCAGATTTTTAACCAGTGTGCAATCTGAGGAGGAACAAAAGAAACATAAACGCGGGAAATGAACAAAGGCATCGATTTAGTCAAATCGAAGCGAAGTAATGCCATGAACCACTATTGCTACGGCCTCCGCTTTCAATATGAGAACATGTATGCTTTTGCGTAAATGCTAACCAGACGTACCTAAAGATGGACAGCTGCTTGTCCCGCGCCGCTGGGAGGCCTTTCTGAATGGTGCGTCCATGTCTAAAACGCCTTCAGAGCTAATGACACGGAATATGCAGCCTTCCCTCCTCAAATAATGCCCATCCAGAATCTATGCTAACGCGTTCGCGTATTTTTACCAGGTTTATGAATGGCCAGCGGCAGGATTAAGATTTTATGGTGAAAGGAGAGTGCACGTGATTGATTTGTTTAACAAAGCTAATGACGAGATAAGAACAAGATACACACACGCCATACCGGCATTTTGTGAGCGTAAAATAACATGTTTTCGTCGATTTTGTTGAAAGGTGTGAACACACATTTGATATGATAGGCAAAGTTCACATCAACGCTATAAATGGGTGGTCTATGTAAAGGCGTGATGGCAACGACGCGGCCATATTGAAACGTTCATTGCTTATCTTGGTAAATCTAGGGCAGGGGTGGAATTGTGTCCTCTACATTCCGGAATTTTTTCGGCCAATTTTTACGGAGTTGTGGGGAAGGGTTATATCATAAACGGCTATCTACAGGCATCCATGTCCTCGACATCGCGTCGGATACAAAGGGTCGTGGCGCACGTGGCAATGTGTGAAGAAATAGACAGGGATATCTAACCTGATCCCCAATAATCGCATCTCGTGTTATCGAGTGTTATGCCGACACTCATAACATGGTAGACGCTCAAAAGGCTGGAGTCGCTGCCATCGTACTGGTTGAAACACTCGTGTTCTGCTATGCTCCGGAGATCACGAAGAGGTTTTCATTCTACAGTAGCCCTTGGTTCAACGAAAAGACTTTGAACAATGCTACAAGTGGTTAGTTGTTATTGTACATCGCGATATCATCTGAACAGGCGCACTTCTGTCTCTGGCTTTGACCCATCTTCTTCCGGAGGGTTTTGGGGAAAATGGTAGTGGCCTTATGATCGCGTCTGTCGATGTAAGAGGGTTTATTATGGGAATGCCCATACTCCTACTAGTTACAATCGACTTCTTGGCAGGTGGGTTGTCATTAAGTTGGATTAATGTGTAATAGGTCACCACTGTGGATCGCACTCTGTTGTAGATCCTACAATCAAGTCTCTCAACAGCAGGTAGTGTACCTTTGGCTGTTATCACATGGCTTGTAGTACCATTCCCAACGCTATAGATGAGGACATTGAATCGATGTCAAATACTCATGTGGCGCTGTCGCACGTCAGTACAGATCATGATTGCAAGAACGAAAAGTTAACCGCAGATGTGGACCATTTTTTGTTGAAATTGAAGCAACTGTTCACGTCACGAGCTCTATACCTGTTGCTGACATTTTATGGCCATTCTATACTTGAAGGTACGTATCAATATTATTGCTCGACAGTTCTATAGGGGTGCTTCTTGGTACACAATCGAGTCCCGGAGCGCTTTGGGGCATGGCATTTGGGATATGTGCCCACAAATGGGCTGAATGTCTAGTGTTGAACACTACGGTCACAAATCTCATCAAGAATCAAGTGCTACGCCATTTCTGCTCAATCGCATTCGCGTTATGTGTGCCCATCGGGATTCTTTTGGGAGCATGCGTGAAGGAGGGATCACACTCAACACATGCTGCTTTCCAGTTGCTAGCCATTGGGTTCTTCCTCTATCTGTCTTTCGAGCTGCTTACACATCATACCTCGAAAATGGGTGGTATCACCCGATTCCCGCTTTGGGTCAGCTATTTATTTGGATCGACTGTGATGGCCATCATTTTGGTTGCTGTAGAAATTATGGAACAGAGCGGGACTGTTAAATCATAATATTTTGGGTCGTTGACTCCGTGGTTAAGGCGAACCGCCTAGGGCATCGCCGCCTTCGGTTGCGAGCAAACGTATCACTAAATAAATGGCCATGAATACCCCATAGATGTGATATATTTTCCACTCACCGTGTCCAACTGTGTCAGATACGAGCGTGTGTGGTTCGTAGTGCACACTGGGCCAGTGGAACGGAAGAAGACGCAATTACACACATAATTCAATAAGTAATAGTTACAGCGTGATATCCGCGATTTTCTGGTAATCGTAAAGGTCTAGAAAATTAAAATGGTGTCGCGTGTGGAGCGTGTTTTAGCGAAAATCGCATTATTCGCTATTCTAGCGTCACATGTGGCTGTTGTTAAATGCCAATTGAGGTTTGCATCTGTAGGAAATTGGGGTACAGGCTCAAAACTTCAGAAGAAAATTGCTGAGACGCTCAAGTCCTCCATTGCCAACGATCGCGTTACATTCATTGTTTCCCCGGGCTCTAACTTCGAATATGGCGTTACAGGTCCTGCAGATGATAAATGGGAAATGCAATTTCAGTCCGTATATAGGAGCGAAGACGGCTCCATGGAAATACCCATGTTCACTGTCCTGGGAGCAGGAGATTGGCAAGGAGACTTCAATGCTCAGATAAACCGCAATCAACAGGCATATCTCACCGCTCAGATGACAGAAAAGACGGACATGAAGGGTCTGCCCCGCTGGACAATGCCAAACTGGTGGTACCATTACTACACTCACTTTGCTACAACAGCTTGTAAGTTTTGATTTAATCTTAACGCGTACATTTTGCGACACGTTTCAGTTGCTTTCGCGTCACGCTAATATTGTGTATTACACTGTTTTTTTGTTAAGGGTTTTACGTTTTTATTCTGCATATTATTAAGGTGACAAGAGTAACATTAATCACTGTCTCACGTTTCCACAGCTATGTCCCTACTCAAGAGTGGCCACAAAGACATGAGTGTCGGCTTCATTTTCATCGACACATGGATCCTCAGCAACGCTTTTCCCTACAAGGATGTTACCAATGCTGCATGGGCAGATCTTAAGAAGGTGCTAGAAATAGCTCCAAGGATACTAGACTACATCATTGTGGTTGGGGACAAGCCCATACAATCCAGTGGACCTTCGAAGGGTGATTCACAGCTCGCATACTACCTCCTACCTCTCTTGCGTGAGGCCCAAGTTGATGCCTACATCTCAGGTTATGACCACGATATGGAAATAATAGATAGCAACGGCATCTCTTTGATTGTTACCGGAAATGGTGGCAGCAGTGGAAGAAGACCCGTCATGAAAACTACTAATTCTCTTTTCTTCAGCGAAAAGGGCGGATTCTGCATTCACGAACTCAATGCAGATGGTATGGAGACCAAGTTCGTCAATGGAGACACGGGTGAAGTTATGTACACCCACAAGCAACCAATCAAGAAGAGACAACAGCGTCAGTATGGATCAGAAGTTCAGAATGTCTCGGCCTTGCCCAATGTGTCTCTTTACCCGATCGGCGAAATGGCGTCACCCACTCAGATGGATGCGTTCATCAAAATAGTAGGTACCATTGGGTTGATCATAGCCGGTATCCACATTACCCTGTTATCCGGGACTACACTGGGTAAGGCAGCAGCCATATAATCACTGAGTTAATGTTTCACGTGTGTGGCTACAGTTAGTGTACATCAGTAGCTCAGAAAATGTCGGACGAAGAGAATGAGAGTGGCAATGAGCTTAGAAAATTGCACATTGTCCACTCCAATCCTAAAGGGTGGAAGAATGCCAGGTATCAGAACTTGAGGACTGTGCGTTCGCAGACCCTAACTGACGCGCGCAAAGACGATGGCGTTGAGGTCTCGGAATTGGCAAAATATGCCAATTACCGTGAGAAAACGGATGCGGACATTGAACTAATAAGAAATGCGCTAGATAATAATTTGGTTTGCGATGCTCTCAATGAATATGAAATTGAGGCCTTCATTGGGGCCATGTCTTCTTTTGAAATTCCAGCGGGAGCAAACGTTGTTACTCAAGGCGCTAATGGAACGTATTTCTTCATCATTGGCGACGGAGATTTTGATGTGTATGTCGATGGAGAGCTCGTGAACGCCTTGTCACGAGGTGCCGCTTTCGGGGAGATATCGCTTATACACAACACGCCGAGGAGCGCCACTGTGAGAGTGAGAAATGAGCCAGGGAACAAGGGTATGCTCTGGGGTGTCACGAGGGTGGTATTCCGTGAAACTCTTAAACGGATATCGCTGCGCAACTATGCGGAGAATCGTGAATTCCTCGACTGTGTCACGATTTTTGAGGGACTCAGTGACGAAAACAAAACATGCATTACGAATGCGCTGCTCGAATCGCGCTTTTCACCGGGTGAATCGATAGTCAAGCAGGGTGACCCTGGTGATGACCTCTACCTAATTAAACAGGGTAGTGTGGATGTCTATATCAATGGTGTAAGGGTACGTACCATAACCAAAGGCCAATACTTTGGAGAAAGGGCCATTTTATATGGCGAGGCTAGAAGTGCTACAATACAGGCGGTTGATTATGTCATCTGTGTCTCAATAAGTAGAGATATTCTTATAAATGTTTTAGGGAACTTGGACCACGTTCTCTTCAGGAATATCATGATGGAAGGCTTACAGCATTCCGAAGTGTTCAGACAATTTACTGGTGAACAGTTGTGTGATCTAATCGAATCCGTTAGTGTGCGAAACTTTCGTCGAGGTACTGTGATTCTCGACAAGGAAAACCTGCTTAAAGGTATTCGCTATTTGATTGTTCTTGAGGGAGCTGTGAAGGTTTCATACAATGGATATGAAATAGGTGTTATGGAGAGAGGAGACAGTTTTGGCGAAGAATATATTACTAATCCGAATTTACCCTTCAGTCACAAAGTTGTTGCCGAAAGTCGTCGTAATCTCAAGGGTTGTAAATTGGCGTTGATTACCAAACATGCCATGCAACTCATATTAGGTGGCGAAAATTTGGATGCTAAACTCGATTATAACAACAAAATGGCAGCTATTCGTAAGATATATATATTAAGGTACCTCTCTGACAAACAAATCGATATGCTTATAAAGGTTTTGAAAACGGTCCGATACAAACAACATGATGTTATATTCAACGAGGGAGAAATAGGGGATACTTTGTATATAATTAAAAACGGCGAAGTTGCGATTATAAAAAATGGCATTAAAATCAGGACACTTGGGAAACATGACTATTTTGGAGAACGTGCCCTTTTGTATGACGAACAAAGGAGTGCGTCTGTAGTTGCAAATGCATCTCACGTCGAACTTTGGGTTATAGAGAAACCGATATTCATGGAGGTATGTATGAGGGATTTGTCTATATCTAATTAACAGATCATGGAACCTAATATGTTGCAACACCTGGAGAAGCGTATCAAGATGCAAGACTCTAAGGTTGAGTTTGAAGAGCTTAACGTGATCAAAACCATTGGACAAGGTTAGTCATACCATCAGAGACGAACAGACATGCATATTTGTACAGGTACATTTGGGACGGTCAAACTTGTAGAACACGAAGAAAGTGGAGTAAGGTACGCGTTGAAATGTGTGAGCAGGAAATGTATCCGAGTGCTCAAGCAACAAAAACATATCAAACTCGAGAGGGAAATTATGGCTCAGAATGATCACCCTTTTATCATTCAATTGGGTAAGTGTCAAATTGGAAGAAATGACATTCATTAGTCAAAACATTCAAAGACGATGACAACGTCTATTTCCTAACGGAGCTGATAACGGGTGGTGAATTGTACGACGCCATAAGGAAAATTGGCTTGCTGTCGAGATCACAAGCGCAATTCTACATCGCCTCCATCGTTCTAGCCTTTGAGTACCTACACGAAAGGCAAATCGCATATAGAGTTTGTTTGATCGAATACCTAATCCCTTAACATGTGCCTCAGGATCTCAAGCCGGAAAACATAATGTTAGACGAACAAGGGTATATAAAACTGATTGACTTCGGATGCGCAAAAAAAATCAAAGGGAGAGCGTATACACTGATTGGAACGCCACACTACATGGCGCCTGAAGTTATACTTGGTGAGCAGTGTACGGGATCATCTTAATTGTTTTTAGGGAAAGGTTACGGATGCCTGGCTGATGTGTGGTCCTTTGGAGTCTGCCTCTACGAGTTTGTATGTGGACCGTTGCCCTTTGGCAATGATGTGAGCGACCAACTTGACATATTCAGAGAGATTCTGAAAGGTAGGCTTGACAGTTATGTTGTGTAACGTCATACAGGGGAGTTGGTATTTCCCGAGTACGTGCAAGATCAAGAGGCCGTTAATATCATCAAACGGTTGTTGTGCAGAGTCCCTGAGGTCAGATTAGGAAGCTCGATTAACGGCTTTAAGGACATCAAGGAACACTCGTTTTTTAGAGTAGGCGTAGAGTACCGCTAGTTCACATCGAGCAGGACTTTGACTGGGACAAATTAGCTGGGAGAGCTTTGCAACCACCTTTTGTACCGCAAGGTGAAACTTATAACGAGGATGAGGTTTGGCAAAGGTGCATTGAAACTAGTGTGTGCAGGTCCAGGAACACGTATTACCAGCCGAAGAAGCGGATGATAGTGAAGATATAGATCCGGACTGGGAGAATGACTTTTAACGAGGTGTACCGTTAGAATCTTTGTGCTCTCAAAATTTTTTGCGTGTGCTCGCAACCGCCGGAATCCAGATGGCGCTTACACACGCGCACATGTCACTTCAAAGTAATTTATAAGGATGCAAACGGATCCAGGGTATTGTGTTATAAGGGATGTGATTCATCGCGATCGAGATGATCTGTATCATCGCCGCAACGGTCTCACACTCCCGTTAAACGTTGCACAGCTCGCTGCCATGTTGGCAGCCATCGCATTGTTGAGCGGGTTTTGGTATGCAATTTTGCCATGTTTGCCACAACCGTACGCTAAATGTGCGGTTGCCGTCGTATGTACATTGTTCGCTCTTGTATCTGTCTTCTTCGTATTGGTTGTGCTATCTGATCCAATCGATCCGATGGCACTTGACGTTATTGAGAAGCGTAGGAACGGTCACCTGGACTCCGGACAGCCTTTCAGCTCCGAAGCGATATGTGACACGTGCAGGGCTGTTCATCCAAGCAGCAAGCATTGCAACATTTGCAACAAATGCGTACTACGTTTCGACCATCACTGCATATGGGTCAACAACTGCATAGGGTCGCGTAATTATAACGCCTTTTTTACACTTATTGGAGCGTGTGCAATATTTGTCGCCGTCGTCACATCACTCGGATTTACAGTACTGCTTATGGACCTTGTCTCACCCATTCCTAGAAGACAGTGGGAAGTTTCTTATGGCGCATTAAACGTCAGTGCATTTTATTCTTCCGTTATAATTGTGTCTTCATTTGCTGCTATTACAGATGTATTCCTGTGGCAACTTTTCTTCCTGCACTGTTATCTCATACACAAAAATATTACCACATATGAATATTTCACAATGCAGTTCTCGAATGTAAGTTCCTAAGCTAGTGGCCCACATTTTACTAGGACGCGGAAGAAAAGATACCCCTATGGCGCAGATGTGTAGAAAGGGTGGTTGTCGATCGCAAGTAGGTTAGAGCGCCCGCACGTTCACATCCCCGCAGGCGTGTTCAGAAGGGGCATAAACCAAAGCTTTCAAAAGTAACCGAAAATGACGGTGCTTCTCAAGATCTTGAAAGTTGCAATTAAAGCAAAACAACTTATGAGATTAAGTCATAAAGTCATAGTCGTTGCTATCGCTTACCCTGTCCGGGATAAATTGCGATTTAGCCGATAAAGGGACCAATGGGGTCACATCGACATTGGTCTTCGATGCTAAAACTTCTATCCCAGGTATTTTTGTGTATAGTTTGTCAGAAGTTAATGTGCCACGCCCCGCTGTGTTTCCCGACGGGGAAGCTGTGGTAGAGTCATCTGAAATGGCAAATATGGAGCCAACATCATGATTGTAAAACATCAACAAACAATATAGCTCTTTAAATATGGTGCATATATTTCATCGGACACAGACTTACGAGAAACACTTACTGATTTCAGGTGTTCGGAGAGGAGGAGGTACCTCTCCCTCTGTGTTGGCTACCTTGTCTTCTTCCCCGCGAACTACCCAGCACTTCAAATCTTCGTTATAATAAAAATTGTTCTCCTCGCCCATCTGTTGCCCTAATTTGGGGGAACAAGGTCACTCACGTGTGCCTCTGTGAAGTCACCGGAATCTTCCTGGCTTTTGCCTCGCAATAACCCCCAAAAGTATTCTGTAAACATATATCGCACTAACATTAATACTGACTCTGCATCTTTGGCGGCCAGGTTTGCAAATTCGGTCGGAGGCATATACTGATAAATTCTTGATGCGCTGGGGTATCAAGCATTGACACATCCCTCAGGGGCCAGCGCAATTGTTAAAATGATAGGTAATATCTGATGAAGTTCAAAAAATTTTCCAGACTGGTAGGGTACACCTTGCACCGGAAACCATCATCCCCTTCACGGTAATACCGCACCTAACAAACTATGATAGTACGACTCAACGGCAGCCACCTTATACCGTTGGATAGAACCGCATCGATCAAGGTGCCAGACTTCCTCCGAGATTAGCGCATTTTTCTGTGTGCGTTATTACGTCTCCGCCGTCTTAGCGGTTAGCTATGACACCCAACCTACCCTCAAGAGGTCCACAGCAGGCCAACGCCGCGCTTTTTTTGTGATTTGAAGAAGAACACGGTCATTCGGACATTTTTTTGAGGCCACAACCTCTATGTTTTGCACCTGCGGCATAAGTGTGCGCGATTTTTTTAGCTTTCTGTACCTTGAATAGCGCCTGTCTGAAGAGTGCGTCACGAATTTCAGCACGAACCTTCTCGGCTTTTAGTTCGTAAGCCCTGACATAGGCGTAAGATCCTAAGCTTTTGGGTTCGATGGCTACATTGACTAAACAGCCCGGTACAGCCGACATTAAACGATGACGTTCCAACCATTCTGCCGATCGATACGCAGGAAATGAAAAACCGATAACTTTGGTTGGTATTTCTTCATCTTTATACAAATTAGAGAGCTTAATCATACTTTTTTAGAAATTGTTATCTTCATTGGTGATGTAAGGAATGTAGTACTCCCCATCCATATGATGTCGCAATGGTCCGAAGCAGGTGTAAGACACATACAGTACGTTATGCCAATAAAACAAAGATATTTTGTGTGTCTGTGTTATATTTTTTTAACGATATCTGTAGGTAGCTGCATGTTAATTCGCAAAGGCGGTAAAACGATACAGAAGGTAGCGAGCCTACACAGGGTACTATTCGCTGGATACAAATATAGTACCAAATACGTTACAAATGTGAAACAAACATTATTGGTACCTAGATTCAAGGGTGTTGTGAATGGTGTGGCATTTTGCCAGGGTTTGAACTCATGTGCATTTTCTGTCGAAAACAGGAGTTGTACAACACTGGTTCGCGCACCCAGCGCCCGAACTCGCTTAATTTGCGGCTTTTCAGATGTAAACATGTCGGAGAATCCAAAATCATTTGAAGCAGGCGAGTCCGATGGGTCATGTCTTATTACTGCCAATCTTTATCGCAAAGGATCAAGTGACCATGGCAAACACACTATTCAAATTGAAGTTACCAGAGAAGAAAGGGAATTGTTCAATTTGCTGAAAGATTGTGTGGCTTATAGTGGGCTAAATATTGGTACGTTCAACCGCTAGAGGAGTTGATATTATGTAGAGTTGAGGGTTGCAGGCGGTTGGGTTAGAGACAAGTTACTCAAAGTTAGCAGCCACGATATAGACATAGCCTTGGAACATTTCACTGGAGTTGAATTCTGTAATTATCTCAACGCATTTACTGAAAAAAATTACGGCTTCCATAAAACGGTAGGTGTTGTGAAGAGGAGACCGGAACAATCGAAGCACCTCGAAACTGCTACCTTGAGCATTCTGGGACTAAACATTGATTTTGTGAATCTTAGGAGTGAAGATTATGCAAGCGATAGTAGGATACCGGTAATGAAGATTGGCACACCATTCGAGGACGCAATGCGGAGAGATTTCACTATCAATGCATTGTTCTATAACATTTCGAAAAATGCGATTGAGGACTATACAGGTAAAGGTATTGAAGACCTCCACTCCGGTATTATACGAACCTGCTCCCCTGCGTTCGGCACATTTATTGATGACCCTCTGAGAGTCATCAGAGCAGCACGATTTTCTGCACGATTGGGATACAAGTTAGACGATGAAATTATAGCTGCAGGTTCACATCCCGGTGTTCTCGAGCAATTGAAGTCTAAGGTAAGTTAAATGAATATTAGGAGCTCGTAAAACGTCTCTGTAGGTTGCGAGAGGCAGAATCGCACAGGAGCTTGAAGACATGCTAACCAAAGGGGACGTAACGAATGCCTTCGAATTGATGAAAATATTTGGGGTTCTTCCGATATTAGTCAGAGAACAGGAGGGTGAGTAGATGTGTCAGCATGGCTTCCATGATGCAGGAGATGCCCCTTCTGATGGACAGATTGACTCCGGGTGCCAAACGATGGCTTCCGTACGAGAATGTTTGAAATGTATCGATTGGAGTCAAATAAACGAAAAATTCTTGTATATGGCCGCTTTCTGTGCGCCACTCATTGGTAAGTGGATCAACTATGACCAACAGAATTGTAGTGGAACCAAAAATTGACAAATGTACCTATATTGAGCACGTCATCAAATCGCGTCTCAAACTTCCAAATAAGGTGGCGTGCGGGTAAGTTATAATTTGATTACACATGAGCGTCTTAGGGCTGCCATTATAGTGGAGGGGAGCCAAGAATTTGCGGAAGTTGTGAACGATCTGCCTGCACACGCCCTGGATCTTCGAGAATCGTTAGGAACTATTGTACGTCACATAGGTCCGCTATGGAAGGTGGGATTGTAATAGTGACTTGATATGTATGCAGGAGGCGTTGTTGCTTTCCATGGCAATGGAAACTTTAGGCTCAAAATCGTACGAGGTAACTCAAAAGTACAAAAATATTTTGGACACCGTTTTTCAATTGGGAATCCACGACGCGTATGCATTAAAGGCTCCTATAACTGGAAAGGAGGTGGGTTCGTGTTATGGAGGCATATAAATCGGTAGTTGATGGACCTCCTGCCTGGGCTTTCGCCGGGGCCAAAGTTCAAGGAGGCACTAGATTTCCAGATCAAACAGCTATTGAGAGTGCCAACTCTAACTAAAGAAGAACTTTTAGGGGCAATTGCCAATGTGTTTAAGAATAAATTGTGAAATTACATACAGCACGGACTGTTGTATGGCATTGAGAACTTTGCTCCCGCACTTGCAAATTTCAACCTCTTACTTTGTTTGATCAATAGCAATTGTAGCGTTGCAAAACGGCGTTAAACCAACATATTTGTGTATTCTTCCCCCTTTGTTTATATATCGGTCCAAGGCGTCCAACTCTGAATCCGAGATATACAGGTACCGTCCACGTTCATCCAAAAGGCCAAACAAACGGCCTTGGTCCTCAAGCTGATTCAAACGATCAGCAACATCCTTGTGGTGCATATCAAATTTCGCCGCTAATTCCACTATGCTGGTCATTTTCTTCTGTATAACGAAGTTTACGAAGTCATCCACACTAATCCGTTCCTGTTCTTGTATGTTACCCTCCTTCTCCACGACGAACGATGATACAATGTCCTTGTACGTCTCATAGGCAAGTTCTGCTCTTTTAATTTCCTGTAGAGAATAATGTGTTACCCATGTTGTGACCTACATCTTCCTGGCGCTGTCGTTCTTTTTCTTCGCGGCGCTTTTCATATATCTCTTCTCGTTCTTGTTTTAGTTTTTCTTTTTCCTTGCGTTCCTCATCTAACAGCATACGCTGTCGGCGTCTCGCTTCCTTTAACTCTTGCTTCTTTCGTTGCTTTGCTGTCAGTGATCGCCTCTCTTGTTCATCTTCATTAGGCAAAGTTGTGGCAGACGCCACTGTGTTTTCCTCAACTAACTCCGAAACAGTTCCCGGCCTGAGTGTAACGTGTTTTTGGAAATGGGTAACAAACCTTTTGATGTAAAAGTATAAAAATGTTAGGATGAAACCGAGTATTACGAGCAGCCCGGTAACGTAGGAAACCGGAAGCTCTAGTTCGGCATCCATCACCGTATTCCTCAAAAATGTGTGTGTATGTGTGTCACTTTTACGGCCACAAATAGATGGGTTATCGCGTCCATGGGGAATCGACCTGTAGTCGACAAATTATATAACAATAAACAGCGATGGACATTAAAGCTCCGGATGTGTATAAGCAATACCAAAATTTTCCTCCGCTCTACACTGAACAGGTGGTGATAACTTTTTTCGAGAATGATGATTTCAACAGATAAATGATGTCGTGCTATCTAAGCAACTAGAAATCTGGGAAACGCTCATACGCAAGGAGTCCAGTGAGCACCGATTGTATGTAATAAATGTAGACGACGTTGGAGTATATCCTTTTTACAACGCAAAAATTAATCGCAAGTTGAAGCGAGATTTCCTGACACTGATTGCGCAGCATATGGTCGAAAAAGGATGTGGATTCTATCTTCACACCATTAAAAGGTTTTGCAAAGAGAATGAATGTAGTGTTTGGTACGTCCTCTTCATCGGCAGGAATTCCAAAATAAACAAATTGCGTGCTCTGCATGACCAGGAGTATCAGACCATCACCTCAAAAGCATCTAAAAGAGACTCCAACATAGCCACCCTCAAACTGAAGCGTGACATTTTGGAGTCAAAGCAAGTTGTTGTCGGTGTATTTAGCAAGACTATGCAAGAAACGGCTGATGAAGTTTTACGATATTTGAGATCACATCTTCATGCTAGCCAAGTGGAAACGCCGTATTTTTTATTTTACGGAGGACGAGAATCTACAAAACCGTTCAGTTTGTGGCCAGAAGAACATATTGCTATCATCATATCAACATTGGTGACACAAAAACAAATCGCCTTGGTTTTAAACGAAACCGCATCTGCGAGGAGCCTGAGTAGTAAACAACTAGGGATACAACTTATTGGACATTAATGCGGCTTATTCTGTGATTAACTACTGATTTAAGGTGTGTACAGGTTGCTTGGAAGTTCTTGCGCTGAGAAAGTCATCCGTTTCACGTATTACAGACACAGTAATGGCAACGTAGATTGTATTCATGCGGCACTTTCCGCCATATTTTAGATTTAAATTGGCCTGTAGTATTTATGGTATTTCTTTCCTGATGAATCACTGCCATTCGTAGCACCTCTGAGACCTTGAGTAGAACGGACAGGCGAGTGGCGACGGTCTGTCGTAGGAATGTTTAGACTATATCGTGTAACCCCGAGATGACAATTGAATTTACATGTATATTTTTGTCTATATAAAAATTGTTGTCTAACGACATCCACACTGTTCTGCGCAGCGACTGAGGAGGACACGCACGACGTTCCGATTGATTCCGGTGCGCAACTTCGCGTCGCTTATAAGGTCCCCAGTTGCTTTGTGCACTCGAAGTATCTGTCAACTGTGTAGTGTGTGTGTGCTAACATACGCACAGGCGCGCTGATGGCGGCGGCGCCAAAATGGGAAACTACGGTCATCAACGCGATTCACAGAAATTGCTAAACATACTGCTGTATGCCTGTATTTACCAAATGGTAACGGCCTGTCTAATTGGGCGTACTTTTTCACAAATATTTGGTTACCAACCCCCAGCAGCGCCCGCTCGACCCGGCACCAAGCCCCTTCGGCAGAGGGACAATTGCAGTCGAATCCGGCACAAAATGATTTTTTATATTGTGATTCCTAGAGGTTCTCATACTACTATAGTGGGCACAACCATTTTGCAGCGTAAGACCATTGCGTAGGTGTCTCGGCAATCGCACATTACTATGTTATTGGTGCTTTCAACATTTATATTAATCCCCATTGTGCATCTTGCTTTTTGTGAACTTAATTCCTACGACTCGGAATTCATACGCATGATGTCGGAGCTTATAGGGAAAACAATTCTCTCGCTTTTTTGTTCGTTCTTCGCTCTACTTATTGCAAATTTAGGGATTGTCTGGTACTTGACTGAGAAGAAGACATACGCTCTCGACTTCGTGTTGAACTACGTTGGTATAACCTGTTTTTTTGTCGGTTGCGGATGCTTTTTCATCGTGCCATTTTTGACGCCGCCGCCAACTACGGATGGATGTACCACTGCGTGACACACTACGTATATAAGCGACTAGTCGTTGCGATATCGATCAAGTAACTTTGAAGCTCGAGTGCCCGTTACGAGCTGACAGGTACAACACCTCGTATAAGCCAACAAGCTGTGTGGCACCTAAACAAGAAGAGGATGATATGTTTGTCATATCTAGTGGTCACAACTGTAAAAATAACTTGGATCTTGTTTGTCTGACGCCTCTTAGTTGAGCGTCGTCAAACCCAGACGATTTGACCTTTAAATGTAAAAACACATTAATTTTTGGCGCGTAAAACAAGCTAGTGTAGTGCACAGAGCTACAGCTTTTGTAACCCGATGCGCACTGCTGGATTTGTATGTATATATGTAGGGATTTTCAATATTTTTAGGACACCCTTATGCTCCACGGCACTTAGTCACCCGTGCCGATGTTTATGCATCGTATGTTTGGATGAAACTGACGCAACCACGAAGTTCTGTTATATATGTATGCGTCATAGGCGTTCTCAGCGTTTAATGACGTTGACGTCATCGTTCATATATCTATTCTCTGCGTCTTTATTACCCACCAGAGGGGGCAAAAATATTCATGATCTGTCGTCCACAAACGATGGGCCAATTTTCATGGCCATTTCCATCTGCCTCTAATTTCGTTACGTATCGTATCACAGAACTACATGACGTTCTGTTCTGTCCCATTTCTACCACCGCTCACAGATCCCATGTCAACATTGACGAGCTATCTAACGCCATGATATTAATACTTTTCCATTGTAAATATATGTAAATGCTATATATTATAATGCCGGTTGATTATCGCTCTTCATACCAATATTAAATTCAGATATACGATTGTATCACTGCAACTTTATACGCCTAAACCGTCACCACCTGGACGTTAGATTAGAATCGTGGAACGTAAAATATACATTATCACCCGATACAACATAAACAGCTTATACGGGGATCATTTGTGATGTCGAGATTCGATAAATATGCGTGTATGATCTGTTAGTATTTTTACATTGCTGGTTTTGGTTTATATTCGGTGACCGATAAGTTATTCAGCTACACTGTTTCCCACATAAGTTGTTTTGTTATGAACCATGGATACACAGAGCACAATGTAGACACTTCTACCATCTTTCAATGTGGTACTACCGAATGAACGGACATTCATACATATGCGTGACTAAAAAATTAAAATCGATGAGTAATTGAGCACATGCGTGCTTTAGAAACTCTGAGTTGTATTGAAATGGTTAAGAATTATTAGAAGAATAAATGGGACACACTTATTTGAGCTTGATGTGTTCGGGTGTTCTGAGAGCTTCCTTAATGTAAAGCCATATCATGTCACGATGGTAGGAATAGTCTCGTTCAGTTTTAGCACAGCCCTGAGGTCCATCCAGTAAGCAGGTGGCAAGGTTCTCACATAGCAAATCAGCAACCGTACTAGGCATTTTATCAGGTGCAATTTCAGCAAGTTTGTGAATAATCGGGGCGATGGCGGCTAGATGGTATTCCCACCTCGGAATGAATAGACATAAATAGAGGTGCTGTAGACTATATTATTGTGGAATCTGATTAGTTATCATGTTAGTGATACTATATTGAAATTTTGTGCTATCATATTTGGTTTATGTACTCCCCCCTGGATGGGAGATGGGAGGGGGCGGGTGGTAAAGGTGGGATCGGAATGTTAGAATAGCCTGGGCTAACATCCACAAAATAGCAATCGTTCATAATAATACGACGTGTTGCTGTTCATACCAATAAAAAGATAAATGCGTTATCATGTGCCACAGTCATTTTATTAAGATTGTGTATTAGTTTATATGCCACGAATTATCCTTTGATTTTTTTAGAGATGATAGAGCATACGCAGCTAAATCAGATTTTTGGTTTACACAATGCAGACTAAATTTTGTAAGGCTAAGTCATGCTCACGAACACATGAGATGTCCAGAGCAGGTTTGACCGGGACCATTCCGGCGCAGCAACATATCGCAAGGGAGTGAGATCATCTGCCATACATACCAACTTAACAACACCTTAACATGCCACTGAAGATGACATAAACGCCTCCAATCTCTGTGGTTTAGTTTTACACGGCACTTAATATGCCAAATACTCAAATAAAGACAACTTGATTGTCAATACGGATACCTCACAAATCTTACAACCAAATGAACTGAATACGTATCAAGCGCGATACGTCAGGTGCACACTTTACTTACGTTGCTGGTTCACTGAGAGGAAAATGGAGTTCAGTTCTATAACTTAACGGAATCTATTCCTACTCGTCCACTACCACTAATGGTAGTTTGGTCAAACAAAACATCTCATTCATTATTTCTTTTGGTGATATGCAGACCATAAATGATCAGTGCTACTAACGAAAAGAATTTGTTTCATGATTCCAAAATCATATTGAAAAAATAAGTAACGAAATGCTAATGGTTCCATTGGTCTAGCTCGTGACCACTGATCCATTACGTACTACGTCATTTAGTGCAGCGACCAGCGGGATATACGCTAGAAGTAACATAAGGCAGACAGCTGTTTTTTTATTTGTTTTATGTGCGGCGTCTTAATACAATAATCAACACATGGGTATTTCATGTGAAATTGAATAGATGGCAGGGTTCCATATGCTTCGGTAACGTAATTCGACTGTATTAGTAAGCATTAAAAGTTGCGCCTTCTATTGCCTTATATATGTGGCAGAACGTAAGTCGCTAACGTTTCAGCGGATTGAGATATTATTGGGGCTGTTACAGGCCGCATTGTTGCAAAACGTCGAGAAATGTCCACCATGTCTAGATTCCTTATGGTGACGCGTGGCGTGAATGTGATTCCCTTGAGATCTAGACAGACGTATTCCCATAGAATCTTGGGTGAATAAAGGAATTATGTGAGGCCTCACAGTTCTGGGAATAGTGCCATCTAACCTAACGACGTACAATATTTTCGGCATAAATATCCGCATAACATCAGTGAACCCAGATCCCGCGGCAGTACAGACGCGAAATTTACGGAAGCTACCGGCAAGTGCCACCGGAACAATAAGTGGCTGTAAGGTCAACAAGGACTTCACACTTGTGCTGATAATAGTGTTCTTCGTAACAGTGCAGTAGTCAGACTTTCGAATATGGCTGGATTCAAGCTTTACAAGGCGATACTCGCCTTTTTGGCTGTTGTCAACCTCATGGGTTGTGGCGCCCTGGGTACCGATCTCCCTCAGGAAGTTGACCCTACTAATGGTGTATCTGCTGACTACGTCACCAACGATGTTGAAACAAAAAGCGAAGTAGACGGTGATACTAGCGAGGATGACGATGAATCGGATGAGGAATCAGAGTCAGATGAAGAAGACGATGGAGACGAAGGTGACGAATCGGTTGACGCTTCAGAGTCAGATGTAGTGGCCAATGGCGATGGACAACCTCAGAACGCTGAACCTTCCACTGGCACATCCACAGGCTCCAGTGCCCACAACCCAGGCCATGTACCTGGTGGACTTGCTGGAGATTGCGACGAGGTTTGCGAATCGGGCCAGAGGCGTTTTCAACTAATCCTTGATCACATTGCCGATTACACCCCTAAGAGCACTTCTTTATTATCATTTAAAGATGTTGTGAGCGGACTCAAAGGTAGAAGTGACATTCGAGTACCCGCTGATATCGCGAAAGAACTTGCTAATATCCAGGGATACAGCGTCTACTATAGCTTGGCCCGGAAAATCGCTAGATACATCGGCAGCATGTTATTTAATGGTAAATACAACGACATTCCTGCGGCTGGAGAAGGTAAAGGGAGGATGAGAGTAACGAACAACGGAATGGTAGCATATATATTGGAGGCTCTTGGTATGTGCTGTCGATTGAGAGCACTTTGATATCTATAAATTTAAAACAACTCAAATGCCAGTTACACACATTGAATAGGGTTGCCGGGATTGATTTATGGATGACAATAGCGTCATATTGCGATAGGAACCCCCGAAAATTGCAGTAATAGATGGACGGAACTCACCCATTGAGGACATTAGTCCCAAATTGACGAACACCTTTTTATTCTAAATGCTTACTATTTATATCAAACTCAGCGCTCTTAAGCCGTGTTTCTTGTAGCATTGACAATCACACGCCGATAGACTCAACTGACGCGTACACACGTGGCCTCTGCAGAATCCCATGATTGTGTTTGAGACCAATTGCTAGTTGACAACGAAATAACGGCGGACAGTAATATCATCGACTTGTCTGCAGAAACAGTATATCACGACACCTACAGCATTTGCCCAGCGGTGACGGCTACATAACTGTGTGTTTGATGGTTATTTGATCACGCCTTGAGAAAGTTAAACGTCACAATATAAAATAGCATTGCAATAAACGTTGGACGGCAACTTTGAATGGTTATCGTCGAGATGTGTTCTCGGCGATATCTGAGTGTTAACAGTATCGCTCGCACAACCAGTATTGAATCCTCTATAAATACAATCACCCTTAATCGCTTGAGTCTGTTTTGGGCAATAGTGATCAATGTAGATGTCAGCAAATAGAGAAATACTTGGAAATGTAACACACCGTCACATTTCTAGGTAGTTACCAATGATGAGGATTGCTATTAGTCCGGTAGAAAGACACCGGCATTTAACCCATCTGCTCTCTAATGTTGTCTATGGTTGGCAATAAAGACAAACCTTACGCTCGCACATTACTTTGATATCCCAACAGAGATAACAAGCGGTAAAATAATAGTATAGTTAGCAATTTTGCTCGGTGTGATTTTCAATCAGGGGTTTTAGTTAAAAGCGGAGGACTGATTTTCCAGTGCTTGCTTGCGCACCCTGGCGTTATATTCTTCACGGTTGTTGACGAACAGTAGATATGGATCAGCTTGTGCAGGCGACAGTGGGTTGGGGTTGTCGAGGAGATCCTACAAGTTTTGATTACTTAGCTCACATGATGACATCACCATTGTGAGATTTGCGTGGGTGATGACCGTTTGTCACACGTGATGCTATGAACGTTTTTGCTACAATGCGCCACTAATCGGTGCATTGCTGCAGAGAAAAATGGCGCATAAGTAACCACAATGGCGTTCAACTATTACGTGAATCACCTGTGTTACTGGCAACAAAATGTAGACGCATACCTGTATACCCAATAGAATTTGTTTGATCGTGATGGATGGCTTCCAATCCTTTTCCTCGCTGAGTATGGAGAGACAGACGGTGCCCGACGGGTAGACATTGGGGTGGAATAATACGGGCCTGAATTTACACTTGGGCGGCTTGCTCGGGTAATCGTCTGTGAACTCCATGGTAAGTGTGTATTCACCTCCTTCCCATATGGACCCCTGTGTGTCGTTACAACGAACTGCGGTATATGTAATTATGGCTCACGATTCCAAGTATATGCAATACACAACCAAATAGCGTCAGTCTAACCCGTTTGCCCGGTATTTTGCAAATCCATGTCATAATGTCCAGCCCGCTTCCGTCAGGTAAAGGCGCGTACTTGGCAGAGAATCCTACCGGATGATCCCGCCTCCAGTCTGCCCTTTCTTGTGCCAGTCGTTTCCTTGCGATAGTAGCCATCGCTAAAGACAGTTTTGACTCTGTAAGCTACAGGATTCTGTGAACGCAGCGGAACGCTGTACGTGACGCTATCTAGTGACTTCCGCCTAAAGTGGAAGGACAGCTATAATCTAGGAAACTCAACATGAATAAACGGTGTGGCTGTGGCACTGAAATCCCAAATGTCGCCATAAGTTGCTGAGGTCGGGTATTTCTTACTTAAAGTCGCAAGGAATCAAAACATTCCTTCTAATACCGCGCGTAGATTCGCATAATATTCGACGCCGTACGACATAGAATTCTATCTACAGTGTACAGGCGGTACAGAACACTATTAGGGTAGGTACATACATCGGCAACCCACATGGGACAGACACACCTCCGGCTGCAATGGGCACTGGTACCATTGGAATGAACACACACATCACCGATGTGCATAAATATTTACAGTTACAATATTGCAACAACTGCCCGTGCGTTTATTCATTAGAAAAGCACGAAAGCTTTCCCGTCGATGGACCGCACGTGATGCAGCTATAATAATATATAAACACACATCTTGCAATTGTATTTGTACTAATTATATAAACGCATGTAAAGTACCATGGATGAACCTAGAGGTGTGATGCCCTGTAACTTGGCGCAACATAACGCCTCGAAGGTCATAGTGACACGTCTATAAAAATCACACTGTACCCAAATTAAAAACATATGCGGGAACACATTCCACTTTTGTTAGTGTCATACACGTGTTTCGCAAATTTTATTTTGCTAGCTACAAAAAATAGTAGTGCTACCTACGAAATAAGCTGCCCCTCCATACATGTGAAAACGGCTGCCCTAAGCCACACATTATCTATTACCTTCGCGAATCGACCAAATATATTATTTGGCTGAAATGTTTCATTTGGTTGACTAAAATGATGTCAAATTCTAATGAAGAGGTTCGCAAACCAAAACGTTTCGCCTTTGAGACCGTGGACCCAAAGTTGATGCCAGCACCGCATATCAATCCCTTCCTTCGCCTGCTAATTTATAT